GCCTCATCCAGTCACCTTCGCCCTTACGGAAAATGTTCGCTGAACAGAGAATTTGTTCTTTTTCCCACAGTAAGAAGCAGAACTTTTTCACGGTGTGCAAAAGGGGGAATATAATGTTTTCTACTCATATTGGGGGGGTCAAGAGGTCACGGGAAAGGTGGCGCAAAGTACGTCCTTTGACTCGAGTAGGTGCCCCAAACAGCCCAGGAGGAAGAGGAGGGGTGGCCAGGCTGGAGCCTTCCCGGCCAATCTGGCTCTGCCCTCTTGTGCCAGACTTACCTTCATTCCCTTGTTATTTTCAGGGGATTTCTTGTGTTTCTCTCACCCTTCCTTGAAGGAACAGGTGGGGTCCCCCAAAGCGAATCAGGCTGAGGCATCTGCACAGGGTCTTCTGCTCCTGCAGCATGAAACAGTTGGCGTCACGGGCAGGCAGCCAAAGCCAGAGGCACAGCCCCAAGTAAGGAGGCGCTGGCAGAGCAGCACAGACGGCCGGAGGGGGGGGTGGCCGTTAAGGTCAAAGCCAGACAGGACCCAAGCCTCTAGGCCTGACCAGCCCGGCCTCAGGGCTTCTCCAGGTGCCCAGCTCTGAGCGCCCCCTCGCGACCTTGCTCCCAGCTCTGCTGCTGCTGCTGCTGTCCCACAGATGAGCAAAGAAGCAGAGGCCGGGCCTCACTGCCAAGTCTTTGCTCCTTCCTGCCTGGAAGTGGCATACGGGTGTCAGTGTGGTTTGGAGTTGTGCAACGTGGACTGTTAAAAAAACAAGGGTAGAGTTTATCTCCAGAAGCATCAACCTCCCGGTCTCTGGGTCGGATCTGGCATTCATGGAGACTCTGTGCGGGAGCGTCCATGCATCCCAGCAGAAGAGGGGACAGGAACCGAGGCCAATGGGGAGACAGACTCAGCCTTTCTGCCTTAATTATACTCCCAGCAGTGATTCCCGTGAGTAGCGGGGAAGCCCCCTCGCTGCAAACAGGCAACGCTTAGAATGGCTGCTGCTCAGAGCAACATCCCGCCTCCTGCAGAAAAAGATGGCCCAGCCCGAAGAAGGGGAGCAGCCCAGCTCCTCCAACAGAAACACAGCAGCCTCGTGCTGTGGCGTCATATCCGCACGGAGGAACAGAAGCCGCGCCTGCCAGCATCTGTGGAGCCACCTGGATGGTCCTACCTGCTCAGCCGGCTCCGGCCCCGCCCCCTGGCCTGCAGCCGACTGGGAGCTGCTCCGCCCTCAGTTCAGCGTCTCGGTTGTCGCAAGTTGAGAGAGGATCGCAGCTGTCGCCAGCCTTCCTGTTGGCAACCATTTGGGTCGGGCTGCTCAGCTGGAAAGCATAGGGCTGTGGAGCCCGTCCTCCGGAGGCAAGCGAGGCAGCAGCTCTTCCTGGGCAGGAGTTTCAAGCTAGGCGAGATGGAAGCGTGCCAGGACCCACGGGCAGCTTTGGCCCCAAGAAGCGGAAGACAGCTGTTGCTGATCCTCCTCCGGACTGCCTTGCCTTGAAGCTGGGAGCAGGACGGACATGGGGACAATCCCCTCGGATTCGGCCCTTGGGACACAGCCGACCGTTGTGGTTCACCCCGAGAAGGAGGTGTCTGTGTTCAGGGCTGCACCTTCCTTGGGCAACTTTCGGCAAGGCTTGCTGGAGGAAGAGCTTATAGAGGAGGAGGAGGAGGATGGCAGTGAGGGCAAAGGGCCCAGGAGTGGGCTAGCTGCAAACGACCTCTCTGGATCCAGAGATGAGGAGGAGGACGAGCCAAGTGTCTCTTCCCTCGTTTGGCACCCTAAAGGAGGTCTGGGTGAGCTAGGAGTGGATTCTGAAGGGTCTCTTGCGCCCAGGAGGCTTTCTCCTGTGACCGAAGAGGCCTGTGGCACAGCTGGGCTTGCAGCACGTGGGCCGGAGGAGGAGGAGGAGGAGGAGAAGAGCTGCCCGTTGAGAAATGCGCCCCAACTACCTTTGCGGGAAGAGGTGGAGGAGATGGAAGGGGTTTGCCTGCTGGGGAGCAAAGCTCTGGGCCCAGGCAGAAGTGCCCAGGGGGCCCTGGCGCAATCCTGCTGCATCCAGGCCGAGGGGGACGAGCAGGAGTGCCCCATTTGCACGGAGCTCTATGACCAAGATCACCGCAAGCCGGCCTTGCTCAATTGCAGCCACGTGCTCTGTGGCCAGTGCCTGCAGGCCATCCTGCAGGCGGGCAGTGCGGCTGACATTGGCCGCGTGCGATGCCCCATCTGCCGCCAGAAGACGCCCATGATGGAGTGGGAGATCTGCAAGCTGCAAGAGGAGCTGCTCCTGCTGAGCACTGCCCAAGTCCCGGCTTCTGCGCCTCCGGCCTTCAGTCCGCTGCCGCCGCGGCAGCCGGGGTTCTGGGGGGGGCTGGAGCACCACTTCCACGTGCGCTTCCACACCAGCCGCGTGATGGGCTTCTTCCCCTGCCTCCGCTACCCAGCCTGCCTGGTGGGCGGCCTGGCAGAGCTGGAGCGCCGCTACCCCTGGTGCTACCGGATGGCTCTCTTGGCTCTGGCCGCAGCGGAGATGCTGAGCCTCTTGCTGGTCTTCCTGCCCATCCTTTTGCTGCTGCTGCTCTTCCTCATCCTGGACAAGTAGGGCTCCTGCTGGCCTGACCCGGCTCCTGAGGGCTGGGAGCGAGGGTGGGGATGTCCGGCACTGCCTGCAAGCAAGGAGGGGCCCGAACTCCGTGCTGGTCTCTGCATGGCCTCCCTGAGAACTGAGCATGCCGTGGCACGCTGCCCGCTCCTTGGAGCGAGCAACAGTCACTTCTTGGGAAAGGAAGTTTTGGGAAGCAAGAGGACGGGGGCTTTTGCAGGGGGTGCAGCTGAATTGGAGATGGCCCTTCAGCACCTGCTCTTCTTATCTATGCCGGTGCCTTGAGGCTGGGCAGGGGCTCTCCAGGCTCCGGGGGTGCAGCAGAGGGAGGGGCTGTCCCTGGCACCCAGCCAGGTGCTCCCAGGGGACCCACTGTTCCTCCCTTGAGGAAGCCGGCCTTGTTTGGCCCATTCCAGCAAATTGGAGAGCCCTCTTGCCCAGGCTCTCCCCCGAGAAGCCTCGTCTCCTTGCTCCCTCTGGGGGCTTCTCTTTGTCCTTGTCCCAGGCCCAGGCAGCAAAGACAGGAGACTGGCCGGCAGCTTCTGGCCTGGGTGTCGCAGGTAACTAACATCGTCCTCATCGTCCAGATGGAACAGGGGCGAGGGAAGAGAGGGAGCTGCCAGGCAATCTGGCCGAGCAAGCGCACGGGTTTATGGCTTGGTGTGACTCAGCAGGTGCCAGGTGCCCTCTGCTTGCTCGGTGGAGGAGCCGCTGAGGAGGCCGGTTGGAGGACAGAGGGAGCGGCTGGCACGGCCTGCCCCAGGTGGAGGGGAGAGAGCCCGCTGGTCAGCAGCTGCCCAGAGGCCGGTGGCTTTGTGCTGGTCTAGCAGCATCTGTGGACTGTCTCTGGCAAGGAGGCTCTGCAGCAGCTGCTTCTCTGATCTGCCCACCTGGAAGACTCCCCTGGCCTCCCTCCTGGAATGCAGCACGCCAACTCTCGGGTGCAGACCCGCATAAAGGCTTTCTGAGAACGGCTGCCTCTGTTTCAGTCCTTTCAATGCTCCTTTCTCGCCAGAGGGGCGACTCTCGTTCGCCTCGGGGTTTCCATACCGTCCTGGAATTGATTCTGGTTAATGAGAAAATGAGGGTCCCTTCAGGGTGGCCACCATGGGGGGCTCACAAGCCCCTTCCCCAGAGACGGCAGGGAGAGCTGGTTCCTTGCAGGGGGGGCAGGAAAGGGAAGGGGCCTGGCTGGGGAGTGGTGCTCCTCTGGCCTGTTGCTCAGCAGCACGTGAGCTTTGTAGTCCCTCAGGAAGGGTGGGTGGGAGGAAGGAGGGGCTGCCTGCCCTGAAGTGCGGGGGGGGGGCAGGATTACGCCTTGTGGCTCTTTGACACTGACCCCAGAGCCTCTTCTCACCTAGTGTCGTGTAGCAATGAATACTGTGATGTGTTGTGTGCAGAAGTATTATGGCATGGTTACTTACAACGCAAATAGAAGACGCCACCAGGTGACCCTTGCCTCGGGGTTGCCATACCGTCCTGGAATTGATTCTGGTTAATGAGAAAATGAGGGTCCCTTCAGGGTGGCCACCATGGGGGGCTCACAAGCCCCTTCCCCAGGGACGTTTTGTGTGCGTGTGTCTGTGAACCCCTTTCCGGAGGCCGTTCCGCCCTGCCCTAACCCCAAGTGCCACGCCTCTTCTAGACTGGCTCCCCTTTTGAAGCATTTCTCACTTTGTTGCAAAGCTTCAGCAAAAGAACCACTTCCTTTTTCCACCTTGTGGCAAGAACTATGTGGAGGAACAGATTAGAGAAACAGTGGAGGAGGCAAAGCAAACACCCCTCCCCCCCCTAAGGTTTGCATTGAAGCTGCTGGTTTAAGGTCAGGGCTTAGCTGGGTACCTTGAAGGAGGCAGGAAGCTGATGCAGAAGAGGAGGAGCTGGCAAAGCCCCAGCCTGCCTCGGCCGTTTTGCCAGAGGAGGGGAGCTGCTTCCCCAGAAAAGGGGCCCAGAGTGTCAGAAACCATGTTGCTGCTCTCCCTCCTCTTCCCCTTGCCAGCCAGTTGCATCTCTACAAACTGGTCCAGAGAAGCTAGATTGCCCACCCACCCCCACCTCCCTGGTCCTTCTTGCCCAGGTGTGACCCCTTGGACACCCCCTGGACAAGCTCAGCTTTCACAGCTTTTCCTTCAGCTGGTTCAATATTTTAAAACAGTTCCGGATGAGGGGATGAAACTTAGTCTCACCGGCAGGCCTTCCTATTGCGCGCTTGTTGATTGAGGTAAGGAAGGTGTCCTAATATAGTCAGGCTGAGCCATCTGCGAGACTTCTGGCTGCAGACAGAGCCGTCAGCTGAGGAAGTCCCACTTCTGTGGCCCAGAGCCCAGTTGCTCCAGCACCCAGTCCACTGTGAGGACTCTGCAGGTTGACCTCTCCCCCCCGCCAACACACCCATACACTTACCTCTTCTCTCTCTATATGCACACACATGAATGGAAAGGACGTGTCTGTTTTGGTTCAGGAGCATTCTTTATTTAGATTTGGCTGAGGGTTAACAAGACCACCGTGTATAAAACAGGATCTTCTTTGTCAGCCATCTTGTTTTCTGGGTTGATGCTTTCCCTCTCGTGTTGATCTGGGCTTTGGCCAAAGTTCGACAATTTACCTGAGGGACAAGCGGCTGTGAGCCTTTGGCCAAGCCAATGCCAGACCTTTGCTGAGCCAAGATGTTCCTGGGGGGTTGGATGGGAAATGCCCAGGCTGCCACTGGGGAACGTTGCCCTCCTCCGCTCATCCCAGGGGACGTGGCTCCCCCTTTCCTGCACCCTTCTGCAGAAGCAAAGCCGAAACAAGCCTGGCTAAGGTGGTTCTGCCCTTTGGCCGATGTTTGCAAGAGTCAGGATTTGTTGGGCTCCAACCAGGCCTTGCTCCCAGCTGTAGTCCCAGCCTCCTAGTGCTGTGGGTTCTCCAGATGTTGAGCCTGGCGTGACCCAGGGATGCCGCTTAGAGCTCCACTGCCAGTCATGCCAGCTTCCTGGTTTACTTCTAGAAAGACCCACAGGGCAACTGAAGATTTAAATCTCCGCTCTCCCGGACCCACAGGCACGTGGGGCTGAACCTCAAGGGAGGGGTCACTAAGGAATGCCCTTTTCTCTGAGTCTGGCCTTGAGTGTCGGTTGGACTCGGATCAAGTTATGGCTTTTTCTTTTTCTAACTTGGCACAGAATGTTTTGCAAGACTGATACTTCCTCCAAGACCAGCCTCCGCCAGAGGAAGTGGCTATTCTCTTCCCTCCAGCCTGATACTAACATGGCGTTCCAGCGATCAAACTGCACAGGCCGCCCTCTATCTGCCCCTTCGGCTGGGAAGGTCTTTTTCACGGGCTGAGGGGTCTCTAGACACAGTTATCAGGACCTGGCTACAGTTGGGGAGTGGCCCACACTCCTGGAATTGCCCCCGATGGAGGAAAAGGTCAGGTTCCCCTGCCTTTTCCTCAGAGGAGATTCAGTGTCAGAGGGGGGAGGGGGCTGCTTCCCTTTCCATTGGCAGAGACGCACCTTTCCCTTCGCCCCAGGAGACGCAACCCAAGGATCGCTGCACTCTCAGTCCATTTTATTAAGCAGCAAGGCCCAAACAAGATGCATTTCGGAAACAGGGCTGAGGAATGCATCCTCCAAAATGAGGATTAAAAATGTACATTCGTTTTCCGCTTCCCTTAAGAATTTGCATCAAGAAAACAGGGTGATTCTTCAGGAATTCCTGTTTGCAACTGCACTTCAGTTGGCAGCACAGAGTGAATTTACAATGCTTGGCCACAGAATCAGAAACTTTGGCAAATAATTTAAAATCGGCATCTGCCTTGTTTTCCAGCACAGGCCCCGCCTGGCATCGTTTCTGTAGTGTTCCAGGGTCCTGCCTTGGCTCGTCTTCTCCCAACAACCGCCCCGTTCTGGACAAATGGAACCCGCTGGGACTAAGCGTGAGCTGAAAGGAAAGAGATCAAATCCGACCCTTGAAGATCCAATCCAAGCGTGGCTTAGGGTCTCGCGGGATGCACAGAGGAAGGGGAGGTGAATGGACGGGACGGCAGTGGGCGGTCGGATCTCCATAGCCCTTCCTGGTTGCTCTTCCAACAGCCATACCTGGGAGGAAGCCGTCCCGACCAGGGGTGACCCCCAAGATTACTTCATCCCCAAAGCAGCAGCCATCCCAACTCAAGGTGTGTCTGCAGCCAGGTAGTTGCTGATCCCGGAAGGCCAGTCTGGTCGGCCTTGGCATCTCCCAGGACCTGTGGAAGCCATCCTGTTCTCCCTCATGCAGTCCCACTGCCGAGGCCAGCGAGAGACTGTGGGCAGAGTAGGGCAGGGGCGGAAACACAGCTTACATGATGGTGCACGAAGAGAGCGGGTTCCGGACGTGGCAGGTGCAGGCAGCCCCACAGTATTGGCGGAAGGTCTGATAGCAGCTGCGGTCGGTCTCGCTGCTCCACTGGGCCTGGTTGGCCGAGAGTGCTTCGGCTGGCAGCCTATTGAGGATGCTGGTGTTGACCGCCAGGGCAGCCAACCCGTAGTCAGTGAAGAGCACCGTCTCCCTCTTGCACGTGGGGCAGGAGATGAACTTGTACTTTGGGCAGGACTCGTAAAGGATCTGCAGGCATTCCTCGCACACTGAATGCAGGCAGGAGAGGATGCGCGGGCGTTTGTTGGTGAAGTTGTACGTGTGGCCGCAGGTGGGACATTCCAGGGGCTCAGACGGAGTGGAGGGGTGTAGCACGTACTGGTTGACGATCACCTCGTCCGAGGCCGAGGCTTGGCGGTGGTAGCAGAGGTCGGAGCTGCCCTTGCGCTGCCCTGGATACAGCCGCTCCCGCCGGGGCAGGGGCGGAGTCCGCGACAGCCCCAGAGACCCTGGGTTGTGGTCTAAGGTTGGGATGTCACCGCAGGCCTGGTTAACGATGATCTCGGACTCTGAGGGCCAGGCCCGCTTGGCAACCAGGGGAGGGTCCCGGCGGGGGGCCGGCACATAGCGTGACTGGGAGCTCTGCAGCTCAGAGAACTTTTCAGGATGGATGATCTTCATGGCCTCCATTTTGATGATGACCTGCTGCCCTTTCAGACATGACATGAGGAGGCTCTTCACCTTCCTGTCCGCGGCTCTGGGTCCTCCAAAGGTCTCCTGCATGAGGCTAGATGGGGCTTGTGGCAAGCCAGGCTTTGAAGCGGGCGCGGACCATGAAGGGGCAGCGCTGGAGGGGGACAGCAGGGCAGAGATGCATCCCGCAGCAGGACTGCCAAAATGGCTCCGACCGTCGTGCCGGCTGCGGCCTGGGCCGTCCACGCTCTCTGGGCAAGACAGGTTGCAAGGCGAGGGGCGATGTCCACACCAGACTTTTTATGCCCGCGGATCCCGCTCTCTTGGCAGCAGGCCGTTGGGCCTAGTTCCCAGGAAGGGTGCTTGGCTGGCAGAATGAGACTCAGCTGGCTGACCGGCTGGCTGGGTGAGCAGCAAGGAAAGGAGGCGGGGGAGAGCGCTGGCTGGTGGTTTCTTCTGCCCTGCCAGTGTAGCTGAGCCCACTCGGCTGCAGAGGAGTGGATGGAATGTGATTGGAGTCTCCGGGGGAGGCCTGCGCGCCTTGGTTCCTGCTTAAGTGTGGGGAGATCCTAACTGCTCAAGAATGTGTTTTGCAAATTCCTGAGCTCTGACGTGCAGCTTTCTCGGTGCTCTTTCCTGCAGATCAGGTCCCAGGAAAAGGCCCCCAGGTGAGGCAGGTCCTGCTCAGCTTTGCTCTGGGAGAGCTGCCCCTTCTTCACTTGGAACTGGCTTGGCCCTTCAGAGCCCTGGAAAACAAAGTAGAGCAGCGCAAGTCATTGGACAGCAGTGTTTGTGGGTGCCTTTGCTTTCCCCACCCCAAGCAGCAGATTGGGGCAATAAAAACACTTGTCAGTTCTAAAAGGCGTTCAGAAACTGGGGTCTCTCCTTAAAATACCAACAATCCCGCCTGCATCTTCTGTGCTCTGCTGCTCAACTCCCCACTGGGGACTGTCATTTTTTCTCCCTTATCCCCCGCCTCTTTCTTTTTTGTGGTCTTTATTGTCTGTGGGCTAGGAGTATGCTTATTCTCCTCTGCCTGCTGTTCTGAGGCAACAAAACGCCCCCTGGGGCTATGGGCCCTCTTCGCTCAGCACTCGTTGTCCCTGACCTTCCTACCCAGAGATAGCAGGGACAAAATTGGGCACCTTCTCTGTGCCAAGCATCTTATCTGGGCTTCAACTACCACCCCTTCCTGGAGAGAGGTCTGAGGGGCCTGGAGCTCTGGACTAGGTCTGGTGCTCTGCAAGCCGTTTTTGAAACTTGGCTGGGGGGGGGGCAATACATGGGGCCCGGGCACATGTGTGGAAGGATAGCCTGCAAAAGACCCGCCAGGCCCCAACGTGGTCCAGACATGGATGGGACACAAGGCTGCCTTGGGGGCCCCGTGGAAATGTTTCCAAATGAGCACTGGACTCTTGAGTGCAGGTCTCTCTGCCCCCCTCCCCATTTAGACTGGGGGAAGGATCAGGCAAGGGCTGTGCCAATCTCCGTCTACAGCTGCCAGGACAGTCTGCTCAAGCAGCGCCAGCCCAGTTTCCACACTGCCCTAATAAGAGTCGGTCCTTCTGCATTTGAGAGGCTGGGCCCCTGCTCCGCGCCATGGCTCCCTCGCTCTCAAGCCACAACTTGGCCACATATGCCGATGGCAACTGCAGCTGCTTCCTCTTCAGAGGAATCTGGGAACTCCGAGAGGCCAAAGTTCACCTGAAGATTGTCTCTCCTGGGGGGTTTGTGCAAAGAGCAGAAGCGGGGGATTGTTGCTGAAGACAGTAGCCTGCACTGAAAGGCTGGGGGGGTCTGAATCCCTCTTCAATTGTCACATGACTGTCCAAGTGCAAATCTAAATGACAGAGCTGGTTAAGAAAGCTGGTTAAGGGTTACCCACCGCAAGCCAGGAGGCATTGATGTGGACTAATGTTTCGGGATGGAAGCTTGTGAGAGAGAAAAGCTTCATATTGCAATGCAGTTGCGCCAGTTTTGAACTTTAGGAGCCATGATGGGGAGGCGAAGGAGCCTCGGGAGGAATCGGTGCCATGAGGCGAGGGCACCAACCTAGCGTTTGTCCCAAGCCTGGCCAGGAAGCCTGTTTTGCAAAGGAAGGAACGACGGAGTTCTCCTCTGCCCGCCACTCAGATAAGCGGTGCTGGCAGAGCAGGGGGAGAAGAGGACTGGCTGGCTGACGGATCCTTTCAGCTGCTGCCACCGCCTGGGTGGCTTCCGGGGCCTTACAGGCCCTGCATCGCTCCGGAGCAGAAATCGAGGCCAGACTGTCAGGCTCCTGTCACGGGGGCAGCCCAAGAGAGACGCTCCTGCTGGGTGGCAGAGACGTTCTCGGTGAGGGTGACAAAGGAACAACACTAATGGAGGGGGAAGAGGAGGAGGAGGAGGAGGAGTGGCATCTTTTGAGGGAAAGCGCCTGGTGAATTCAGGCCAAGCTGCTTGCGTCCACCACCCTCCTTGCAGGCTCCGGCTCCAGCAAGCCCATCAAGGCTGCTGCCTTTGTAGCGCAGGCTGCTGCCGGGGCCTCTCTACTCCAGGACCCGTGTCGTTTGGCCCGAGGCAGGTGCTCAAACCGTCGCTCAGGGCATCCCTGCCCGCTCCCCCATCGCGCCCCCAGATCCTCACCTCCGCCGGTTCCCTGTCGGCTGTCCGGGAGCCCCGGACATCCTCCGCGGCTGGCTCCCCCCGCAGGCTGGCGCCGCTCCAGCGGTTCGGCCGAGGAGCAGGTGCGCGGGGAGCGGGCGCCGCGTCCTCCGGCTCAGCCGATGCGCCTCGGGGCCGGGACGGCGGGGGGAAAGCGCCCGGCCGGCGGGTCCTCTCTCCGGTCTCCTAGCGGCCCCGAGGCGGAGCGGGATGCCAAGCTGCGCCCGGCTGCGACTGGTACCCAAGCGAGGCCGCGGCGGCGGCGGCGGCTTCGCCTCCCCTTCTGCGGCGAGCACAAGCCCGGAGACGCGCGGGCTGGCGGGGAAGCCTCGGCCCGAAGGCGACGGGGCCGTTTGCTTCTGGTCGATCGCCTCCCTGCGCTCCCGCGGCCGAGCCCCCGCGGCGCCGCCTCGCTCCGTCCCCCTCTCTTTCCGCAGTGAGAGCACTGCAGTGATGCAGGCGGCCCGGCTCGGCTCGGCTCGGCTCGGCTCACGTTTCCCTCAATCAGCGGCCGCCGCCGCCCCGATCTCGCGGGCTGCGCTGCCTTAGCGCCCGCCCGCCCGCCCGCCTCTGCCAGCCGCGCTGCGGAGAAGCTTCTGCCGGGAGGTCGCGCAGGAAGATAAGAGACTCGCTGGCTTCTGCTCCGCCTTTCTCGCCCGCCCGCCCGGCCGTTGCGAAGTTACCCTTCGAGGCGGCGGCGGCGGCGGCGGCGGCGGCGGTTGCAGCAGCAGCAGCTTCCTTCCGGCTCCCGGGTGGGCCTTCCCTCGCACCCCAGACCGAGAACCCTGCGGGGTTGGTCGCTCTGGAGCCGAAAGGGCAAAGCGGAGGCCAAGTGACCTCCAGCCGGGAGCAGTTGGGCTAGGAAGCCGGCAGAGATGCGGGAAGAAGGATAACAAAATTCCTTTGTGCTTCCAGACATAAAGTGGGATAATTCATCTAACCATGGAGGAGGCACAGATGACAGGCCACCTGCAATTGGTCTGCACCTGCATGCACACCTTTGCTGTCTGTGCTCCTCCCCCCCTCCCCCCCCCCCAGTTAATCAAGACTTACTTGGGAAATCTCCCCTCCCTCTTCAGTTAACCTCAGCCCTATGGTAACCAGCTCCCCTCCTGAGATGATGGTCCTCCAATGTTCTGAACTGGGTATTACAATTGCACGCCCACAAATATACACAGCCACCAAATGCTCCCTTGGAGATTGTTTTTGTGGGTCACCAGGCAGGAGGATTCCCCTTTGTTAAGCATTTCTGAATCCTGCTCTGAAATGAAAAGCTTCTGCTTAATGTGGCTCTCAACCGTTTCTTCAGACAATCTAAAAACAACCTGTGGAATCGCCTGCCTCCAGAGATGGCCTGAGCTGGCTGGCAAAGTGGTTAGCGAAGGAGGCGCGGAAGGAGGAGGAGAACCGTTGGCACTTGAAATCACCCTGGCTTCAGTTCCCGAGGCAGCAGAGAGTGAGTAGCCCTGTCTTGGGCACAGCGCGGAGGGCATTCCTATCTCTCTGCCCCACCTAGACGACTTTGGGTGCTGGTCCCTAGTCCCAGCCAAGGAGGACCCGGGGAATTTGGCTGGCTTGCCCCCAGTGGAAGAGCACCTGCCCTTCTCTTGGGGCACGGAAAGGGCCTGGCTCAGCATCCATTGCCTTTGCCCTCCCAGCTGCGTTTGCAATTTTCCTTTGCACAAAGCTGCCTTTTTTCTCCAGCCCTTTAGTCTCCCTTGGCAGCCCCCTGCCTTGCCCCACTGGACATTGAGGCAGGGGGATGTGGGGGCTGTGGGCAAGAGGGCACTCTCAGAGGCAGGGCTGGCAGACACGATGAACTTGGAGACAGGGCAGCCTGTTTCCGCTGAGGCCCCATCCATAAAGGAGGTGCTATTTTTTTCCTTCGTTCCTTATCGATGCACTATGTTTTCCTTCAAATTTAACTCGTGTGCAAATATGCACAAATTTAATTGAAACTGGTTGGGAAAACCAAGTGGGGGCAGGAAATGATGCCCATTTAACTGGAGGATGCTGTGCAGGCTTAATTGGGCGCCTGGCTGAGGAGGGCAGAGGGCACCGTCTTTTCAGCCAGGATCTTCCCTGGGGAGGCCAAGCGAGCCACTTGCATTCTAAAGCGAGCCACTTGCTCAGAGTGATACTTTGACTTGGTAATGATCATAATGATAAAGAAGATAACATTGCTGATCCCAGTCATGAGCTGGGCTGGAAAGTTTGCTAAGTATGACTAAGAGGCAGCACCGGGCAGGACTGGGGTGGAACCCTCACCACTTGGGGTTTATAACCACAGGGAGGGGCCCAGGAGATGGAAGCGCTGGTTCCGGGACAGGAAATCCTTGGTTTTCCTCCAGCCGGAGACTCGGTGGGCGGTCACAATGGCCAGCTTTCCTCTGCCCCTGGAAGGGGGCTGGGGGGGAGGGGGGAAATCTGTTGGCAGGAGGCAGCTGGACAGGCCCGGGGCTCCCTGTGCTCACGAGAGAGAAGACCGCCTTGGCAAGGGCCGATGGAAGCTTTCACAAAAGTAGACAAGGCCGTTAGTTGGGCTGTTGGGCTGGACCTGACCAGACCGGTCAAGCTGTCTCTTCACCCTGAGCTGAGCGTCAGAGGCTCTCGTGCTTGCAGGTGGTTGTGAGCAGTGTGGCCTTCTCCTTTGGGGAACCAAAATGAGGAATGGGGAAAGTTGCATTTTCTTTTCATTTTACTTACATATACATATTTCCTTGTTTTTAAAAAATTTATACCTCGTATGTAATAGTTCTTTTAATATGTCATTCAGTACTAAAATAGGCGTGTCACGCACAGTTTATCCATAAGTTTAATTACCTGCTGCCTTTTAGAGAACATTTCTTCCCCCCCCCCCAACTCTCAAGCATTGGGGTGGAGGGAGGGGAAGCAAGCCAGGGCTAGGGGAGGGCTGACCCCTAGCGTCGGCTCTGGGGAACGGCACTTGCCCAGCCTGCCTGTCTCCTGGGGAGAAGGGCCCCGAGGCCCGGCTGCCCCCTCGATCCGGTCGGAAGAGCCGCTCTCTGTGGGGAGGGGGAGCAAAGACCGGGACTTGCCGGCCCAGATCTCCGCCCAGGCCCGCTTAAGCCGCCGCAGCCCTTCCTCTGAGCCGAAAGGCGGACGGGGGAGGAAGGGCCTCCATCCGGCGAGCCGCTTCCAATGAGTAGCGGAACTTCGGAGGGGGCATCCTGAGCCCCCTGCCCGGTGGGCCCTGGGAGCTTTTGCCGCCCCCGGAGCCCTGCGATCGGGGCAAGGCGCAGGCGGAAGGCGGGCGCCGGGTTGGGGAAGACCGCCGGCAGCGCCTGTTTCCCGGGCGCTTTTCCCAATGGGCCGGCGGGGGTCGCCGCCTGGAGGGTCGCGTCTCCCCCCCTCGGAGGGCGAACCGCCGCCGGCGTCGGGTGTGAACCGGGGGGGGCGCGGCGGAGCTGCTGCCGCGGCGCGTGTAAGCCCGAAGCCGGGCCGGGCGGGCGGGCGGAGAGCGGCGGCGGGGCTCGCCTCGGCGGCCGAACTTTGCTGGGCGGTGCGGAGAAGGTCGACCTGCGAGGGCGGGGGAGGGCCGGGTCCCTCCCCGGCTGGAGGCGGAGCAGACCGTTGGCAGAGAGAGGCCAGCGCAGGCCGGACGGGCGGCGGATTGAGGGGACGTCTTCCTCCCGACGATCCTGCGAGGTAGGTCGGGGCCGCGCTGAAGCCGGCTCTGTTCCCCGGGGCGGCGAGGCTGGGGTCCGGGTAGGCACCGGGGCGCGGTTGGTCCTGCTCAGAGAAGGCAGGCGGGGAGCAGAGGCGGCCGCCTTGCCTGCCAAGCCCGGGGAGGTGCTGGCCTGGCAACCTGGGCAGCCGAGCCCTTCCAACGCAGGACGCTTAGCTTGGTTTAGAGCAGCCTCTGCGTCCCCGGGGCAGCAGCCCTCCCCGTGGGTGGGAAGACGTTCCGCTGGGGGAGCTGCTGTCCCCCCCCCCCGCATAATTCATCCCAAATGCTGGAGAGCGAGTGACAGCCCGCTGACCCCCCCTTTCCTCCGTGTTTACTTTCTCAGTGCCCTTGTTGTCTTTTGTGCTACTGTTGCCACAAAGTGGCCAGGTGAAATTGGGAGGACCGGCTCTCTTGCTTTGGCCAGCTGTCCAGGCGGCAGCGGGACCCCCAGGCCAGAAGGCAGCTAACGCTTCGGAAATGGGCCCCTTTTGTAGGCTGCCAGACTTCTCCTGTCCATTCTTTGGAAGAAGGGGGATGGCTGGTTCCTGACGTCCGCCATGATTTTACCAAAGTTAGTTTCAGTACGATTCTTTTTAATGCCTCCTTTCTTGCTCTGCAACATGGGGAAATTGCTGACAATAAAATCTCCTTTTTGTCTCCAAGCGTTGGTTCTTTTCTTTGGCGACCCACCAGGGAAGCAACAGCTGGGCAGGCCAGGAGCCACCCTCGGAGTCTGCTGTAACCGCTGCTCTTCCAGGAGCGTCTGCAGGCAGAGCAGACGGCCATGGACCGGGGGCTCACCATCGAAAACCCCTATGCCAGCGTCACCATTCCGCGGGCGCAACTGAAGGACGACTTCCTGAGATATTACCTGGGGGAGGACTTCAGTCCCAACGTCTTGCCCCCCTGCTCGGAAGCCCCACAGAAAGAGGCCGATCCAAAGTCTCCCTCTCTGGCTTGGAGCGGCCAGAAGAGCCAAGCGCAGGTGGAGTCACAGGCCAGGCCCACCAACCCCTATGCCAGCCTCAAGGGACTGGGAAGGGAAGGGGCTCCGGAGCCCTTCCGCTGGAAGAGCCAGGAAGAGGCAGCTCCGGATCCCGGCTGCTGCGGCTGCTGCGGCTGCTGCTGCTCGCCTTGCTGCAGGAAGTGCTGCTGCGTCGTCTCCTAATCGAGGAGCAGTTGAGGCTGGCTGCTGGGCATCGCCCTCCCTCCGCCAGAGCAGGTGTGACCCAATGCCCGGGAGGCCTAAAGGAGCGGTCAACTTTTCTTTCCCCTTGAAGCAGCGTGGGCAGCGGAAGAGGGAGGTCTGAGCCAGCGTTCCACGAAGAACAGGGAAAAGGTTCGCCCAGCAAAGAAAGATGATGAAGTGTGGACATGGCGCTAACCCTGGAGCTGGAGCTGGGAGCCGGATTTGCTCCCTCTCTGCAAGGACCACCCAGAGCAGGGCCAGGAGGACTGTCTGCCGTGCTTTCCCTTCCCTTGGGCACCTGGCCTCACCACCCCTTTCTCTGGAGGCAGAATTGGGGGGGGGGGTGGGGGGAATGGGTAGAAGTCAAATGGAGGCGGAGCCGGCACTGCACTCCAGCAGGAGTGTGAGTGTGTGTGGCTGCCCGGGGGGGGGGGGGGACGGGACGGGGGGGGGGAGGCCAACCTTGCTTGCTCAGGGTGGGGCCCTTGGCCTTTGCCCTTCAAAGGGAGGCTCAGTGAAGGTGCTGTGTCAATAGACAGGGTCATAAAACTTGTCCTTGTCCAGCCTGGTGTTCGTGGGAGGGGCACTCCAGCTCCCCCCCACCTGCCTGCCCGGTTTTTCTGCATTCTGTGGAAGCCTTTCCATTTTCCTTATCTTCACCCAAGGCAGCCTGGCTTGGGACCTGCTTTCTGAGCCTCCCAAGGACACACACTCAGAAGGTCAGCCGTGGGCGTTCCTTGGCACAGCCCCAACAGGGCGAGATTCCTCGTCTCCCTTGCCAACCTTGCCCCACCAACCTTCCTGCGTGTGGCACCCTTCCTCGTTCTCTGCCACGCCCTGGCAGCCCTGCCTGGCCTCCCTTTCCACTTCACTGGCAATGAAGGCATCCGTGCCGGAGCGCCGTGGCTCAGGAACAGGCACCTGTGGCCCAACTAGAGGGCAGAGGGCTTTGGCGCTGCTTCTCCAATGCTGCCGGGGAGGGGGAGCTGGCTTCCTGAGGCCTGGAAAGCAGAGTCCGGCTCTGAGCTGAAGAGAAGAAACCAAACTCATGGCTCAGGCTGACTGGACAGCAGGGCACCCTACGAGCGCAGAATAAAAAAGCCAAAGGAAAAATAAGAGGAATAGCGTTGCTTTCGGGGCGTCGGCTCATCCATTCGGAGGTTTTTCCTGACCGGATTTCTCAGTTCCTTCGATAGTGGTGGAGAGTCCCGTGGGAGACATTTGGAGACGTTTCTGCCTTGGAAATGGCCCATGTTGAACTGTATCAGCACAGGAAATATTTTATGACATTTTGTATTACGATAATGTTATTGTCACAAAATGTTTTATAAAATTTGCCAAATTGCAATTCCACTGGAGTTATGAGTCCTGGATTTTGGACACATTCTGTAAGTTAGCCCACTTGAAGTACTTGGTCCAAAACGTTTTGCCCTCTGGTCAGTTTCGCCCAGTATGTGGAGATTTACTTACGTGTGTGTGCCAAAGGGGATTCCGGGCTTCCTTCCTGCTAAGGGGAGGGCACACGCTTGGAGCTGGGAGTTTGCCGGAAGCAGCAAGCTCCCCCCTCCTGCTTCCCCTTCAGGCACGGCTTTCCTCACCTGGCAAGGTGAGAATAGAAGCGATGGCTGCAAAATGTCTGAACCAGCCATGATGCTGCTGCTGCCGGCCCAGGAGGAGCAGCCTTGCAGAGTCTCTGGAGTCTCTGCGGAGGAGCCTCCTCCTCAGCTGCCGGGCGAGAGGGAGCCAGGAACTGGTCAGCATACAAGCAAACAGCAGAAGGCAGGCCTTCGCCACCTAAATCCCCCCCCCACCGCCCAGGAGAAGAGCCGACTGGTACCCCTCATCCCCCTCTCCTAAAGCTATGCCTCCCTCGAGGGAGCCCAGTTAAACGAACTCCCCCCCACCGCCCTCCGTTCTGTGAGGGGTTGAGGAATGTGGCCGGGCGGGGGGGGGCTGCCCCACTGCTGAAGTGGTCCCATTCTCTTCCTGCTTCCTTTTATTGTTCAGTCCATTTGGAAATTATAGAGTCTTTATGACAAACAGGTGCCGCATGATGGAACAGTAGTCAAACTCTGAACATTTCAGAAATGTGGAATTGTTATTTAACTTTTTTAATCTTTCTTTCATGATCAGGAAAGCTAGTAGATTGCCAGTTCAAGCAGCAGGGACTAAACGCTGAGCCTGAAAGCCACCCATAAGAGGCTGGGTGGGGTTGAGGAGTCGCCCAAAGAGGGGCATCCTTTCTGCAGAGGAAGGAGGGCCAGGGAGGGAGCTGCCGGTGAGAGGTTCCCTTCTAGACCGTTGGCCAAGGTTGGGGTTTCAGGCTGGAGAACGGCGTCCCGGAGGCTAATCTGAACCTGCAGAAGGAGCAACTCTACTAGCAGGCCTGCTTTGCACACACACACACACACACACCCCGTCTCTTGTGGCCGGCAGTGTGGCCCTCAGGCTGTTCTCCGGTTGCCCAAGGGGCTTCCCTGAGAGGCTCACCTGAGGCTCCTCAGCCAGCAGCCCCTCTCTTCCAGGTATCCTCCCCCCTGCCTCCTGGGACAGAGACTAGAACAGTCTCTCTCTTTCACCTTGGCAGGTGAAGCCCATGCTGCAGGCTGAGACCAGAGGCTGGGTTGGGAGGACCTGTGGAGAAGGAGGGACACGGGGACCCTGAGGTCTAGGAGGGACCGTCGCAGATGGCTCTGGAGGTGCAGGAATCTTTAAATCCTAGGGGTAGTTGCTCCTGTGGGCAGAATGCGAGCACTCCGGGCGTTTGTGCAAAAGGCGGCTTCAGGACTGACATCCAGGGCACTGCTGGGAGGTGAGTTGGAGGAGGCAGGCAAGGAGGGAGCGTATGATTTCTGTGGCTATTGTCGGCCAGGACAACAGTAATTCTATCTTGTGAAGTTGGCCTCCTCATGGTAGCTACGGTGCCAGCAACTGTGCCTGAAATGTGAACCTCAGATAATTCAGTAGGGCGAGCGGCTGCGGCTAGAAGCTGTCAGCCTCCCTTTCTTTCTCTGGAGGAGAGTGAAGATGCAGCAGGAGCAGGAAATGTAAGTTTCTCCCGCAGAAACCGCCTGCTGATTGTGTAGCCCCAGAGCCCCATCAGCTTCTACACTTTGGCCTTGGGTAAGGTGAGCTTTTGCAGAGGATCGTGACCTGTTGCAGCGGTCACCCTTTTTGGGTTGCTGCATTTGGCAAGGGCTTCCATCTAATTTTCTCGCTTGTCACTTGAATTAAGGCTCTTAAGTGACTGGCTTGGTCAACTGGTTGTCTCCTGCTTTCAAGGGGTCAGTTTTGCTGGGCAGCTTTGCATGAAAATTGCGGGTGGTGACGAACATGATTCCCCCAAAGGAACAAGCCACCATTTAAAACCTGTAATTCCTTTGCCAGCATCCTCTCTGTCCAGATCACAATGTGACTGGGAAGTTGTGCAAAAAACCCCCCCCCCATTTTTTTACTCTAGTTCAGGGCTTCAGAAACCGAATCGGGAGAAGATTTAGGAGTTTCCGACTGACGGGCATTGAAAAGCGGTCCCAGAGCTCACTGCCTTCTGCAGCAGGCAGATTTGAAAAAGTAGTGACTGAGACCAACTGGGGCTGCCGCCCAAAGTCCAGTTCGCCTCTGGCCCTGAATGACTCTTCTCTTGGGTTCTTCCCTGCAGGATTGCTCTGGCTTCTGGGCTTGAGGACGACGAGGCTGCCAAGCCCGGCCCGGAGGCCACTGTCCCCAGTCCCAGCAGCCTGAAAGTGGAGTGCATCATCTGTTACTGTTGCTATGACCTCTCTGCCCACCTCCCTCGCCGCCTCCACTGCGGCCACACATTTTGCCAGGCTTGCATCCGGCGCCTCAACGTGGTGGCCAGTGAGCAGTGGTGGATCCCGTGTCCCCAGTGCCGCCAAAACACCCCCACCCCGCGTAGAGGGGTGGCAATGCTTGACTTGGACCTTGTGGCCTTCCTCGCCATCAAATCCGAGAAGGCAGTTCCCCAGCAGGGAGGCCGGCTGCAGCTGGAGTGGTTCTCCAAGGAGAGGCCGGTCATCACGGAGCAGCCGAATGGCTCCTGCCAGGAAGTTCTGCCTGAGCCCCAGCCTTGCTTTCCCCAGAACAGCTGCTGCCGCTGTGACCCCATGCTCTGCTGTGGAACCCTCGCAGCTTTTCAGAGCTGAATTAGCTTCCTGCCTGCCTGGGGCAGAAAGTGAGAAGAGAGGAGAAGCCTTTACTCATTGCTGAACTGCAGAGTCCAGGATTTTCTGAAAATGTCTCCATCTTTGCTGCATCTTGCAGGACTTCCCCACTCTGGTGGCTTTCTAGCAAAATCTGACCAGCCCAGGGCTGGATGTAAATCTTCTGGTCCGTCTCAGTGCTTGCTTGGGGATAGCAATCTGGGCATGGCTGCAGACGATAGCCGGCCGGTCCTATTCCTCGGTTGTGTACTTAGCGAGGTGTCTTGGTTTTTTTCTTAGTTGAGCCCCCAGGGCTTCCCTTGAGAGTTTAGACTTCTGCTGCTGAGAGTGTGCAGAGGATAAATCTGACCTGCAAGGGTCTCTCCCAGCACATCCGGTGGCTCAGACTCTGCCCCGGTCTCTTTTTAGTAAATGACAGGCTGCTTCCAGAGAAGCACAAGGTCTGGAATGGCTGCCATTTTTACAGAGGAAGGAGATTCCTATGTGGAGTTTGTCTGAAATGGTATAGGATCTCGCTTAAGCAAGGGGGTTATACTAGAAGACCTCCAAAGTCCCTCCAACTCTACAATTCTGTAGCTCTGCTCTTCTCCCTCTTTTATCCTCCCCTGATCCCCTCTTGTCTTTCTGCTGCCCTGGGCATCAGGCACCCTTGGAGCAAACACCCTCAGGCCTTCTCTGTTTTCCATGTTTGAAGAACATGCTTGGGGTGTAACTCTATTGGATGCTGAGGCTCAGCAAAGTAACATTCTTTAACTCTATAAGTTTTGTAAAAGGTATATTTTCTTAATATTTTTAAGTTAGTCTCTTCTTCAGAAACTGGAATGTCTTTCTGACAAGAGTTCACAAATGAAAAAATATCATACTGCCGTGCTGCTGAAATAGTAATATTACAATATTTTCTGGTATAAATTATATCATTATTAGAAGAAAGTAATGTTAACATTGATGATCTACAGAGGTGCTAATTTCACAAGAGGTCAGTACCGGACAGTAAATTTTGATTTTCAAATCTGTGATACCTGAATGCTTCTCAGACACTTGGTAAAAACGTTGTTTAACTGCCTGTTTTTCATCTCCATCCCCTTAATTTCACTTGTCGAATTTGGCACAAGTGAAAGTGCTGAATCTAGCCCATCTTGGATGTTTGAATGACAGGTAGGCAGAGTCATATCCGATCATGCAGGGATCTAAAAAGTTTGGCTGCTTCTGCTTTCCTGATGCACCATTCCTTGATCTGCAAAGTCATATTTTAGCTTGAGATGCTTTGATTGTTTTTAATTAAAAGTCACAAGTCTGTTTTTCCAAATATGAACCTGCTCATGATTTTTCCATGCCTCGATATTTATTGATTTATTTTTTTATAAGTGGCTGTCATTATAAAAAAAACCCAGGCAAATTCTTACTCATGAGTGTGCTTAAAAGGCAGCCACAAAGTTTTACAACCTGCCCCTGGAGGTTGCGCAGAGGGGTAGCCCCACATCAAGGGGAAGCCAGCCTGGGAACCTCTTCAGGAAAGCCTGCCTGGAAAGGGCAGCCAGTTTCTGGGTTGCGCCTCCCCTTCGGGGCAGGACGCAGAGAGTCTCTGCAGAGGCGGGCCTGGGGAGGCTCGGGGAGACCTCGGGGCCTGAGCAGAGCCCTAGGCGTCTGGGCCTGCTGCTCTTGCTTGTGGCCAGGCGAGAAGATAGGTAGGAAGCATTCGGGCAGGTCTCCTGTTGCTCTGACCCTCGGAGGTCTCTGGGCCTGCCAAACTGGGGAGGCGCAGGTTTCTAGGGAGGTTTTTGGACGCTGCCTCTGGATGTCCAGGTTGCTTATTCCCCCCTCCCCCAATGGCACTGGCCCCCCGTCCTTTCCCTGTTCTCGCTCCAGTTCCTGGGTGAGGCCTAGTGAGGCCTAGCGGCAGAGGCCTCACCGGAGAAGCCTGCCTGGAGTTAGCAGGCACGTGTGGCCCAGAGGGTCCCTGGAAGGTCTTGGCCAAGAGAGAGCAGAGAGGTGATGCTCTGGCTGTCCGACCCGTGGGCGGAGGGGCCCCGTGATGCCCAGGGATGTCCTCCCTCAGAAGGGGCCCAGCTCCTGGGCAGGACCCCTTGTCCCCTGCTGCACAGTGGGGTAGGGTGGGGAGTTTCCAGTCCTACTCAAACGTTGGTCCTCCTTTTACTGGCGGGTGTTCCAGTTGGACTGTGTTACCGAATATCTGGGCAGCTCTCAAGTGAGGGCCCAGCTTGGCTTGATCAATGGTGGAAATGTATCCACTTGAAGGTGTTCTCACATCCCGGAGGCTGCCGAAGAAAAATGATGGTTTTCCTCTGATCTTAGGACCCGTTGATATGGGTGGAGCAGAATCGCACTGGCAGGTAGCCTGGGGGCCATTGGCATTGCTCTTCGTAAGTTCTGGTGAGAGGATAATTCATCTAATCTTCTGTCTATGCAAACAGAGATCTCCCTTGCTGTCACCCTGGTCAGAAGTGCTGGTCTGACCGATTATCATGCTCCCCAAGTCCTCATTTTGAAATATTTCCTTTTCATGCCCTCTTGTTTCTTCCACTGCTGGGTCTGCCAAATCTCATTTTGTTATTTGGATTTAAAGATTTTGACCTGTGGATTCTAAAAGGCCTTGTGAGTCTGGCTGTGTGAATGAGGACAGAAAGACACACAGAACATGCTAGAAGATTGCTTGCAGAACCAGTGCCAAGTTGCTGGTAGACCAAAGAACAAAGCTGGCCTGTAGTAAGAAGAACAGATCACCTATGTGCTCCACCGTGCCTGTGATAAGTGGCTGTTCCTGAGAAGGTTGAGCCTTGGCCTGATGTGTCTGAAACTCAGTAGTCGTTGTAAGATTGAGTGGAACTAAACACCAAAGGACTAAAGTTTAGCCCTTTTCTGTTTAGCAACAAACATTCTGATCCAAGCTGCACGTTTACTGCTTCTCCACGCAGGACAGGGGTGGTGCCCCCCAAAGTGGATCCCATACCGAGATGAGTTCTGCTTCTATCTCCCGGCTGCTCCTGCTCTCTCCTGGAAGGAGGCCAGAATCTTCTGTCAGGACCAAAAGGCAGATCTAGCGGTTATCAAGGATTACAGCAAGCAAGTAAGAAGTGGTCTTTGCAATCTGCACTCTCTGTGCAGGGGTTTGGCTTGGGTCCAGCTACCATGAAGACAGCTCTGTTGCAGATAAGGCAGCAGCTGCACCAGGCCCAGACAAGCTTTAACCTGCCCACTTTCTGTAGAAGTGGAGAGAATGCTGCTGTGGCCTCAGCCTTGCCTTTGAAACTTACCTTGGCACAGACGTTCCTGAGGGACCTTACCGAAGGTGCCAGGGGTCATGCATCGTACTTCTGGATTGGGCTGGCATGGCGAGAGGCTCAGCTCACCTGGGTGGATGGCACTCCAATATCACAGAGTTGGTACAGGTGAGGGAGGAAAGAGTTTGGTGTTTGGTGGGTGGGTGGGTGGGTGTCGCGAGAGAAGGGAGGATTCAGCCAATGTACACAAAGCCTGAAGACGTGGCCTACTCAGCCTCTCCTCTCCCCTCGCTTCCTGACTGGGGAAGACCTTCCCAGATGGCCTCCGGGTCACGGAACGTCCGTCGACATTCTTTTTTCATGCAGTCCTATTGAAATCTCTTCCAGCTCATGCATTGGTTTTGGGTTTTTCAATTTCACCAGCCACTGGCTGCAGGGCCACCCCGGGAAGGAGCACTGCGTCCAGCTTGTGGGCATCTACACTGCACAGTGGAGAGACTGGGACTGTGAGACCAGCACCTCGTTTATCTGTGAGAAGCCAATAAAAGGTATGGCAAGAAAAACTGGCTCTTTCTCCCTCCCAACCCCAACCATAAGCAAGAATAACACATGACAGATACGGTGGGAAATGGAATTGAATTAGGGGCGTACATACCCAGGAAAGGCATCCTGGGACTCCTCCTGATCAAACCTGACTTAGCCCACATCTGTTACACACACCAGACAACTCACCCTCAGGACATGAAAGCAAAAGGTGCTTCCTGATGAGTTCCCACATTATCGTTACTTAGTAGTCGAGTGCCTCTGAACATGGAGGATTCATCTGCCCTCTCCAGAGGAGTAGAAGGTGTTGCTAGATATCTTCTCCTTGATAGGAAACCAGTTTCTCTTTGAAACCACGACCTGGATACTTGAGAATCTCCACAGACATTTTTGAAACTCACATTTTTTTCTGTCTCGTCCAGATGCCTTTTCCAGCATCACCAGAAAAGTGCGTTTCCGCTCTCACTGCTATGCCTTCCATTTCCCATCCTTGCGGGAACAGAGGTCGTGGAGAGAGGCCCAGTCTTTCTGCCAGAAGCTCGGAGGGAACTTGGCCATTATCCACGATGAAGAGGAGAATACGTTTCTCTCAAGTAAGAGGTCTGCCGATTCCCCAGGGGCTTCGTCAGATTCTTAATCAGTTTTCAAAGTTGCACAGGCTGATCAAAAGCGACCCACTTGGAATGGCCAAGCTCAGCTGTCGCCTGTCTTTCGGTTCTCTGCTTTTGCTCTCCTAAGAATGACTGCATCCACCCCGTGCATGCTTGATGGAGAAGAAAGAAGGAGGGGGTCGATGCTCTTCAGGTGACTCATTCCTGCTGGTTCTGCCCCCCTCTCCTTTCAGGTGCCTTTCCTGAGGATGGCTGGCACCTGTGGATCGGTCTGCGCCTGGGGGCCCTGTGGAAGTGGAGTGATGCCTCGGCCCCCACCTACCTCCGGTGGCACTCAGGTACTTTTCTGGGCCCCTGTGTTACGTGGCTGAAATCTGTTATTTGTCCTGACATTTCCTTTTTTTAAAGAGCATTTTGGGTTATAATTAAAATGAAACCATAAATGTCAGAAGAAAAAAAATCCCATTACCCTGTTACAGCACATTTCTATAACATTATTATGCTACTTTAATGAAAATGGCGTGGGAGTTTTACTGTACAGAGGGAGGGCCTATTCACAGATTTTAAAACTTTCCTGTTACACCATCTTGAAGAAAGTTTTAACCTGCTTGTGAGAATAGGCTGCAGGGTGTCCTGGAGATGTGGGAGGCTGACTTGAGTCCAGCATTCCCCTTCCTCTCCCATCAGCCCCGACCACCGGCCAGGACCAGTGCGTGGCGCTCAGTCTTCGGCCCCTGGATAGCAGGCAGCACGGGACATGGAAAGCCAGGCCTTGCCAGGTGCGCCCCACAGCCGAGTACGTAGGTTTCATCTGCCAACTCCAGTACGGTGAGTGCAATAAATTGAGGTGGGAATTGCCAGACAGGTCCACACCCAGGTTGCTTTTTCTAATAGTACTCAGTCTAAATAACCAAGGAAGTGTGGAAGCCTATAGAATAACCTCTTACTCTTGTGTTATTGTGGAACACGGTGGTGACTTCCACAATGGGGAACATGCTTCAGGAATATTTTTGTGTGCCAAGCCCAGAAGACTAGGCCTCTGGCCTGTTGAACTTACTGTTATCTAAAGCTCTAGAAAAGTCAGATCCTTTCACAGGCTGGGAGCCTCACATCACTTCAAGAGATGATCCAAATACTATTTCAGAACCCAGCTGTAAATTCCCTCCACACACTGCTCTTCCTGGACTTCTTTGAAGGAGGCCTACTTCATTCTGTTCTTTGCTGGCAGATTCCTGTGGCCCTCCAGAGCCTGTTTGGTTTCTCCTCCCGGGCGGGATGGGTCCTTATGCCACAGCTGATGTCACCTTCTCCTTGCCTGGCCGTGCCACCTTCTCTCTGGCTTTGACCTGCTTCCATCCGAATGGCACCCTCTTCTTGATCATCTTTGAATACAATGCCACTCATATCCATGGCAGCATCTTTAGTGAACACGGCAGATTTCTGGTGCACAAGAATTACCCTCATGCACCTTTTCCCTCCGGCCTCAACACCTGGAGCTTCATCAGCTACCCAGATGGCTTCGCCTGCTTCTTCAACCACCAGGAGCACTTCCGACTGTCAGACAGCCAAGAGGTCTTCCTTGCGAACATCAGCTCCTTGCAGATAAGCGGAGCCACCGTAGTCAACGCTTCCCTGGGTAGGTTGGTCCAGCCAGTCTCAAGCAGGCACAGCAAGGGACGTGGCCAGCTGCCTCAGGGGGAGGGGGACAGGACTGGCCTGGACTGGCCTCCACTCAGTCGGAGAAGGGTCTGAGCATGGGATGCTGCTTCTCTGGCGGCTACTCTGCTCTCCTCCTCCTCGCAGAGGGAGCCCTTCTGGGAGAGCCAGTCTTGTAGCCATGCGCTGGAACGAAGGAGGCAGGAGGTCCCCGGCGACTCTGGTCAAAGATGGCTGTCTCCAGATCAGAGGGAAAGGCAGAATTCAGAGCTTTCTGGTTGGGACTCTCCTGAGTGTTTTGAAGGGGCACGGAGCCCCTGTTGCCCCCCTCACCCCTTGGCGTCTTCTTCCAGAGTATCCGCTCTCCTCTGACTTGCGCTTCCCTTACGGGAGCAGCCTGCAGCTGGAGGATGCCATCCACCGCTACCTGGGCAACTTCACCCTTGGGCTGTGGATCCGAAGCTCCTTCCTGGCCTCTCCTCGGATGTGTGCAGTCAGCTACTCCTTGAAGTGGCAGCAGCAGGCAGAGTTTGCGCTCTTTCTTCTCTCCCCTTCTGGACTGGAATTCTACGCCAAGGGGTGAGGCGGCAGGGGCTGTGCTATTGGCCCTCCCTCCCTGGTGCCATCAGGAATCCATAACCCCTTCCTCTGACATCCCTCCCTACCCACTGGCCACACGGCCGTGCCTGGGAATGAGCAGCGTGAGAGAGCCACGCAGGGAACCGAGCCTTTTACCGTGTCCTGCTCTGATTCTGCTCGCAGGGCCCTGCTGTTCAGTGGCACCCGAGTCCTCCTGTTGGATGGATCCTGGCATCACCTGGCTGTCTCGGTCTCCAACACTCCCGGTGTCGCTCCCGTCGAAGTCTTTGTGGATGGAGAGACCTGGCAGCCAGAGCTGACTGAGAGCGGGGGCTTCCTGTGGAAAGGGCTGTCCCTGGGAGGAAGACTGAGCCTAGGGCAGCTGGAAGGGGGTGAGTCCTGGCTGAGTCTCTTGGGGATGATTTGCTCCATGGTATCCGTGGCGGGTCTGCACGGGTGCCAGGAGGAATGGCCTTTACCATCTCAAGTGCCCTTCCCCCCCTCTTCTTCTTCTCTGTCAGGCTGGTATCTAAGACAGAGAGAGAGCAGCATCCTGGCTATAGTTACTGATTTATTTGTACATGTGCGTGTATTGCATAAGGTGGGGATCTTGCTAACCAGGGTCGTCTTGCAGGGACCAGCTTCTACGCGGGCGATCTCAGTGAGATGAATCTGTGGGACCGAGCTCTTTCTGAGTTCTCGGTGAAGCAGCTGGCAGCCCTGAGAAACAGGTGGAAGTTCCCCGGGACCGTGGTGAGCTGGAGCCAGCTGGTTGCGAAGAAGCCTCCAGGTGTGCAGATCAGCCCTCCCAGTGAAGAGCCAGGTAAAGTGCCGGGGGGGGGGCAATTCTGAAGGGTTGGCTGGACACCAACTATGGGTGCCCTATCGGGGGAGTTTGTTGGGGCATCGAGATGGGTTGAGATGGGGGTGATGCAGCTGCCGGTCTGTGGGTGCTCCATGTTTCCCATTTATCTTTGCACCCCCAGTTGGCCCATTTGTTCACCTCCTTTTGCTGATGGCTGAATTGCTGCCTCTCTCCCCAGGAGGAGTGGGGATCCCTTCCCAATTTCTGGTATCACCTTCCTTCCTTGCTTCCTCCTTTTCCGCCTTTGCCTCTAGCCGCTGCCCGAAGCCTAGTCCGTCCCACTGTTCAGCAGGGTCCCTTGGTCTGGGGATGAGCCCCCAGGGTGATTAAGGCAGAAGGAATCTCTTCCTTACTCAAAAACCGCTCCAGCTCTTCGTCCTCTTGACCCCAGAGCTCCCAGAGGACAAGGGTTAAGTTCACTCTGGTGCTTTGGAAATAAATGGTGAACCGGAATGTCTTTCTTGCTCCTCCTCTCCTCTCCCGCCCTCCCCGGCCCCCCAGCTCCTCCGTTTGTGTGGCTTGGCCTCCTCCGGCTCAGAGAGAAGGAGGCTTGGGTCCTCTGCACAGACCCAGAGCGGCCCGTCCTCCACATCCAGCCCCTGCTTGGCCCGTGTGCCAGGCGGGCTCTCTGGGGGTTGCAGCTGAACGGTCGACTCCGCAACGTTGCAGACCCTCCCGCCTGTCTTCTGGTCAGTCACTGCTTCTTTGCATTCTTAACTCTGTATTTTGCCTGTTTGTCTTTTTGTCCCTGGAGACCCTGGAGGAGTCTGAAGACTGTAACTGTCTGAGGGTGCGGGCATTCCTGAGTCCTTCAGAAAAGTACCCCTTGGTTTATGAGCCAAATGCAAACCGGTTCAAGGTCATGCGAGCCACTCGTGGTCCACTCTGTGCAGGTCACCTCAGGCGGGTCCTCGGTGCTGAGCAGCTGGGACTGCTCTGCCGACCCCCGGAGCAGCTTCCGCCTCTTGCCGGACATGCGGCTGCAGAGTCTGCACTCGGGCCTCTGCTTGTTTCAAGAAGCCGCCAATGCTACCCTGTATCTGGGGAAATGCACCCCTCGGGCTCTGTCCTTCCTTCTGGATCAGGGTACGTACGGTCTCCCTTTTCCCCATCAGCAGTTCAGCGTTGCTCCCAACGTTCTCTGTCCTGTCTCTGCCTCCGGCGAGGCTCTGAAAAATCCTCTGGGGAAGGGAAAGAGACGGGATGAATCGGATGCGTCTCCTGCCCCCACCCCCCACCCCAAGCGCTGCTGGGATCGGGCTCCTTGTTTGGGAGGCCACTGAGCCTGCCCCTCACTCTGAGGCCGGAGGAAGCCAGTTGCGTTCACAGCCCCCTCCCCCGGCCTGGTCTTTTCTCCCCAGATGTGCACTGCCCCCGCTCTAGAGGCTGGAGACCTTGGAAGGACAAATGCCTCTTCTTCGTGCTGGATGCAGCCCTGGAGTGGAGCCAGGCGCAGAGGTTCTGCCAGCGGTTCCACGGGGGGAGTCTGCTCTCCCTGAACAGCCCGCAGGATCTGGTGAGCAGTTGAGCGCTGGACCTGGGAGTTGCTGGCAGGGCTGCCTGGAGCAATAAGGCGAAGGGCCCACCCGCTCTGCATCTTTCTGGGAGGCTCCAAGCCCAGCCAGGAGGCAAGGGCCCTGCCTCCTCTGGGGCCCGGAGATTTGGGTGGGTGGGGAGGAGCGACGGGCAGTTCTGTGGGTTTGGCCTCCAGATGGCCGGGAATCCCACCGGGCGGAATTGCGCCCGCCCCCGTGTGTGCCTTGCAGATGTGGCTGCAGGGACAGGTCCCAAGGAGCCTCTGGACGGGTTTGCACAGCAGGGGCAGAGATCTGTGGAGCTGGCTGGACGGGTCCCAGTTCAACCAAGCCTTGCGGCGGTAAGAGGCCTCCCCACCCCCGAGGCTCCCCTCCGAGAAGCCCTCTGCCCTCTGTTGATCTGCCCCAGCCACAAAATGGCCAAGGCTAACTCTGCCCACTCCCGGCATGTCGAGATCTTCTCTGACTGGGCCACATGTGTTGTGGAGCTTTCCTGGGTTTTTTTCACACCTTCCCCTCTTTCTCTTTTTCACGCAGCTTCGTGTTCTCTCTGAAGCCTTCCGGCACGGCAGTCTGCATGCTTGCTCTGGCCTCTGGCTTCCTGAAGGCCGAGCCTTGCCACAGGCCTCACCGGTGGATATGCCAGGCTCCGCGCCGAAGCGGTAAGAGCTGGTGGAAGAGAGCGCAACGCTTTGCCCCTTGTCACACAGTTCTACTGTCTGGCGAACAACTTTTCCACAGAAATGATACTTAGAGGAGCCCAGGAACCCCTTGTGGCAAGGTGGAAGCTGCGGATGGTGGTGTTTTGTGGCCGATGGTGTTAGGGAATAGAGAAAAAAGGAAGAAGAGGACAGGGGGGCCTAAACATGGCCAGGAAGGAGACGGAGCTACCTGGGACGGGAGGCCGAATTGCCACTCCAGCAGTGCTCTAAAGGTGGCCTAAGCAAAACCTCAGCCTTCTGGTCAGCTGCTGCCTGGTCTGAATCCCTCTCCCTTTCTTGCCTTTTTAAGAATGATCGTTTTCATTTACTAAGCAAGCCAGCTGGAGCACCGGCTGACCTTCTCTCTTGGCCAAAGGAAAAGCGGGGGTGGGGGGGGAGGAGAGGGCCCGTGAGAAGAGCAGGAGGGCTGATGCTGGCTCACCTGCAGGGACTGTCGCCTGGGACCCTTCCGGCTGCAGACGGGGGGGGGGGGGCTTGCCTTTCACCCGGCCTCTTTGATCTCCTCCAGATTTATACGTGACCTTCCCTGGGACATCCTTTGTGGGCGCCAAGGCTGCAGAGGTGAGCTTTCGTTCGCTGCAGGACGCCCAGCAGCAGTGCAGCGCATTGGGCGAGGGCTGCCAGGTTGTGGTCAGCACCGCGGCAGGCCACCACCTTATGGTGGGGAGACGCTTGGTCAGCCTGGAGGATCCTGGAGCAGCAGCAGCCGTGCACGTCAAAGCAAGATGCTCCCCCGGCTACTCTGGGCAGGACTGTCAGTCAATGTGCCCTCGATGCGTGCCCAGCTTAAGCTGCAACCCGCTGACGGGGCTCTGCGATGGCTTCCTCTACTACCGAGAGGCTCCCGGTAGGTGAACTGGGAAGGCTTCCCCTTGGATCGGCCCCTCCAGCCCAGGGCCCCTTCTGGCTCTAGCTTTGGCTCTCCCACAGCTCGGGCCTGAGAGGGGCTGTCCCGGGCTCGCCAGTGCTCCTTCCTTGCAGCGAGAGGCTCTCCCTCAAGCCCAGGCCAACAGGCGAGGGACCCTGGCCCTGGGGGGTCCGGAGGAAGGGGAAGAGCTTGGGGTGTAAAGGGTGGGACCTTCCAGACAGAAAGGACGTGTCTGCCTCAGATTCATGCCCGGCTCCCCTCTGGGGTGACGGTGCAGCCCCCTTTCTTGTCCATCAAGGTGAACCCTCTTCTCACAGCCCTCGTCGCCTCACTGAAGTGCCTCCCGCCTGAGGTTTGGGTATTTGAGCGAGGAAGCTGCTGGTCTTACGAGCGCTACAGTAGTCGGGCTGAGGCCAAGGCCGTGTGCAAGAGGTACCTGGGCAGCACAGTGAGGAAGGTTCCACCCCTGAGCAAGGTGAGGGGCGCGGTGGCCCTTTTTCACGCACGGTGGCGTCTCCCCACCATAAGGTGGGGGCCTGCCTTGCAGTGGTCCTCTCCTCTATGGTGCGCCAAACCCTGCCTGGGAATTGGGAAAATACAGTTGCTCCATCTAGAGAGTTTTTGCAAGGATGGCTTGGATACCTGGAATCTTTAGAAGCTGAGCTGCATAGTCTGTCTGGCCCTCCCCTCTCTCTGCCCCCTCAGATCCCAGCTGGCCCCTCTGCAGATGGGAGCCGAGGCTTCCAGCAGCCCGGAGGCTCGCTTTGGGCTTGCCAGCGAGATGAAGGTAATATGGTTTTGCTCCACACAAACCGACACAAGAACAAACCTGGGGAAGGAAAAAGGGAGATGGACACAAGTTTTCACCCACAAATACTTTGCTCTACAATCACCAAGAAGTGACGTGTTTCCTCTGGGATTTGGCAAGGACAGAACCCGTCCCGATTTTATCTGAGTCTCTTCAGAAAAAAATTTTCAGGAAAACCTGAGCTGAATTCAGACTCAACAGGCCATGGAGCCCAGCATCTGGCTTACTGTGGTGGCGGCCAACCCGATGCCCCAGTGGGAGCCCTCAGCCAAGGCAGGAAGCTGTTTGTGCAATGCCCAAGTGGCTGATAATTAGCAAGGCCAAGAGGCTGAGCCTCCTTTCTTCCACATCCTCTCCTTCTTCCATTATTTTTGAGCCTCTCACTCATTGTTATTTCTCACCCAATTGTTGTCGATGTAAAAGGGGGGGGGGAAGAGACTGGGCGATGGGCCTAAGCTTTGTGCCACTCTGCAAGTGATAAGGCTCAATCTGTAGTGCAGAGACGGCGGCCAAAGCTTGGTGTTCTGACCTTTCTTCAAGTTGCAGAGGCAGAAGTTGTTTCACCCCATTCACCCTCTTCCCCTGCAGACGTGAAGCTGCCCTCATTTAGGGAGAAGTTGCTCATTTCCCACCGGGATGCTGCTCCCGAGCAGAGGCACGCCTCATTGCGGGAAGCCGAAGATGCTTGCTACCTGCAGAAGGAAGGCTGTACAGGGCTCCTGAGCCTGAAAGGAGCTCATTACACGTTGGCCGGGACGGTGCTGGTCGACAGCCCTGGCTCAGGGGCTCTACTCTCCCTGAAGGCAGGTCAGTTCCTCTCTGTCTCGAAAGGCAGGGCGATGGGCTTCTCCCCTTTGACATTGCAGGATTGTCCAGGGCTCCTGAACTCACCGTGCTGCAGAGAAGAGCCCTAGTGGATCAGGCAGCCCGTCTGTCCAGTCTCCTGATTCCAACCTGTCCGCTGAGATGCTCTCCGGAAGCCCACAGACAGGCCCAGGAGCAAGAAATGGATCTCCTGGTTCTTTCTTCTCAGCACGTGGTCTTCAGAGGTAGCCTGAACATGGCCTTCCTTGGACAACGTGGTTGGTGGACACTCATCCTAAAAAACTGTAAAGGTTTCGTTGGTTGATCAAACCAAATTTGGCCCACCTAGCGCACACGGCCAGGCAGGGAGGTGGCTCTGAAGGCTACTGGGAGGGTCTTCTTTGCTAGAGAGAGGACCATTCCCAAACAGCCTTCCTTTGGCAGGTTTTGGTGTATTAATTTGAGCGGTAAGCCCTGCGTGCTCTGCCGGAAAATCCATAGGTAGCAAGCATCTCCGGTTTCCTGCAACAACGCATGCCTCTGCTCGGAAGCAGCATCCTGGTGGGAAATGAGCAACCTCTCCCTAGATCGTAGTTCTTCAGAGCCAGGAGCAGGTTGCGGTAACAAGGGTGGCTCTTTGTTCTTTGGAAGGGCGGGCACTGCCTTTCCCACCTTTCCTCTGCTTGCAGCTTGCTCCCCCGGCTTCTGTGGAAAGCGCTGCCAGGGGCGCTGCTCTCCTTGCCTGAGCACGCGCACCTGCAACCCTCTGACTGGCCAGTGCGACGGCAGCCTGCGCTGCGTGCATCGCTTCAGCCCGTCCTGTCTTCACGGTAAAGTGTGCGGTTTTGTTTTGTGGCTGCATTCCTGAAAAGTTCACAAACACACCCATCCCTTATGTCTCAAGTCTAAATATCTATTCAGGCAATGTACAGCTAAATTATTAACCCAGTTAATGTTTCCCTTAGGTCTGGTACATTCCAGATGTCCGAGGGGTCCCGGCTGGTGGTTCTGGGGCGGACATTGCTACTACGTGGAGGAGCAGGAGAGCAAGAGCTGGCAAGAGGCCAAGGCTGCCTGTCAGGCCTGTGGCGAAAATGTGGCCCTCCTGGTTCTGAACAGTGCCAAGGAGAAGGTCTGGGATGTCTCTTTCATGGGGGGAGGAGAGGGCGGTGGCCAGGCAAGGCAAAGCCTCCCCCCTTGCGTCTGGCAGGGAAACGGGAGGTGCTTTCTCAGCCCTGCTGAGCGTTCTCTGCTCAAGCTGCATCCTCTTGGTTGCACGGCTGTTGGAACAGTTTTATGAATTAACACTGTAAATACACAAAGATACTTAAGCACCAACAAGCAGGGAAGGCATAAAGGCAAGCCAGGCAGACTGCTTTTAACAAGACGACCCCTGAGCGCCAAGCCCGGGCTGGCTTTTCCTCCCTTTCATGCCAGCCTCTGGCGCAGGCAGCCTGAGCTGTGAGCCTTCCCGGGGGGGGGGGCGGGGGGGGCTGAGCTTCTCGGCCTCTGGGGAAAGAGCCCAGAGCCCTCCCTCGGCAAGATCCCGTTCTTTCCCCCTGATGGCCGAAGGCTTGAGAGCGAGGGGGTCCCTTTTCCCTCACAGGCCTGGGTGGCAGCCATGGTGCAGAGGGCCAGCTGGACTGGGCTGAGTGATGCAGACGGAGACGGAGAATGGAGATGGGAAGGAGGCCAAGCGGATAGCCTCTCTCCACCGTGGTGAGCGCCTTGGGGCAGGGAGTTGCTTTGGGGAAAACGTCGGTCCCCATTTTGGTCGTCTGAAGCTGGGGCTTCTCCCTGGTGCTCTGCTTCTCACTCCAGATCTTTTCCCTGGGCTCTTGGAGGCCGCCTCCTCCCCGCTCCCGCCCCTCCCCTCCCCCCCAGGATCTGAAGTGGCCAGTGAATCTTTCCTTCCACCTGCTGAGAAGCAGAGCGAAAAGCCACACGTGGCGTCCGTCCACACCCCATGGATTTACCACTTCCTGTCAGCTCCAATCCCCAGCCCCTCCCCCCCCCAGGAATGGCACCTGCCGTTCTGTGGGATCTCCAAGCCAGGCGCAAGCCCGCTTGCTTCCCCTGTTAGGTTCCCTGGCGTGCCCCTTGTGACCGGAGGCTGCTTGGCGATTCGTCCTGGGGGAGACCCGGATGTGGCCGCCTCCGCCTGCTCCCACCTCAGGCCCTGGGTGTGCGAGGGGCTCTGGGGTAAGTGGCCGGCTGGGCTGTGGTGAGGTCGAGGCAGTCGGGGCCGCCCTACAGCCCCGGCGGAGAGGTCCCGCGCTGACCGTGCCTGCGTTACAGCCCAGCTCCCCCCCAGCATGCCAGAGTGGCTGCCCTTCCTTTGGTGAGGAGGAGGGTGAGGACCCGTCAGCCAGGACTCGGGAAGCAAGAGCCTGGGCCGAAACATGGGCTTGGCGGGCATCCTCAGCACGGTGGGGGTCTTCTTTACTCGCGCCCCTTTGGGGCGGCCTCTCTCCTCTCTGGCTCAGCAGCCCGGAGTTCCTGTCCAGCAGAGCCCGGCTGGAGCTACTGGAATGGCAGCTGCTACTTCTGGGACTCGTCCTCTGGGGTTGCCTGGCCAGAGGCCCAGGAGGCCTGCTGGAGGTTCAGAAAGGCGGAGCTGCTGTACCTGACCTCACTTCAGGAGATGGTACTTTCGAAGCATCCCTCCCGTGCCCAACCCTCTGAGCGGCTCCTCCCTGCGCAAGCATGGCCCCGGCCAGGGCACCGGAATGCCCTGCGCCCTCTGGCGCTTTGGGAAGAGTTTCCCCTTCTTCTAGCCCGTCGGAGAGGGGTAGCTACTGGCGCCTCAGGTGCCCGCCGGGGAGACCTTGGGTCAGGGCACTTTGGGCCGGGGGTTCTGGCAGGGGACGGGGGCAGGTGAAAGCTTCTGCTCTGGAGGATCTGGAGACCGTGGATCCCTTTTCCTTCCTTCCTTCCATGCAGGACTGGGTGCGTTCACACTTCCAAGGCGCTTTCTGGACAGGCTTGAATGATCGGGAGGAGGAGTCGGTCTTTCGCTGGACAGCCCTGGAGTCCCTCACCAAGCAGGTGGCCCAGTAAGTGGCCATAGGACGGGGGTGCTTGGGGTAATTTCCTTCCCTGGAGCGAGTGTCCTGCAGCTAGACAAGAATCCCTAATCTCGGATTGCCTAACGAGAGGGATCCATCCGGTTCTGGCAAGCTACTGCACCCTGCTCAGCCCCTCCCCGTCTCCCGGGCCCCGGAGCTCTCCCCAGTCACCCCACTGCTGCCACACCTTGCCGGCTTGTGCTCCCTCCGTCAAGGGGTGTTACAGGCTGGGTGTCAGCCCTTGTGACCCTTTTGCTCTTCTGCATGGAACAGGCACTTGCGAGATGACTTGGGAAACGGAGGGCGGAAGGACTGTGTGTGGTTTGACTCGGCAACTGGGCTTTTGAGGGATGCCAGCTGTGGGGAGGAGAGGCCTTTCCTCTGCAAGAGCCCTGAAGGTGAGAGAGGATGGCTGCACCAGTCCTTCCCCTGCTTGCCTTCTGCTCCCCCTCTTGGCTTTCCTGTGTCGTTACGGCACAGAGATGCTGCCCTGGGTGGGCTGCTCAGCGAGGGCTCCGAGTGGGCCTTTCCCAGGGCGCTTTTGGCTCACTCGGCTGCCGTTGTGAAACCTTCCCAAACTTCAGAACATCTGCTAAGTTCATGTTTATCTTTGCATCATGGTTTCCAAGAACTGTATTTATGTTTTGTGAACAACTTTAGCTGTTTCTTCTTAGTTTTGGAAAGCAAAAGCTATTTTTTTTTTAATGGATAGTAAAAAATTTTTCAATGTTCCACAAGTTGGCTGATCTGATCCCCTCTTATGTTCCCTTCCTTTCCACCCCAGCCACAGAGTGGTTTGATCAGTGGACTGGCTACGGTGTGGCAGGAGAGCCGTCACTGCTGTATCCCTCTGCAGAAACCCTGGAGGGGGCCAAGCGGGAGTGCCTGCTGGAGCGCCCCGTGTGTGTGGCTGTCCTGGAGACAAGGTCCGGCTTCTACCTGCTCAGCAGCAAGGATGAGGCCATCCCCAAAGCAGACTCGGTGCTTCACGTGTGGACCAGTAAGTGTGTCTGACCGAGCAGAGGAGGGGCTCCTTCAGAGAGGAAGCTCTATGTGCAGAGGCATACGGTCTCCTCTTTCAGTGGGGAAATGAGGCATCCCATTTATGAGCTTCTCTCTCAGGTCATGGGTGAACGTGTTGCTGGAGACCAGGTTTTGATTCCCAGGCCCCACGGAAGTATCACAATTCACTGTGAGGCTGTACGTCTCCCCCCCCCCCGCACATGGACAGATTTGCCTTCTGATGAGGGACAGCTTGCCCCAGAACGTCCCAGCTTTAACTCGGGGGGATTCTTCTTCCCTGGTGTTTAACCAGGTTGTAATATTTCCTGATGTAAATTGATGTTAACAGCTTCAGCAACTGAGTTTGGCACAAAGGCCTAAGAGCTGTTTCAAAAGATGTAGGGAGTGACCTCCTTGTCCTGCCTCTGCCATGTTGCAGTTCTCCTCTGGCCCTCAGTTTCAGAAATTTCTGACTGATAATGGATCTCATCTGATGTGGGTTCCACGGTTGCCACAGTCATCCCTGTGTTTTCCAGAAATGGGGCTGGGGTCTTGGTGCACTTGCCCGTCATGCCTGGCTCTGCTTTCTTACAGTTTGCGCGGAAGGGTTTAGTGGCCTGGCCTGCCAAAAGTCCTCAGCAGGTGCCGCCCGGCCAGCCTGCGACTGCAGTGGCACGTTTGAGACAACGGCAGAGAAAGGTGAGGGCTCAGGGGGGCCAGCAGGAACCCAGTGAGCTCTCCAGCCAAGGCGACTGCTCTGGGATTCTCTGCTGTCTTCCTGTGTGTCTGGAAAGCAGACAGTGATGAGGTAAACATTGGTGTTTATTTCAAAAAGGACTAGAAGTTCTGCCCTTCTTCCCACCCAGTCCACGTATTGAAAGCCCGGCTCTGTGTTTCTTGCATTGTGGTGGGAAGGGGCTTCCCTGAGCAAGCTGAGGTCCTTTTAGGAAAAGGGAATTGGGGTACAGCTTCCACCTTTGGCTCTTGGATGCCACCAGCTCTGCCGTGTTATCTTTCCAGAAGATCTTTACACTTTCTTCCATCGAGTAAAAACTATTTCCGTTGACTTGGTATATCTGGGTCCCACCAACAATACATCCAGAAAGATAGGTAGATTTTGTTTATTTCAATCAATTTATTTGGAGAAAGTAGAAGCTGCCAGCCCCAGATCTCTTTAGCCTGCTTGAATAGGAGGATGGCCGGGAACATGCTCATCCCTAAGCTGGCCGTGTGGTTCGTCTTGCTGCAGTTTGTGGCGTCCCTGTACAGACCTGTGTGGAAGATTGTCAGCAAATGACTCCGTGGACTAACTGCTCCCTTTGCATCCCTGTCTGCACGGGTATGTTAGCTGAGGAGCATGAGAGAACGCCCCACCATGGCGGGATCCGCTCTGTTCTGAGGTTCCTTCAGCTAAAACATGTTGCGCTGATGCTTCTCCTCGGTTGACTGGGCCATGGGCACCCGGTCATCTCGCTAGCCGGGCTCAGTGGACTTTGCCTGGGCAAAACTGGCCACTGTCTTGCTCGGTGCCTCCCTCTGGAAGCAGCTGCTGTTGCTCTCCTGAAATGCCAACCCAGGTCCCTGTCCCCTGCGGCCCCAGGTCAGAGTTTGCTATCGCGATAGCATCCCCCCACCCTGTAAAAGCGGGGCAATTAGCGGAGCATCCTTCGTTCTTTCCCCACGCAGAGGCCAGCCCGAGCTTTCTGGACCGGGAAGAGTTTGGCCTCATTACCATGATCCAGTTCAAAGCGTCCCATTCCCTCAATCTCACGGCAGAGGACGAAAGGGACCGAGCGGTCTCCTCCAAGGTCATATATGATGACGCCAAGTATCCGTGATGGAAAAGAAAAGGCCAATAAAGGCTCTGGAGGTGTGAGGGTTGTGTTTTGGTGGTTCTTCTGTTTTGTGAGACCCTTGCCCCAAAGGTGGGGGTCACTTTGTCGAGCATGAAATTATCTCTACAGTATAGAGACAAGTAATTTCTACAAGTGGTTTTTAAGTTTGGAGCCCAGGCCCTGGGTGGCCTGTGGGCTGAGGTTTCTCTGTGGTCTATACCAGATAATTCCTCTGCCCCCCCCCCCCCGCCCCTGGGATCCCTTTGGAATTTTGTGTTTTCCTTTGTTTTCACTAACGAGACAAATATTTTAGTAAGTTGAATTCTTGGCTAATCTCAGCCAAGGGGAGAGGAGGGGAAATAAGATTGGGCCAGCACTGGGATCTGCTCACCTGCCCACCTATGAGAGGGAAGACAGGCTGTCAGCTCTCCTGCGCTTCTCTCTGGGAAGACGGTCAGGCCCCAGCGGGGCTATTTCCAGAGGGCGCCTGGCCAGAGCGCCCTTATCGTTAGGCTGGCGGTGGCAGTTTGGGAGAAATTTCCCAGGGATGGCTGCTTGCTGACTGGCTGGACCGAACCCAGCGTTCATGCACTCCGCCAGCTTTTAACAGTGGCTTCCTTGTTAGTCTCCGGTTGCCTCACCCTGGCTGCTACAGAGAGATTTCCCCTCAGGCCAGCCCCAACGGCTGTTGCTAGTCGCTTCTGAGACTGGCCGATCCTGTGAGCTTGTGATACTTTAGGTGAGGTGCTTTTCTTGGGATCGGCACTGCCTCTTCCACCCTGGCGCGCCTTGCAGATTTTGCATCCCGGAGATGCTCCTTGGCGGGAGACGGAGAAGTGGAAACCTGCCGGTAAGTAACTTTCCTGGCACGTGTCGAGGCCGCCTGTGTACAGAATGTAGCCAGACTAGGAGGGGCAGGCATCAGGTGATTCCTTGGGCCAGGACAGCTGGGCCCAGAAGGAAGTTGCCGCTTTGCCCCTTGGCACGGCTGCCTGTCAAAATATTTGCTAAGGAAGTGCAGAAGCCTGACTCAGAATTAACTACACACTCAGGAAGTTGTGCTAAAAGTTGCTCCGAACAGAGAAAGCTGTGTAAACCTTTGAGAGCAAAGGTTGTTGAGTGAGGAGACCCTCGCCCGTTCCTGAGCCCGCCCCCCATTGCTCGAAGCGGTGGAGCTGAGGAACCAATGGGGAGCCTCTCCGAGGGTGGGCCCGAGAGACCCACGGCCTTGGCTTTGCCCTTGCCAGCCATCGATCGTCGCTGCTTCCCTGGTGGCCGAAGGCGAAGAGCCCTCCTAGTCGTCGCCATCCTCCTCTTCTTGCCACGCTTTCCTGCTTCCGGCTGCCCAGATGTTTGCAGCTGCTCCTTGGGGAAAGTAAACTGTGTGGACCGTGGGCTGCATTTTGTACCTCTCCGGTTGCCCGCAAACGCCACCGCCCTCTCGCTGGACCACAACCAGATTGTCACCCTCCCGAACGGCACCTTCGCAGCCCAGAAAGTCTTGCTCCGCCTGAGCGTTCGCAGCAACGTCCTGGGCAGCGTTCACCGCCTGGCCCTGGTGGGCCTCTGTGAGCTGCAGGACCTGGACCTGAGCAACAACTCCCTCAGCCTCCTGCACCCCGAGACCTTCCTCCCTGTGCCAAGACTGAGGACGCTCAAACTGGGGAACAACCAGCTCCTGAGGCTGGAGCCCGAGCTCCCCGGGGCCCTGCCCCATCTCAGGGCCCTCTTTGTCCACAGCAACGCGCTGGCCTCCCTCCCGGCTGGCTTCTTGGAAAGGCTGCCCTCCTTGTCTCACCTGACCCTCGAAGGCAACCCCTGGACCTGCTCCTGCGGCCTCCGCCCCCTCTTCCTGTGGCTGGTGAAGAACAGGGACAAAGTTCCAGGTAAGCAGCCGGCTGGCACTCCAGGGCAGGGTAGCCACCTTCCGTGCCTGAGCCCCTCTAGGCCTCTGTGGGCCCTCGCTGTTCAGCTGAGCACCTCAGAGATGGCGGAGCAACACGGCCGTGTCCTGCTGCTCCTTGGCTGAGAGTGCAGCACTTTCATGCCAGTACGTTTGGGCTGTTACCCCAGAGGCTGCTCTGCCCGGCTCTGCACCCAGCCCTTAGTGGTGAAAGAAGCACCCCCGTTTGGGCTGCTTGCTTGAGTGGTTCTCCCCCCCTTCCCCCCACCCCCTGGCCACCTGGAAGAACATTTGCAAAAAGACCAGCTCTGCTGCTTGGAACCCATTTTAATTCTCAAAAAGCAGAGTTGATATCTGTTAAGTGTGCCTTTTTGAACAATCACTATAATTTCAACCAGGCTGTTTGGTTTGCACGCGTGGTGGAGAAATCCTCTGGGCATTTTCTCCACTAGTTCTGCAACCAAGACGGCCTTGCCACGACTGGCTCTCTGCTGCTCTTTCTTCCAGAGGCGAATTCAGTGACTTGCAAACACCAAGCCTCCCTCGCCCAGTATCCCATCGCGGCCCTTGGAAATGAATCCTTTGCACGTTGTCAGGCGCCCCGGATGCATCTCCCCGGCTATGCGTTCTTCTTCCTGATCGGCCCATCTACTTTCCTGGCCAGCATTTGCGTCGGCATCCTGCTGGGCTCGCTGGCAGTGGCCCGCCTGAAACTGAGGACGACAGGCTCATGCATTTGACCGAGGGCTCTGGTGAGGGGCTCAAAGACCACCCTGCAGTAAGCAGGTTTCCCTCCCAAGCACGCATCCTTCGGCGCTCTTTCCCCGTGTCTCTGCCAGCAGAACTGCAGCATAATAGCGCTAGAAATCGTTTCTGTATCAAGTGTTTTGTGCATAAAATCCCAAATCCTCTCTCAGCCAGTGGGTGGGTCCTTGATTTGGGCTTGTACATACCTGTCTCTATCCAAGGAGCCAATCTAGGAACCCTGGTGTAAGAGCAGCCCACCCATATGTGTAAAAAAGGTGGTCCAAGGGAGGAAAGGCCCGTGCCTCTTTTCCCACCGAGGTGGGCATGGGGACCAGGCCGATGCTGCCGCATCCTTTCCATGCGACTCGGTGGCAGACTGCATTTGCATTTCCTGAAAAGAACGGCACCCTCCTCCCGTTTCTTGCAGGAAAGTGCCATGCAACAATAGTCCCTTCTATTCCCTGCTTGGTGCCTTCGCAGGTTTTCCTCAAAAAGGGAGATAAGGTAAGGTGAAGGCTGCCAATGCAAGGAGGACTGTGGCATCTCAGTGGCCCTGGAAGCTTCTCTGCTGGGCTCTGTGCCCCTTGCTCTTTGTACAGTGCTTTGTCTGGCTGGCACAGCCAGAGGTCCCTGTTGTTCCTGATGGAGGGAGTGGCAGCCTGGAGGCAGCTGAGGTGCAGCCTGGGCTGAGGACAGAGCCTCTTTGAGGAGTGCTTCCCAATGGGCAGAGCAGCGCTGGGCTCCTTGTCCTCCATGAGGAAACATCTGAACACCAAGGTGGGTTCCCCTCACCACACCCGGCCCCTAGGAAACACGCCGCCCATGATGCGCAGGCCCAGGGGCTTCCCCTTCTTGGAAAGGGAAAGGCAAGAGCTGAGCCAGTCCTAGTCTGGGCTGGGGGGGGGGGGGTCCTAATCTGGAGCAGAGAGGCTGACCATGCCGTGTGAAGCCCAGCTTGTCAAGGGAACCGGAGGGCCCTCCGTGCCTGCCCTCCTTGCTGGAGCCTGGCCCAACAGGTACTGGCTGCCAGCCATTGGCTCACCTTCCTCGGAGTGGCTCAGGGAGCAGCTCGCCTTCTAGACGGGCAGTCAGAGAACATCCCCCTGCCTCCCAATAAGCACTTTGGTTGGGCTGGCTGCCTGGGGCTACGTGGCAGATGTTTGTGTTTGTTTTCTGAAGCCAAAAAACGGTGCCCCTTATCGGAAACAGCAAAGCTCCAGCTAGCCCACTTCCAGCCATGATACAGATGCTGAAATCCAGTGCCTTCCTGGTGGTCGGAGTCATGTGATCTGGGAGATCCAATCCCATCTCCTGCTTTGTCTCACCATCATTTCTTCAGGTGGGAAAAATTATCAGAGGCTCCTTTCTTGTTTTCCTTCAAGCAAGCAAGCGAGTGAGCAAGCCAGCCAGTCCTTCCTTCCTTCCTTCCTTCCTTCCTTCCTTCCTTCCTTCCTTCCTTCCTTCCTTCCTTCCTTCCTTCCTTCCTCAGGCAACCCTTCTGCTCCTGCTGGGCCTTCAGTGGGGTGTCTTCTCCAGCCTCTGCAGGGGACTTCCAGCTCCAACTCAGAGGGCCTCTGTGCATCCAGCTACTGCAACCTGTCAGGTATTTCCAGCATTTATTTTTGCCGAACCACCCAAGAATTCAAGAGTGGCCGTGGTGGTGGTGGGGGGGGGGGTTGCCTTGCAGCTCACTTCTAAAAGCTCCCTAAACGGGGCTGCGTCTGGGGAACCGGGAGCCCCTCTACCAGCCAGCCTTCCCGGCCTTTCCCAGTGCCTGCGAGGGGCAAAGATCTCTCTGGCGAGTCTTTGTGAGGACGGAAAATATAGGCTGCTGCCTCTTATTTTTCCTCTTTGCTGTGAATTTAAATAAAGAGGGAGTGTCCTTGCAGGTTCACGTGCACATACACGCAGGCAAGAGTATGTCATTTTAAATTAATTGATTTAAATTCACTATTACCAAAACCCATAGAACTATACACGATAACTCTTAATTACTGAACGCTGCTTCTTCGGTGCCGCTCTGGGCCCCTGTCCACGGTCATACGCTTTATTTCAAAAAGCCTGGTTAGAAATACAGTTCCATCTCTACTTACCCAAGAGAAGGTCCCAGTGAATGCAGTGGGCCCTACCTCTGAGTAAGCATGTACAGAATCCGTGGGTGGGTGGACACAGGCCAGCTTTGTAAATTAGGATTCGGGTTGAAGGGTACATGGCGGGGGGGGAGGGGAGTGATCCAGTAGGAAGAGCAGGCGGTAGTTGCTTGTTGAGGTGCCTCCTCCAAGTTTGGAGTTCTTGGGATAAATCCCAAATTGGCGCTGCTCTGCTAACCATTGTGGGGGGCCCTGGGCAGTTGCAACATGAACCGTGGAGCCTAGGTTCGCTGACTCTCGGAAGCGCTGGCCTCTCTGGCTCAGAGCTGCCCAACCTCCATGCCTGCGGGGTGAGGGCAGCCGGCCCCTTCTGCCTGCAGCCTGCCCTGGGCTCGAGCACTGACCTTGAGGCATGGACGGGAGCAGGTTAAAGGTGCTTCTGCTTCTCAATAGAGAGGATAATCTTTGGACAAGTGGGATTGTCTTCATCTGGATTGAGATTCTGCACCCACAAGTGCAAAAATGAATTTGGGGTTCTAGTTTAACATCCCAAGGGTATTTTTATAGGGTTACCTCAGTCAAACTCACAGCCATCCTAGAAGACAGGCCAGTGTTACATGGCAGGGAGCCTCCGGAGTAACGGAATGAAAATATTGGGAGGCTCAAGGGCCAGAGATGGAAGCTCTGGAAGTAACATAACTCTCAGCTGGAGAGTCAGAAGGCCTGGCTTTCTTTCCACAAGGCAGTGGCATATGCTGGACTGCAGGATCATTGGTTCGGAGGAGCCCGTATTGGGGCCAGGGGAGGGAAGAATCAGGACTCTCTCTGTCTAAAAGGCTGGCAGATCTTGGGCAAGTGCCTGTTTGCCAGAGGAAGCTTGTTAGAAACCTCGATGGGTGTAGCCATAAACCCTGTGAAAACAGAGGAACAGCTCTAAAGCTCCCCCTTTCCTCAGCCCAGGAGAGGAGCAAAGGGCTTAGCGCCAGTATCCATCGGGGCAGAGACTGGAAAGCACTTCTGCAGAGGAGGAGCAGAGCTGGAGGTTTGGATAGGCAGTCAGCAAAGAGTTGCAGAGAAGCCGGGAACTTCCCATCCTACCGAAGATGTTGCTTTACCAGGTGGGAGGTGTGGAAGGAGTTGACTAAAACTCTGTTTCACAAATGAGATAAGAAATAGTCAAAACAGGGAGAGACGGGAGATTCCCCCCCCCACACACACACACACCTACATCAGATAAAACCTCCGGTGTCTTGAGGGAACACCGGCACCTTCACGGTGGCAGCCAAAAAAAGGCCACAGGGCTCTCTGGGTGGGAGGTGATGGACGACAGGCCTTTTTTACAGAATGCTATATATAAACATAGGGAATTGTGGGGTGGGGGGGCCTCTTTACGGCCCCCTGATATAGTCTGGGAACAGTCGTGTGAAGTAAGATGGGCGTAAAAGGTTCTGTGCATGCATGTAATGATGACGAGACTCTTCCCCTCAGCAAGAGACCCAGTCCGCTTCACTGAATGTGCCGTCCAGCCTCTCCTTGGTGGTGGGGGTCTCCCTCAGAACTACCTTCTTTGCGTGTCTCGGAGGAGAAGTAAATAGAGGCCACACTCTAGAAAGAACGGAGGTGCTCCCAGGCCTCATCTTCAGTAGTTCATGCCAAGGCCACGAGATTGGTCACCCTTGGAGAAAGCTGGGATCTACCAGGGCTGGAGGGAAGAAAGCAATGCAGACGCCGTGGGTGGATGTCAAAGGCTTCCCTTTGGTGTCTCCAGAAGGGCCCTCAGAGTCTCCATTGGTCCGTCCCGAGATCTCACACCACGGTGCTGACAGAGGGGTCAGAGAGATTGAGTTGCCCAGTGATGTCTGTGGGGTGATACTGCTGCAAGAGACAAACAGACAGACAGACGGGCCAGATGTTAGGCGGGGAGGGGTTGGCTGCGAGCAGCTGATGCAATTGAGACGCACGTCCTGGTGGGAGATCGCTCAGGGATGATGCACGGGCCGTCTCTGCCCCTCGCTTTGCGCCACAGACTGCGCATGCTGAGTGCCGGTCGAAGGTCCCCTGCACAGGATGCAGCCCACGGAGAGAAGCTGGCCAGGGCTGGACCCAAAATCTCTCCCCAGAGCCACCACTTTCCTCTCCCTCTTAGTTTTAGCACCCTAGGATGTGGCTTCAGTGGCCGGTGAGTAAAGAACGAGGCAACTCAGTCAGCTTTATGGTTTATGATAAATTGGGAAGGTAATTGCTAGGAGGCCAGGCCTCTGAAAGGGTCTCTGCTGTCCCTGCTGGAGGAGGGAGGGAGGGAGGGAGGCAGGGCCAGAATGGCCTAGGAAAGCCCACTCAGCTTGTTTGGTTTCTCTGAGGAAAACCTTTTGGGGAACAATAGCAGATCCCCTCAATTTATTAGTAGGACATTTATTAGAGAGTTCAAAGCTACTTGCTTGCCCGTAGCAATAGTTTGTGGCAAACATAAACTTCAAATTGCCCCAGAGATTTAAAAAAGATGCTGTTGTAGCCACCCTTTTTTAAAAAAGCATGATTGGCACACATGAGCGGAATGGGAAGGGAATGCCTAGCGGGAAGCCGGTGGCCTCCTTTGCCACTCCTTGCCTGGCGGCAGAGCTGTAGTCGTTGGTCCCCCCAAGCTGGACCGCTGCTCTTCCCTCCTGGTCCTGCTTGCGCCTTCCCCACCTGCCTGCCAGGACAGCATAGACCTGCATCATCTCTCAGGGATCCCCGCCTGGGACAGGGTGGTGGGGTGGGTGGACGTGTCACACGACAGCCTCTGCGGCCCTCCGGTTCAACCACCTGGAGAGCAACTACTCCCCTCCAGGCGCGTTTCAGCCATGACAGCCCTGGAGTTCCACCAACGTCCGGCCAATCAGCATCTCTTCTCCGTAGACGGGGGACATTTCAGAGACTGCTCATGCCCCCCTTCCCCTTCTGCCCCCCTCCTCCTGGCGCCCTCCTCCCAGGGTCTCTGGGCCCTGCCCTTCGCCCCTGCCTGGGCCTCGCGCTCCTTGCCCGTTACAGACCCCCGTAATACAGGACGTGGGTACAGGACAAAAGTCAATCAACATTCAGGACAAGAGCCCACCCTGTGCTGAGCAGCTCCTGAAGCCGGGACTCTCTACAGGGCTATCTGCACTGCAGCTCACGGATGCTGGGCGTGGTGACATCGCGGGGCTGTCTGTAGGGAGCAGGCGCATGAATGGCACATTGTCTATTACAGAGGCATTGGCTGCAGAGTTCCAGAGTTAAAGGCAAAACCCAGCTGTGCAAAGAGCATCGACCCTCACCACGGTGTCCCACAGAATGCCACCTTGCCCACCCAACAGACCTGCAGCATTTGCTCCTCAAGAAGCCTGAGCAACCCATCAAGAATGTCCCTTTCCCTCATCGCATGTAGACCTGTCCATCTTCTTCACTCAAGACTGGAGTCTAAAAGGAAGGATTTTTCACCTGCCTGGCCTTTCATGGTCCCCAAATGCAGCCACTTATCTGCCCACTCAGCTAGCTGGGGTGCCTGTTTCTTGTTGCAGAGACTGCTCCCTGGCCGATGCTGATTTTATCCTTAACGAAAGCCCTGAAGGTTCACTGGATTAGATCCAGTCCAACCTGTCCAATTCGGCCCCCGGTTCCTATCGTGGCTGGACAGAAACTTGGGAAACGCAGGTGGAATCAATGCCTTCAGCATAATTGCCACTGGGAAGGCTCTGCTTTGTGGCCTCTCTTGGTCTTTGGGCTGAAAGCAGTCTGAACTAGAGGTGGCCACGAGACCTCATGGCTGGGAAAGCTACCGGCTAATTTTGTGGCATTTTCCCCCGGCCCAGAACTGCCACACGGATCGGTGTGGATCCGCTGATATTGCATTCTAGTAGGATGGAAGAGGGAACCCTGTTTATAGAGATGTTTACAGGCATAACCAACGGCCGTCAGCCCTTCCCTCCTTCTGAAGACCATCTCCAGCCCATCCCCTCTGGGAAGCCTAGAACTGGAAACGCCCTTTGACCCCAGGAGACAAAATCCTGCTCTCCAAAGGTGGATCCTCGGATGGCAAAGCTGTGCTCGCTGGGATTCCAGAAGGGAGGGGCCCTTTCTTCCACAGAGGCTTCCGGCTTCGTGGCTGGCTGGCCAGCCTGCGCTGCCCTGTCCTTGCTGGGACCAACGGATTGCTGATGGCGGTCTCACCCAGAGGCTGGCCCTGGACGCAACTCGGCCTGCCTTAAAAACTCTAGGCTGGCCTCCATTTTAAACTGGGGAGGATTGGACGGACTGGAATTGAACGGAAGGCTCTCGTTTTGGCAGCAGCGCACGTATCTTAAAGGGTGGGGGAGAGAGCTACCTTGGCCAGTCCTCATTTTGCATTTTGAGCAGGGAGAGGGAGGGAGACGGCGGGAAGATGCTCCCCATGGGGAAGCACACGGCGGGCGCCTCCTCTGGAAGCTGCCTCCCCCCAGGCAGGGGCCTGCTTGCAGAGGTTTTAGCGGGGTGATGGTGGTGAGTGGTTAGGGCAAGGGCAGACTGGCCTGTGATTGGGAAGATGTGCAGTCCTCCCCCAAACTTTGGGTCAGGCAGTGTTTTCCTGGCTCCAGTTTTGACAGGAATTAATGTGCTGCCCATTTTCTCTCCCAGGAAACGTTCAGCCAGCACCACCTTTCCTGATCTGCTGTTGCAGCTGGAGGCTACCCGAACTGTGACTCAAAGCCCGTTTGCCCAAGTCAGCTGCTTCTGCTGGAGAAGCCCCAGGCAGGAGACTTGGGTGCCAGTGGAGCAATTTGGTGAGTTTTGCCTCTGGGCATTGAGAACTTGATGCTGAAGGGTGCCCATGAAAGCTCTCCCCAGTGGTGAGCTGAGTGGAATTTTAACCACAGATTGGGAGGAAAATCCAGTCTCAGCCCCTCAAAAAAAAAAAAAAAAAAAAAAACAATTTTCTAAGGTGCTAATAGGAAGGGGGCTGTGTGCAATGGGGAAACCACCCTGTTAAACTATGGTCGTCTTCCCCTTTCTGTCCCACTTAGGACAGAAAGGATTTTAGGGCTGTCTGTAAGAGGGCAGTGGATGTCTTGTGGACCAACACAAGGTTCAGCCAAGTTGGCCAATTCCTGAAAAAGCTGCAGGGACAGTGACTGGGGCAGCTCAACTTCCAGGCGGACTGCTTTTGAAGCTGGCTTTGGTTTGGGAAAAAAAGGCTCCTTGCCCAGAGCACCATTTTGGCTTATTTCCTGGGACGTACCTATCCATCCATTGTGAGGGAGAAATGGCCAGGAGACCTTCTGCTTCCAACTCTGCCCCAGAGTGCTGGAGGCTGCCCCAAGAGCTTTGCGGATCCTGTGGAAGGAGGCAGTTTAAAGCAACCCGGGCTAGGGACTGCTCTGAGGGGCAGGGTTGGAGCTGAGACTCTCCCTAAGGCAAAACAGGGCCAGCATCTTGGCCCCGCTCATCCTGGGAGAGCACCGACAGTGCCCTAGCCCTACCTACACTGTGCTCATTTGTCCTTAGCAAAGGACAAATGGCACCCATGAAGGAAAGAGACGTCTTCAGGGTGTATTTGACAGAGGTAGTTTTGGGATCTGAATGTCCTTCTTCTTTTGCAGGTCCCGAGTTTTTCTCTTTTTCTATCAGTTCAGGTTTTTGTGTTCCTCGGCCAAACCCAGCCCTGAACCTGCCAGTCTACAGAAATCAGGGAAAGCATTCTCACTCTTCCTGCCTTACCCGGGGGGGGGGGGCGTTTGGGGGGGGGTGTCCCCGCCTTCCTGGTAGCTTCCTGCAGTTCAGAAAACACTCTTACGAGCTATACCCTCCCTTAAAAGGAAATTTTAAATAAAAATAAATATTTAAAAGTTTTATTTAAGCTCACTGCAAGAAATAGTTTTGTGAGCCAATTCCTTGTGTTGTGCTGCAGAGCAGAAAAGAGAAATTCCATTCCCTCCTTCCCAAACACTGAAACATGCAGTATGTGGGATCCAGTCCAGGTCATGCAGATGGGAGATGCCCTCTCTTGTTCCACTTGTACATGCAACCTTGCGCCCCTACCTCACTGGGGGGGGGGGATGTTGAAAAGCAAAAAGCTTAGAGCAAGCGTTCCCATGAGTCTCTCCTTTGGCAGGATATTTGGGTTTAAAACAGAGGAGCATTTTTCCTAAGTGAGCTGGATTGCTAGGGTTTGGGGAGATACACACCAACACACAGCAACAACTTTTGCTTTCTAGAGCTCTCCCACTCCAAAGAATTATTTGATTGCTAGCCTGCACAACTCAGTCCAGAGTGTTACAAGCAGAAACTATTGTTGCCACTTAATTTACACAAAAAATAAAGTAAAACAAAATTTAAAAATGTCCTCTTTCTTTTGAAAAACACAAACAGAAGTTACAAGTAAAGAATATGATGAACGTATGGCTCAACGTGAGGTGAGACATTGCCCAGATTGGTAGAATTTATAGGGGGGGGGGACTGTGAGTGCAGGAGGGGTCGGTAACCGCTTTTAAGCATATAGGGACAAACAGGTACAGGAACACTCAGAAAACGGGGGGCAGGGGAAGCTGATTTTTGTTGATATCAGTAAAGTGAGCAAAACTTAAACCACAATTCTAAACAGAATGAAAGAAAAGAATCCAAAATAAATAAATAAATAAATTAGAACAAGAAACTCATTGCAGTTATCTCCAAACTCTTTACAGAACGCTACAAAGCATTCAAAACCTCCTTCGCCCTCTTCGGCTTTGAAACTTGCCAAGGGACACGGGACTGACTGACTGACTGACTGACTGACCGACCGACCAACTGACTCTTGACGGACATGAGGCTATGGTAGGTCACACGGGCAGCTTCGGGATGGGTGTGTGGTAGTTGATGGGATGGTAGAAGAAGAAAGAGAGAGAGAGTGAGAAAAAAGAAAGAGGGACAGTTGTTTTTCTTCCTCTTACCGTGTCTTTGGATGACCTACGTCTCTTGAAGCTGGAGGCCAGGGTAGAGGTGATGGACCTAAAAGTGGCTTTCTTTTTAGGGTCTGGTTCTGCTCTACCACTTTTTCTATCCTAAAATGAATATGTATATAAGCGATTAGATCTCCATTGGGTGGCTTGGATCTCTACACCTAGATGAACACAGCCCCATGTCACGATACTGGATATGTCTGTCTTCTATGGCCAAGACAATGCCTACCATCTCCTGATGGCTCTCAGTCCCAGACATACACATGGCCCTGACACTTGGCTCGGGAATTACGCAAGGGCCGATCAGTCTGAAGGTCTCCTTTGCAACTAAGCTGAGATGTGGCGGAAAGGATCCCCTTAAGAATGGGCACAGTAGGCAGAGTCAGCAGCTGGGTTTTTGCTGCATTTTATACATTCCAGAGGCCTTGGCTGCTCCACTGGCCTCCCCACGAGAAACAAGGACACGGCATCCTGGGTCCCTAGGGGAACATCTCACTCCCTGCCCCTTCCTTCCTTCCTTCTTGTCATGGCTGGTCTAACTAGAGAGAGAGAGGTGAGACACTTTCACCTACCACTAAATAAAAATGCTCGGGGCCTTTTCTGAAGGTGAATCCTACGGCCACAAGAGAGAGAGAGGACTGCATTGGAAGAGAAGGTCATTGTATGTTAAAAAAAAGGTATTCCAAAAATTTCAGTGATGCTTGGCGTAAAACGAACTGTTTTTCAACATAAAATAAAATAAAAAAAAAATAAAAGAACAAAAATCTCTTGAAATTACAACTTAAGCAAGGAAAAGAAAGGGAATAAGCAAAGCATTGCAATTCTGGATGATATTTAAGGATGCCAGGAACTCAAAGAAACAGAATGAAGAGGGGAAAAAAAGACAGCTGTTGGGTGGTAGGCAGTCAAACCTGGTCGGCACCGTGGGGAACTTGCTTTTCTTGTGGGGCAGGTGAGTGGGGCAGCCCAGCCGATCCGAATTCTTCCCATTCTTTTTCTCTTTCACCCCTTTGGGAGAGGAAAAGGCGAAACCAGGTGTGGTTCTACCAGCCCGCGGTGGGGGTGACCAAAAATGTATCCCGCTGATGCATGGAGCATGCGCGGGGGATACATTTGCTCCTCCTTTCCAGTGATCCTCCGTGACTCCGACAAGCATGCAGAGGAAAAGAAAAGCTAGCAAGAGGAGGGGAGGGGAGGGGAGGGGTTTCGTTTTGGGTTTTCTTTTCTTTTCTTTTTTTTCCTTCCCACGGCATTGCCAAAAATGGCCATGGCAAAACTGTGATTTCCCCAGGTAGCAAAATAAAACCAAACAAAAGAAGTTATAGATATATTTGCTTTTTGTATTTTTTTTTTTTCTTGAAGAAAGAAATCTTTCCACTTGCCTACCTTCTAGCAATGTACCAGATACTAGTGGTCTGAGGAATCCTCCTGTGAAAAAGTCTTACATTGTCAAACGGATCTCTTAGCATCGTTCTCTGTTTACTTATCACCCCTGGGGTGGCATGCTTGAGTGACCGCCCCACAGGTTCTTTCCCCCCCCACCCAGGACCCAGGGCAGGACTTTTTCTAGAAAGTTGGCAAGTGAAAAATGGCAGTGACTAAAGTGCTCTTGTTCTGGATTAACCCTTCTGCACGGCTGCGGGGTGGGGCTGGGAAGGGAGGGGGGGAGGTCAGGACTGACGGGTGGAGGGTTGTGGGGGGTGGGGGCTGTGCAGGTCTCTACAATGTCTCCTTGGAAATGGGCCAGCCAGACTCTCTTCCCTTTTCCCCGCTCGGTACAGTGGGCTTCTTTGGGCTGCCTTGCAAAGAAAAGGGTATTGCTCTGAAACCGCTTCCCTTGGGCTTCTCTGTAAAATGAGGGGGTGGCCTGAGGGCACACTGTTTTTAAGAAATGGTGCAGACACCAGCGGCTGGGTGCCCTGGTCTGCTATACTGGCTGCTGGTGTCCCCTGCCCCCCCCCCCAGTAACAGGCATTCTGATGGGATGGCCAGAACCCAGGTGGTTTTACAGGTAGGGTTGGCATGAAGAGGCTTGCAAGGGGGCTCTGGCAGATTCTGGCTTAAGTCCTGCACAGACCATGGGGGGAAAACACCAGTGACGTGAGCCACTGATTGGATCCAGTTTGCTGGAACGTGAAAGGATAGGCAAGATGTGAGTGTGCAGGTCTGTGTTTGTTTGAAAGGTTGCCTCTGGGGCCAGAATGGGGTGAACGGGTAGTCCAGGAGAGATTTCCGTCTCTTCTACTCGCCTCTCCTGACAACAGGGGATGCCAGAATAGGGCCATTGGTTGTGTGAATATCTTTAGCCATGCAATTGGAGGCCGTGCACCACAAGGCTGGATCGTCTAAGGCCTTCTTCCTGGAAGTGCTCCCGATCGCAGCCTTACGGTGACACCATCTTTCCCAGCATTGGACCCCTGAATGAGTGGAACAGAAACGGGGGGGAGGGAGGGGGGAAGGGCACTGCCGGCAAGCGCAGCAGTTGGGCCACAGCCAGGGAAGAGAAGGCTGGCCGGGGGCCCTGGCCTGTCTGATCTCTGGATGTGCAGAGTGCCCCACTGGCCTCCCCAGAAAGCAGGAGATGGGCTTGGGATGTGTGTGTAATACTCCCCCCTCCCCCCGTGGAATTGCTGCTGCTGCTGTCAGTGGCAAGTGGGAAGGGAGGCCCCTAGGCATCCCACGTAGCACGGTAGTCACTGATTGGGTGAAGTAATGGGAAACAAAAAAAACCGCACCTGTTTTGGAGGTGTTGCTCTAAAAACGGTCTGTCCTACCTGCAGGTTTTTCCGCCACACATTAACTGCCGCAAACGCCAGTTGCATCTGTTTCCTCCGGGCGTCTTTATGCCTTTTGTATGCTATTTCTATGAATATTAAAAATATCCCGGCCACAATACCTCCAGCCACCAGCATGAATACACCTGAAACAAGCAGGAAGGTTAACCCAAAGGAGACACCTGGGTAGAGGCTGCAGTGCCTTCTCCAGCTCCCTTCCATCCTCCTCCTGCCCTTTGAAAACGCCTCTCTCGGGCCTCCGTTTTTTTGGAGGCTTCCCCGTGAGGAGCTCTGATCTTGCCCAGGTTTCCAGATCTGTGGTCCCAGCCCAGGACTCCCGCCGCTGCCTGGGGCTGGGCTGCTGCTCTGAGCGGTAGGAGGACAGGTGGGAAGCATCCCTGGCAACGCTTCCCAGGTAGAAAAGGAGTTCTGCTTTCAGAGATTTTCTTTCCTGGCCGAAGCATTTGGGCCTCCTCATCGGTATAGAGGCAAACGCAAGAAACGGTTTGCTCCCTGATGAGCGGCATTAAAGCAAAGCCGCATTTTATCATGTAGTTCCGTGGCTCAGCTAGGAGTATTATAGCCCCCTCTTGGCTCCAGCTCCAGGCTGCCATGAGCTGCAGATGGTTTTAGTCAGGCAGTCTTGGTAGCTGACCATTCTCCCACCGTGGCCGTGGCCCCCAGCCAGACTGAACCCTCCAGTCCGCTTTTCCACGTGGCCAACGTCCCGGCCAGCCTGCTATCCAAGTCTGGCTCTTGGAACTAAAGGATAACTTGAGGGTAGCGTGGGTTTGCTTCCCTGTCCCAGGAATATGGAATTGAAAGACCAAATCTGGGCCAGTTTCACTACTGGGTCTTTGGGTGCACCACAGCGGGGTTCTGCCTCAGCCCCACTGCCACCCTGTACATATAACCCTGCCAGTAGAAAACCTTGTGGTTATAGTCACACATTTGTTAATACTGCTCAGCTTTTGAATTGATAGGACTTCAATTGCGCAAATCCAGTTCAATTAGTTAGTTTTTCAGAGTATTATGCTGATGCAGGAAAAGGTTAATTAACTACAACTAGAGTCAATATCTTGTGTGGTAACAGCTTACATGTTACTAAAGTCAAACACACATTGAATTGGAAATAATTAAGAAGACCTTTTTGAAAAGTTTGGGGAAGTGTGAAGAAAAAATAGGGGATGGTGAAGCAGGTAGGAAGCAACCAAGTTACCTGCCATGTTTTCGAAGGTGAGTGTTGCCGGAGCATTGCTGCGGGAATCGCACTCCTGATATCTCACCCAAGTCTTGTCCAGTTCTTCCATAAAGCCATTCTCATGGAGGCTGGAAGCAGAAGGGGGGGGGGGCGGTGATGATTCGCTTCTCTGTCCGGTTTAAGCTTTCCAATGGGGAAAGAATTAAACTGCCCTCCCCCCATACTCTTTCCTCCCAGTAAGGACTTCTCCTCCCCTCCACCACCACCACCACCACCCCCGCCCCCAAGAGCTCTACCACAGTGTTTTTATAGGATTGCTGAAAACTCTTCCGTGTTCCTTGTATGAGGATGGATTGACTTATCCAGCCACAGGCCACGTAGTCAACAGAAGGGGGCTGGACTGAGGCAAGGGCAGAGGGTTGCAGTGGGTGAAGCAAGGAAGTACAGAAACACTGACTCTCTGCTGCCATTTAGCCACCGTTTGGATGTTTAAACCGGTCTGAGTAAGAGCCCTTAGTGGATAGCCCAGAGTGAACTCTAGGAAGTCTAGTGTTTTGAGGGGCATGTTGTCTTTCTATTGTCTTTCCCACAACGCTCAAAGAAGCACACCAGCCTTTGATCCTACCCACCCCCTTCCCAAAGCCCTCCACTCTCCCCCCCCCGCACCCCGCACCCCGCCAGATAGAGAATACAGACTTGAGGATGGCCAGGGAGACGTTCTGCTTCCAGGGACTGTCTTTGCGCATTCCAATGCCGAAGCCGGAGCGGAAGAAAAGCTCCCCTGTAGTCACCAGGTCACACTTCTGTGAGGCTTCAAATTCCAGTACAGCCGAGTCCCAGATGAAGGCGTGGAGCTTGCTGTGGTGGAGACGGAAGAAGAGCCATAAAGTAAATATGGAAGAGATTGAAACAAGGCATCACGAAAAACTGGGCTGCCTCGCAGAGAAACTTGGCCAGTTGCCCTCCGTGTCCACCGATCAGAAGAGGGAGCCTCCTGCCTGCTCGTTTCTGTGGGGGGAACCCACTGCAGCCGGCTGCCTCTGCTGTGGGGTCAAATCGGTGGGCTTAAACTGGCTGCAGAGAGCATCTGTGCCTGGCCTGGTTCCTTGAGTCGGGGGGGGGGGGGAACTGGGCGAGCTTCCCTTCCCAATCCAGCAGCGCTCTTCCACTCTAAAGGCAGCTTGGAAGAGCCAGAGTGCTCTGAGCATTACAAACACAACGGATCCATCATTTACTCCAGGAAAAAGAGCTGAGAGAAGAAGCCGTGGGAGAGACAGGAGAGCTCTGCAAGCGAACACTTACTTGTCTCGAACAGCCTGGATGGCTTCGGCGGCGCTTTCATAATTGTGTTTCTCCATGTGCCGGTACATGGTGCTCAGCTCCACCTGCCTCCGGAAATAAATGTCTACCGAGCTCTGCTTCACTGTGGCGTAGATGAACTTATCCGAAGGGTTTCGCAACTGGAAAACAAGAAGATTTTATCCTCTTGGCTTCCCCCCCCCCGCCCTTGACCCTCCATCAAATCTGAACCAGGGCTATACTGGATGCTCAGAGCTGTGGAGACTTCCTTACTGACCACGCCTGCTTTGTGTTTCTCTTGTAGTGATCATTAGAACCACACCCTCTCTTTCTGGAACCTCTTTCTGGTTATATACACTGAAGTGTTTGAGTGCCATCTCCCGAGTCACAGGCCGCCCGCCGAGCTGGATGTCTGTTTGGAGGTGATTACCCGAGGGTCGTTGATGCCAGTGATTCGTTCCTCCGGTCTGTCTAAAACCAGGAAAGCAGCCAGGTTGGCAGTGTAGGAGGCCACGATAATCATGGCGAAACCAGCCCAGACCATGCCAAGGATCCGAGCTGAGAAACTTCTTGGGGCACCTGGCAGAGCAAAGGGAGCAGAAAAAAAGACTCTGTTGAAGTTGGAGGGTGAGGGACAGAAAGTTTTTCCTGTGGTTGACATGGAGCTGAATGACCCAAAAGATCCTAGGGAGATCCTCCTACTCATGCCTTGTCTTTCCCCTCATCTGATGAATGGATTCTGCCCTCTGAGGGCAGAAAGCAGCAGTTTCCAGGCTCTTCCTTCCCAGGGTGTCTGAGGCTCACCTTCTCCAATGCCAGAATTCAGAAGGACCCCCCAGGAAAACCACATCGCCGATGAAAGGGTCAGGGCGTCCTCTTCCTCTTCTTCACTGTTCACTTTAAATCGGCCAAAGGGACTGCAAAAGAGCAAGCCACACCGCTTGGCTGAGTTCTGCCCTATCGCTAGCACTATCGGCACGGAAGTGCCTGTCCATTCACGAGCGGCTTCTGGTTCATTTTACTGCCTGAAAGTCTGAGGATTACCAAATAGAAATGGGTGCTTAGCCCTTCCGACTGGGAAGATAACTCAAAGGGTTGGAGCAGAATATAAACTTCAGGATTTCCCTGCCCCTCCCTGCAACTGGATGGGGCAAAGGAAGCATATCCTGAGATGGTTAAATGACTGCTCAGTGGATTGATTGTGATGGCTTTTGGATTTTCCATTTTGAGCAACATATTGTCAACTTTCTGGATCCCAGTATTTCCATTTGTATAGACTTTTTGTGGCCAATCCCCTCACACACACGCTGTATCTCCCTCCCCGTTGTGAGTATTCAGGTACCTGAAACGGTCCAGCAGATATAACATCACGGCCACCACGTGCACCGACAGCCCCACCAGGAGCCACAGGGTGCTCTGGAATGGCTGCATGAATGAATCCAGGGTGCTGCGGGGGATTTCCTGTAACACAGAAGGAAATCACGGGTGGAAGAAGCCTGGAATGGGTGGGCAGTCTCCAGTCAGAATCAGGAGATCTGCTTAAAATGGTGGGGATCAGACCAACGCGGCCTAAACTGGTTTCCCATCACTGCCGCTCCAGTGCTGCTGGGAAATCCGCAAACAGGGCAGGAAAGGGAAAACTCTTATCCTGCCACTGTTGCCCCTTCACAGAGAAAGAGAAATTCAGGGATTGGCTGCCCCCAAACATGGGGGATCCATTTCAAGAGGCATGTTTAGCATAATCGGCTGGAAAGAAAAAGGACCTTCCTCACCCTGTCAGGGAGGTTTCTGTTGAATTTCATTTCTGCATCTCCCCTTCACTTATTGTTAGGATTACAGTTAATTGTGGCTGGGTGTCAGGACAAGGATTGCTTCCTTTCAGAGGAGGCAGCCAGCGGTTGACCCTTGACCCAGGCCGTTTGGCTCAGGGCTCCATCTTTCCATCCTCACTCAGGGCCTGGGATTCACTCCCACTGCTCTTCGTAGTCCTGGCTACCATTTTGCCCTACCGATGTTCGTGCATTACCTTCTTGACGAGGATGGTCAGTCCTTGATACTTAAAAGGCTTGGAAAACTCAATGTACTGAGCGCGCTCGTTGTTAATGGTTAATGGTGCCACGATCATGTCAGCCTGGCCACTCAGCAGCTCCCCCATCATCCCATTCCACTCCTTCTTGTTGCTGTTGTTCACCTGCAATTAGAGGCCCGGCCAAGGTCATTCTGTTGCACAGGTCTGTCCAAAAAAGAGCCTTTTCAGCTCTTCACTGAATGCCTGAGCTCCTCTCTGTGGGGTGAGTCTGGAACTCTGAGCAGGTGCATCACACCAACTGCAGTTGCTAGTAAGCCTTAAGAGTGTTTGATCTGTAGAGTCCTGGGTGCTGTCTGAGCTTGGTCGTTTCTCGCAGATGTCCTGACTTGGGAGTACACCAGTGAAGCTCCTGCAAGCAAACCTCCAAGCTCAGAGAGCACTCGGGATCAACAGATCAACCCAGTGCTATAGATATTCTCTTCTGCTGGTAATCTTGGATCTGGTAGAAATATTGGGATCCCTTGGCCTTTCTTTAGTCAGTGGAGAACTGACGCAGCTGACACCCCCTTCCTCCTTTCCTTTTCTGAACTTCAGCTCAGTTGCTCAAGCCGGCGGCTGCAAGTTAAGTGGGATTTCAAGTCAAGACCTTCAGCTTCCTTTCTTTGGAGAATGCCTGCTGCATCACCTTCTCCAAACCAGGTAGGTTAATATCTGTATGCTAGTAATACCTTGGTAGTTCCCCTAGCTGCCACCACATCCTGTTTGGAATCTACAAGGCTCCACAACACCTCACCTCTGTGCGAGCTGCTTGATATATAAATCCCTGCCTGCTCGCAGCATGGGCTCCCTTGCCTTGCGTTAGGTTCTTTATCCACTTGTTCTGGAAGCTGGTCCTTCTTTGGGCTTAAACCACGTCCTTTACCCCGACCCTCTCTGTACACTGAAACTAGTCCTGTAGCAGCTGTTTCTGAACATGGTTGAATGCTGACAGGGTAGAACCTCCAGATGTTGACGCATGGGGGTTGGCCATGACGGTAACAGACTTACACCACCCCCTTTTTTTAATGGAAAGAAAAATAAGCAAGAGTTATAGACTGAGAGCAAATTGAGAACTGTTGCCCACTGGCTGTTTTGGCTCACTTACATCAGACTGAGAGAAAGTCAGTATTCTTACCCGTTCTTGTGTGCCAAATTTACCGTCACCCACTAAATGTACTTCGTAGGTAAAATTCATGGTCTTTGCAAGCTTGATGAGTAAGTCGATGCAGAAGCCATAGCAACATAACATTACACTGGGGCGTCCTGTGTTGCAATGAGGAAAGAAAGAAACAAGATAAACCCTCCACGGTCTGAAGATCCGACTCTGGGTTTAGCTACTTCCGGTTTCCCTTTGTGATGCAGCTAAGAAAAAGGTGAATGTTGGCAGAACTGGGCTCCTGGGAGGATATTTGACAGCCATGTAAATACTTTGCAAAGTGTTGGTTTAAAGCACTATAATTACCCTACTTTTAGCTCCAAAGAAAAGTGAAATACTATCAACAATTAGTGGAAGCAAATAAAAAAAAATACCCCAGGGGTGGTCCCTCCCTATTAACTCATTAAGTTCCTGGCAGCAAATTTTGCCAGTGGAGAGAGAGTGGAAGCCACAATCCTTCACCCGGAAGTGGTGGATCTTTAGGGGAGAGACCTAGCTTCCGGGCCGAAGGGTTCACCTGGCATGGTCTCGTTGGGCCCCGTACAGAGCACCTGCTGCACCAGTCCCCCCGTGCTGTTGAGCAGCGGTTTGCACTTCCCATCGGCCAGGGTGGCCTTCACGTAGACAAATGGCTCCTGGTGGATGGTGACTATCTGTGGAAAGAGAGGCCAGAAAGGCTGCTTGGGAGGAGAAAGGTTCAACAGGGAAGGCAGCAGCCACACTCCCACCAACGGTCAGGGACAGCCCTTGGCTGTTCTCCCTCCGTTTCTCTCTGTTTGGTGAACGCAGCAGAGGCAGCTCCTCTAGGCGTTGATGCTTTGTCAGAGGTGGGGCAGTCATTCCCCCTCCCCAAAGTCTCTCAATTTTAATTCTCCTATTGGAAGTGAGACAACACACCTTTCCCCACTGAAGCAAGCTGGGCAGAACCTACCTTTAGTTTTGTGGACATCTCATAGCCCTGCGGTGTTTCTGTTTCTCCTCCCGGCCAGACGATCTTTCGGTCATTGGGCAGAAACTGTGAAGGTGCAATTCAGGCAGGATGGTTACAAACTGCTCTAGCTATACTGGGCAGAGGCTGCAGCTGCTAATTACAGCTGGGCAGGACACGATTTTTTCCTTTTAGCTGTGGCACTATACGTGTCTATGCCGCATTTTATTCTCTGGAAATTCACAGGAGGCCCCAAATTCAGGGCCTTCCTTTTCAGAGCTGAGCTGAAGGGATTGGAAGACTCAAGACACTGGCCGCACGTACGTGGCTCCCGTTGTAGACTCCGACCTGCACCAGCTTGTTGTTCTGGAGATTCATGACACTATAGTTGGCATATTTTCTGTCCCCGTCTTCATTAAACTCCACCCTGCCAGTCACGCCTTCTGCATATTTGGTCTGCATCAGCACCCTAAGAGAAGTTGTCTCATTTAGGCTTTGCAGGCTGCATGGCCTCAAGGCAGCAGCGTTTCAGCTCCCTTTGCTTCCCAGGAGAGTCTAGGGAAGTACTCTGGGTGGTCTTGGGCACATGGGTGAGCGCTTGGAACAGGCTCAGTCACTCCGTTGTGTAAAGCCTCGGGGGCTGGCCCTCCCTCTCCTCCCGGAGTATTTGCTTGGCCCACAGCAACCAGCCTTTGCTGCTGGCCCCGACCTGAAGAACAGGGGCAGGAGAACCGCTGCTACCTTTTGAAGAGGGGCCCCGTCTTCCAGATGTTAGTGTTCCCCACACAACCCCGGGGAGGGTCGGTGATGTTCTCTTTCTCAAACAAGTCGTGCACAGCCTGGGCCACCACAGCAACTGCGTCTCTAATGTGAGCAGATTCATTCTTCCCGTTCATGAGCTGTAGACCAATCAGTCCTGAAATGGTCCAAGAGAAGAGATCCAGAACAGCCCTCGGGGGGGGGGGGGAGCTCCGTTTCCGCTGGCCAGTGCCTCTGGAGGCACCGAGGACAGCGACCCTGAGCCATTTATCCCCAGAATCCGCCTCTCGGAGTGGGGCTGCCTTCAGACTGGGAGTCTCTGAGCCTCGCCTTAATTCCTTCCCACGTGAAATTAGATGCCCTTAATTTTTACAACTATAAAAGGGGAAGACGAATCTCTCTGTGAAGTCATTCTGTCCACACTGGGCACGGCACTGCTCCAGTTTGCCACATTACTGCTGACCCCCCCCCTTGTAAATCCTCCCATCTGGCAACCCAGAAGCGTCAGCAGAAGCGGTGTAGCTTGAGAGGAGGGTCAGAAGAGGATGGGTACCTTCTGGCGCGTTGCGCAAGGCGTTGCCCGAGATCTCTCTTTCTCCCACCAGCCATACGTAACCCGGACCAGTCATGTTTTCTTTGGCTGCTGCCATATAGACGGTGGTGGCATCCTCCTCACTGGAAGAGAAGAGAGATGGCACTGCCAAGGAGTCCCTTGCCCTGCCTTTGTGCTCCCCAACTCTGTGGGCTCTTCTGCCGAGTGAATCCTTTGTGGAGACCCCAGGGAGAGAGGGGAGCTCCCAGAGACTTCCCCAGTGCAGAGGGCAGGAGGAGTCCAAGGCTGGGACCGTCTGTTTGTCTGGCCGGGGCCCACTTCAGGAGGGAGGCATTGGGGAAGAAGGCTTTCACAAACCGTCTGACCGAATGGACAAGTGATGGGATGGTCAGTGACCCCAGTGAGGTAGAGCTTCAGGAGCAAATGGTGCAGTTTAGGGAAATGGCCCCTTTTGGGGAGCGGGCAGCAAAGATTCCTCAAGACTCCGCATTCTCTTGGAACATTTCCTGAATTGGGGAAACTGGGAGGCTCCCTGGAGGAGCTTTCTCTTAACACTTTGTGGAAGCAAGCAAAAGACAGGTTGGAAACCCAGGAGAATTACCAGTGCAAACCCACAAATGTTTGGACCCCCCCCCGGGGTTTCTCTGAGGGGAGCCATCCAGCTGTTTGTGGGAGAGCCTTTGTGTTCTTCGTTCAGTCAGTGCAAAGTTGCTGGATGGGTGAAGGTGCTGCATAAATTGTGCCAGTCACTGCAAAGTGTGAAATTGTGTATTTTATTTAGTAATTTATTTATTTATGTAATAATCTTAGAGGTGATAGAAAACTTGGGCCCTCAATTTAGAATTTTAGAGTTGGCGTTAACACGCTTAAGTAACTGGAACTCTAATCCTACGTTTTTAGAACGTAAGCTTATTCAATACAATGGGGCTTCATTCTGACTAATTGTGCAGAGGATTGCAATACATTTCTTCTAAATAAGTTTGGACTTTAAACAGTGGGTAACTTTCATTTTAACTCTGGTAGAAATCCAGACCTTGGAATCATAGAGTCATTGTCTACAGTTGGAAGATCCCTTGGAGGTCTTCTAGTCCATCCTCCTTCCCAGGGCAGGAATCCTCAGGCCATCCTAGACCAATGGCTGCCCAACCTTGGCTTGAAATCCTCCAATGATGGACCACCCGTAGCTCCAGGAGGCAGACTATTCCTCCGCATGATAGGTCAGGAAATTCCTCCTTATTTTGAGCTTGGTTCTCCCTCTGTAAAGCTCCCCCCACGCCGGGTTCCGGCCCCGTCCTCGGGCATTGTGGAGAATGTGCGCACCCCTCTTCTCTGGGGCCGCCCTTCACCTATTGGAAACTTCCTCCAGGCCAGCCACACCCAGTTCCTTTAACTCCCCTTCGGAAGGCCCTCACCATCACCTCGGTTACCTTGATCAGCATCCCCTCCAGGGGTCCTCCTGGTATTGGGACGACCAGCACTGGACATGATATTCCAGGCGTGGTCTGAGCAGTGAAGCAGGGGGTGGGGGCTATCAGTTCCTGCGATCTCGACACCGTCCCTGGTGATGCAGCGGCTCTTTGGGCAGCTGTGACCACTGCTGGCTGAGGACTCCTCTCCTCTCTGGTCTGCCTCACAAGCACCACTGGCACCTGTGCCATGCCTGGGCATATGGCTGTTCCTTGCCTCAGGGCAGAGAACATCGTAGTGTCAGATGAAGACAGAACTGATTTTAGGCAGGGGGCGTCCCAGGCTGGGCTACGGGTGAGGGAAGAGAGAGAGGGGAGGGGGAATAGAAGGCCTCCCCCCCTCGCGCTCTGCGGGGGGCGGGAGTGAATCCCAAAAGGAAGCCAAAGGGTCTGCTTGCTGGAAGGATGGTGGTGCTGGCACCGCTGGGGCTGCTCCCATTCTATAGCTCCTCGGTTGGGACTCTACGCTGTTGCCGCCTGGCCAGGTGTGTGGCTTTTTCCTGTCCTGTCTGTGGGCCTGGCGTTTCCCTTGTGACTGTGCCGGGAACCAATCTGACTGTGAATGGATTCCCATCTGGTGTCTCATTTACCTTGCTTCTACTGCTTCTCAGTGTTGTAGGAGCAAAGGGCCCCCAGGAATAAGGGGCTGGGACATCGTTGGACCCACCGGTCCCAGCATCTGCGCGTGAGGTCTGAATGCTGAAAGGCAGGCAGTTAGGTTCAAGGCTTACCTTGCGGAGAGGATAATCACCCGAGCCTCCAATTCCTTGGCTTCCAGCAGCAGTGAAGTCACGTTTTTTGTTCCTGGTTCGAACTGAAGCACCTTCTCAGCCTGCAATGGGTGTGAGCGAGAGGGATTAGTGCAAAGGCCGCAGAGCTGAGTCAGAACCATGCTTTTTAGGAAAGAGAATTCCACCCCTCTTTCAAAGCACTGCTAGGCATGGAAAGGAAGGGCAGAGGGAAGTTATTTTTCTTTTCTTTTCTCTTTTTTTTCTTTCTTTTCTTTTTCTCTTAGGGTTTTCCCCCCTTTCTTTGATATTAATCGATACTGTTTTCTCTTTCATTTTAAAAAACTTTTGCACCGTGCATGCAGTCACTCAAGACTCAAAGAGAGGCGTGCATTTGTAGAGAAAAGAGGAAAAAAGGCATATATAAGTATCATAGATACATATTTGTTTATTTGCAATGCAATTGAAAACTCAAACCAGTGTTGTTTTTCAGAAAAACAAAACCAAACAATAAACCAGGGGAACTCAAAATTTTTGAAAATGCACAAGGTTCATCTTGGGAGCTTGGGGAATCAAAGTGAAAGTTTCACACCAAGGAACCATTTCTTTTTGGCAGGGGGTGGAGGGGGAAGAGGAAAGGATAGGACAGCAGGAAGGGATTGGTTCAATTTTTCAAGAAAGAAAGAAAAAAAATACTTGCAAGTTGATTATTGCTTTACATGCATGTCTCCAAAACAAATATTTCCAGGGCTGGCTTGCTACATTTCCATTCTCAGGGTCAAACCAAACTTATCCCAACATAAAATAACGTGCTACCAAAAAACATGAAGTTTGCTCGCTTGCTTGGTACATATTTTTTGATTCTGATTCTGATTTTTAATTAATTTTTCCTTGTGCCTGTGGCCAAGTTCATCATTTTGCTAGTTAGGTTGGTGGGCGGCGTGCATTGTCCATGCAAATATACCTTGGGTCCTCGCTTGCTGTCATAGGATAGTTGTTCGAGGCTGTCATAGTTCCTTTTTTTACTCTGATGAATAATGTGCACAGAAAAAATATGTAGACACAGAAGAATATTATAAACAGTTGAAAAAAATGACGTGTAGTAAAGCAATCCAATATCCAACTCTTTCTCCACTGTTTGTGAAAAGGGAATGCTATAACGCTGGAGCACGCAAAACCCAGTAGGAGGGGGGGCCCTCTGGCCCCTCCCCAGCTGAACCTGGCTCCATCTTGCCTCCCCTCTCGCTTGCTACATCTTTTCTCCATTTTTCTCGCTGTCGAGCATTGGGGTATATGGCCAGTATGAGTTTCCATAATAGGCACGTACAGCCTGAACTATGAGCCAGCCATGACACTTGGCCCGGACCCGCATCCGTTTGGAAGCCAGGAAAGCCAGAGGAGAAGATTGGATAGCTGGCTAGCTGACCTGGATAAGCAGCTTTCCAGATGGCTGTGCAGACATCCCATGAGACCTCAGGGGTCAAAAGGAGGCCAGATGCAGGCAGGCAGATGTAAGAGCAGTGGATGCATAAATGTATCAAAGATGAAATGGAACATTCCTTCTCGTCACTTTCTCCAGGAGAGGGAAGCAGGAGAAGAGCTTTGGTGGAATAAACTGAAGGGAGTCTCCCCCCCCCAAATCAGGCATGTCTGAAACTCCTAAGGGCAACTGTCCTCCTGTGCAGCTGGTCCCAGTGTCCACAAGGACCCTGGCTCTGAAAATGGAGCATCTACTGAACTAGGGGGACTGACCGACCCACTCACCACGCCCCCCGCTGCGTGATTGGTCTGACCCCTCTTTTAGGAAGAGTACATTAAAGCCATTAAAATGCCATGCCATGTATCATGGCCAGGGCTTCTGGTGAGACCCCTGAGCCGAGCCACATCCCATTAGAGAACAGTCAGTGTCTCAGAGCAATCACGAAGGTGGCTGGCAGTCCTACTGAGGCCACTGAATTAAGCCATCCTTTTGAACAGTCCTGGCTAGGACTATGAATCAAAGCAGCAAAAAAAGAAGGCGTTTCCCCCAGTCTTTGCAGGGACCGCTGCTCTGGTGTTCTGTCCTGCCGCTTGAGCCTCTGGTAGAAGTTGGAAAATTCTTTCAAAATACCATATCCTCTCAGTTCGAATCTGGAAGAGCATTTTCTAAACTTGGGGCAACTATAGGTTTAGTTTATAGCGGATTTGGTGTGGTTAAGTTGCTTTGATCGGGTATGGAAACAAAGTTTTAAATAAGACCTTTTCATACAGATGAAAGATTCTGTGTGCCATTCAAAGTGACTTCAAGACTGAGGCTCGGTCTGAATGAACAACTTTTTCTGATCCAAGGCAGAGCCGTGTTCTGGACCCTGCCTGTCCACAGGGAGTCATTGGATCTGTCTTGTTCTTAATTTTGCCTGGATAAAAAGTTATAGCTGTTAGCATGATTGGTTACCAGTGCTACCATCCTGCTTCTCTACACGACTGTGGCTGCTGACCGGCTGGAGAGCAGCCTGGACAGAAAAGACTTGGAGTGCAACTGACTCTGTTGCTGCTGCTGCTCTTCAGAGCTGGGAGAGGGGCTTATCTGTCTGAAGCCTCTGGATGACTCAGTGACAGAAGAGAGAGAGAGAGAGAGAGAGAGAGAGAGACCTACTCTAGAACAGCCTCTTTACTGCAGGCGGCTGGTCTCGCCACCTGATCATTTTATCACATCTCCCCCCAAAAATGCAGAATCCACTGTAGGGAGCATCTGATAATACCCACGCCTTAAGGCACTTTTTGCCAGCATTGCCAGATCAAACAGGATTCAGTGCCCAGGAATCAGACTCATCTATGTAGGTCAGCTTGTAAAGGGAGCCCTGGGTGGCCCCTGACTGGCACGGGGGCAACCCTTAGACATTTGCAGGATTTTTGCGTTTCTGGGCAAGGGTAGGATCTGATAATTGAGAGTCCATTTATTAAAGGGGAAGCAACCAACACACAGAAAAGCAGCAATTCTTAGCTAGAGTTCTGCCTGCTATACTAGTCGTCTGTGTGTGCAGAGAGATTTATTTGATGATGCAGAGCTCGCCTAGGCCTGAGGGAACTGCAAAGGGAACCTTCTGCAGAGGGAAAATGACTCTGGTTTCTCTGTCTGGTAACTATTAGCCGTGTACTCCAGTGAAGACTACGAAGCCGGTGCAGGTTAATAGCAACTAGTAGAAAAAGACTATAGTACATCTGCACCATAATTTACTATTTTTTTTGAATAGGGAACAAAACTTTTGCCTTACAAGCCATTGTGTCAGCATTGTGTCTTACGCTTTTTAGGGAGGAAGAAAGTGGTCTTTCTAAGCTTCACTGAATTTGATTATGAAAGAGCGTGTGTCAGTCTTATGATGCAAATTGATTGGCAGTATAAATTCTTGTAGAAAGGGATCAGAGCTTAGAAGGAAAGTACAAGAGGCTTAGAGAGAACGGTGTGGCAGAAAGGCATGTAAGGAAGCTGGGAAATGAAAGTCACTGGAAGTATCCTAAAGAGAGCCAAATTAACATGGCAAGGATCCTGCTGCCGTCCAAGGCCAAGCCTGACCCCAAATATTCTAACAAGATTGAGCCAGTAGGAACCAGGAGTCCACGGAAGGGACAAGCCGTGCGAGGGCCTGAGATGCTGAGCTAGCCATTTACCCTCCTTTCTTTCTTTCTTTCTTTCTTTCTTTCTTTCTTTCTTTCTTTCTTTCTTTCTTTCTTTCTTTCTTTCCTTCTTTCCTTCTTGCTTTCTTTTTCTTTTTTTCTTCCTCCCCCCCCTCCCCCTCTCCCCCTCTCTGACCCCCAGCTGGCCCACAAGGAGGCCTTGGGGTAGCTTCCTTGCTACTCTGGAGAGCTTTTTCCTATCAACACACTCGCCGTTGAGAGACAGGGATTTGCAAAGCTCCAGGTTATGTTTCTCCTCATTTCACAGTTGTTGCCGGTTTCGTTTTCTCTCTTTTTTTTTATGCAGAAGGTTTTCGACCATGGTAAAGCAAGTGAAATGAATAAGAGTACAAAGCTTCGTTAGGTACTATTCAAGAGACACCGCTGATGCTTACAGCATAATGTTAGTTGTGTTCACAATGGGAAGAAAAGAGGTGTTTTACATACGAGGTACAGACAACAAGCCTGAGATTTTTAAAGGTTCTGCTGTATCCACAGAAGTGTAGGCAGCAGAGTGTGGGGGATACTGACCTTGGATTCCTTCTCTTCCAAGAGGGTCTCCAGCTTCTTTTGGGCAGCTCGCCCTTCGTGGTCATCACTGACAATGAGGATGATGTGGTTCCACTTGTAAAAGCGCATCATCTCAAACCAAACGTTGGACTGGTGGGAGTAGGGGGGCACCGTGCGTAGGAAGGACAGGTGGATACTCTGCAAACGAAAGACAGGAGCAAACCAAAAGTCTGAAAGGAAACGGGATACGTTGTTGGGTGGTTGAAAGGTTATGTAGTTTTCTTTGTAGGGAATCCAGAAAACAAACTCCAGGATTTTATTTTGTTCTCCAGGGACTGGTTGTAAGCCTTTTACTTTGCCCTGTTAAATCTTTCTAAAGCTTAATTGCTTTTGAAAAGATCCTGTTTCCAGCGAAGGTCTATAGATTACCCTCAGACACTAAGCAAGGACTCTTCTTCGTTTGTCTTTCAATGGCCTGTCTTATGTACTCTGAGTTCTAGGAATAGGAAAGTCATCGGCATGTCTGGAAGACAGCAGTCAAGATGACAGAGGGCTTGGAAGGAAAAAACTTACAAAAAAAAGTTGGTGGCATGTTTGTCGTGGAGAAGGGAAGACTACACGGAGACAGGAATGTTGTGTAAAAGGGGGCTCAGAATTGTTCCCAGGGGATGGACAAGTAACAAGGGACTTAAATTACAACAAACCCAAGAAGCGGGAGAATATTCTACCTCTTACCATAACATATGTGCACTACTATTAGCAGTAATAATATCAGCGGTATTAGTCGTGATAATAACGAGCGAGTCCATTACCTTATCTGAATATATGGACATGCGAGTCGTCAGCCCAAGGACAGGAATCCGATAGAACCCAGCTGTGTATGACACCGGTGTTGGGGTCAAGTGGTCATTTGGTGCTGGTGGGTGGCTCACTAGAATGGCATACACCTGGAGGACACAGCACACCAACATTGGTTTATATGTGGGGCCCCAGGAAACCCTGCCCCAGTTTCTAATGCGAGCAGTTGGACTGGTGAAATTTAACAACTGCAGGGATTCACTTAGCAAATGTGGCAGGACAAGTCATAAAATGGGGCAAAACTAACAAAAAAATTCTCACTTAGCAACCTAAATTCCAGGCACAATCGTGGTTGTAAGTCAAGGACTACCTGCACCCTTCTTGGTCAGCCACCCCGTGAAAGAGGATCTCCTGGGTGCCTCTTTTGGGCAGGACAGGCCGCATCTCTGAAATGTGGTGAGTTGCTTTTTATTGTGGAATTACTCTTCCATTCAAAGCTTTTTTGCTTGATTGTAGAAGTATTTGGGATTTTAAAATATTGCTTCCAGCACTTTTTTGGGCTAGAAACAGCAGCAAGCTGTATTTTAGTGTTTTATGCAAATCCAGAAAACTGAATTAATTCAGGGACCACATTAGGGGAAGCCAGACAGAATTGGTATTAACTGTGAAATTCAGTTTCATTAGCCCTCTAATATTAAAACAAATCAGTATTTTATTATCTCCTGGCATGATTTGGGAGATAAGTGTTATCCTTAGGATAAAATTCTGGAGGCTGGTGGTAAAATCAACTTCACTAACAGGTGCCCACCGAGTGTTTTGGACAGTAACTCCCCCGGGGTAGGAGACCGGGGCAGCTGGTGGAGTAGATACTTCCTAGCCCGGATTGCAAACTGCCCTGCAAGACAAGCCTCAGCTTTCCTGGGGCTGTTTGGCTTCTGCCGACTTGCATGAATCTTTCCAAGGCATTTGCAAGGTCAAAAGGAGTCCCTATGGAACAGACATGCTGGATAATGTGATTTATTTAACTGCACATTTAGTATGGAAGTATAATTTCTCTCCGAGGGCTGTTTCAGGTGAAAGAGTCAGCTGAGATTCTGGAAAAGAGAGGGAGAGGGAGGGGGAGGGGGGAGTTGCAAGGGGAGCAGGCAATGCAAGCATGAGAGTGAGGGCTGGCCTTTCTTCTCTGGGGGAAAAAATTGGCCCCAACCCAAAGGGAAGGGCTGTTCAAATCCATGGAGCCTGTGGGTAACGGTTAGCGTTTGCCTGACCATCCAGCACGGTCCCCTTGATTTGCAATGGGCCGAATTAACAAATGTATGCAGATTTTTTCTTTCTGTGATGTACACTATCCAGCTGCTTTGGGGAACCAATTTTGAAAATAGTCCCCGATTAGCACAATACATAAATTAGGTTTAAAGCTACCCGTGATCATCGCAAGGACTATTGACCAAGTTAAACCACTCGTGTATCCAGCCCATAGGCAGATTGCAGGACTATAGGAAAGCCTTTGATCTGAGTCTTCCTGTGTTGGAGGGAAGAGCAACGGCTCTGCTCATTTCCCCCCCCCCTTCCCTGTAAAAAAGGGGAGGGGGCCGGCTGCAGGAGGCCAGATGGGGGCTGAGCAGTGCCCAAGCCCTCCCCAAAGGCAGTGCCTGCTGCAGTCATAAGTCCCGCTTCTTCGCCCTGCCTGCTCCCTTCCTGGCTTTCCCATTGCCTCCGTCTGCGGCTGCTGCGGTCGTCCTTCCGCCCTTCATTTCAGGCCCACCGAATCAGCCCTTCCGACTAGGGGCCTGTGAGGAGCTCAGGAGCAGAAGGGGGGGGGGTCTGCTGCTCCCACTTGCGTTCCCTAGCAACCGGCCTCCACAGGCATCCTGCCCAGAACATGGGCAGGCAGAGGCGGCTCTGCTGATGGCCTTTTCCTTTGGGAATTCCTCCTCCTCCTCTCCTCGGGCAAACTTCGCTCTGCGGGAAGAGGAACTTCTTTAGCCCGGCCTATATATTTTTAGAGTTTGCCCCTTTGCCGCCGTTTGGTTGTTCAGCTGTGAGGCGAGGACCTTCATTTCAGCAGAACTGCTTCTTTGAGCCCTTCCGTGGTGTCTGGCTTGTCAGATCCTCAGTGATGGCATCTGAGCCCTCCTGGTCTTTCTGCTCCGTGTTGGATCCTGGCTCCACAGAGGGCTTCTGCTAGATCCCTCCTGGGCTCTCTGGGAGGGCCTTTCCTGGCCTGCTGGCTGGGCTTCTTTGGCGGTTACAAGCGTGTTCAGGGTCCATGGAAGCAAAGCGGCCCTTAGCTTTTGGAGAAGAAAAGAGGCAGAGAGACCCTGGGGCAAGAGAGAGGCGGGTTGGGGTACCCTGGGATTCAAGGCAGGCAGGCAGTTGACTGTCCAGTTAATCTGCTGTTTTCGGGGTGGAGGGGCTTCCAGAACTGCACCCAATTGCCTCTCCCCTCTTTTCCAGCAAAGGGGGGGGCAAGCAAGCTTATGGAGGCAGTTGGCCCGAGGACAGTTTCCTGGAACAAGGTCCCCGTCCTCCTCTCTAAGAAGAAAGCCTATTGGCCTTGAGGACACATTTCGTGTCCCCTTAATTTTTAATCCAGTGTTAAATTTCTGGGCTAAATTTTCTAAGAGGGAAAACTGTCCACCTGAAAACCTTTAAGGGATGTGCATGTGTAATTTTTCGGTCCTCCTTGTTTGTGAGAAAGCTTGTGTTTGTGCCCACAGAAGGCCAACTGCTTTGGGTTGGGTGTGCACACCAGGTTCAAGAATGCAGGGAGGCCTGGGGGGGGGGAAGACTTTTTGATTGGGGGGAGCGCTTGCTCCCGAGTGATGCCACGAAGCAAGTGGGGGTGGCGGGCAAAGCGCTTTTCCCTTCCCGTTTGGTGGTTTCCATGCCATTTCCGTCCCCCTCAGCTGTGCAAGAGCCGCCCCCAGATGCAAGCACATTGTCATGCCCGTGCCCGCCTTGGCGCATTATGTGAGCCAGATTGATCCCCTCCCCCGTTTCCCCTGTTATGCCCACACAGCTCATCCTGGGGTGGGGCAGAGGAGGAGGGAAGGGGCTTTGGGATGCTTTCTGGAAAGGGTCCCACTGCCGCCGCCAGCAGCCCCCCCCCCGCGCCCCTTGGCTCCTGAGGCTCCGAGGTATTGCTCCCTCTCCCTTGCTTGCCCGCCTGTGGAAGGGGAGGGAGGGGCGGATTCCTGGGGGAGAAGGGGAGGGAGGGGCGGCAAGAGGAGGGTGGCTGAGCCCTGGGAGGGGACCGGACCCGCGCCTACCTGGCTGGAGATGAGGTCCTCGCAGACAGAGAGAGCCATCTGGATGGCGTTGGGCTTGTGGGTGACGGAGGTGGCGTTGAGCTGGATCTTCCAGGTGCCGTGCCGCTTGTTGGCCTGGCTGATGGCGTCGCGGAAGACCTGCTCGTGCTTCTTGGTGCTCAGCACGGCTCCGATGTTGATGATCTTGGGCTCGCAGCCCGCGCGGGCCACCGAGAACCAGAGCAGCACGGCCAGCAGCAGCAGCCGCATGGCGCCCCGCGCTCCAGGCGAGCCGCTCTCCGCGGTGCTGAATTCCCTGCGGTCGGTCGGGCGCGCGGGAGAGGCGCCCGGCGGCTCCGCCAACCTGCCACTGCGGCAGCCGCGGCACGTCGACTCGGGGCGGGGGCGAGGGGGGCGAGCGAGGGAGGGGCCCCGGAAAGCCAGCCCCCGCACGGTCAAACCCCCGGCTCCTGAGGGATCCCCCACCCCCACTTTCCGCGCCAGCGGCTTCTGGATGATAGCCCCCCCGCGCCGCCCCCGAATCTGAATAGAAGAGAAAGGAAGTGAGGGTGGGTGGGTGGTCACCTCGGGGCTTCTGCGAGGAAAGAGCCACCTAAGGCAGCCCCCCTCTCCCCACCCAAGGATGGAAGTCCATCCTCCCTTTCTGCAGCTTCCCTCTCCCCCCAGCTCCAAGGACACCTCCCTGGTTCTCAGCTTTCCCGAGCCAACAGTCCCGAAAGCGGGTGACCTGTTTTTAGGCGAGAGGGAGATGCTTCAGCTGGTGGGGGTGCAGCCCAACTGAAGGAAGGAGGGATGTGGAGGGAGGAGAAAGGAAGGAGGGCTGAATAGACTGGCTGTGGAGGAAGGGAGAGGATCTAGTAAAGCCAAAGAGGATGGCAAACAGGTGGGCAGCTCACCAATCTGAGGGGGGGAGGGGGGAGAAAGACATTGGACAGAACAGCTGGGCAATTTGGGGAGATGTGCACATGTGAGCTGGGAACCAAGTGGACAACATAGGTCTCCTTCCTTTCCCAGGAGAGGGGACTGTGAAACCCCTTGAGGCTCTAAGCCCCCCTGCTAAGGGGGGGGGGAAGGAGACTTCCCTGCAGTGATAGAATGGTGGGCAGGAGTGTCCCTGGTGGCCAGTACAGACCGGGCAGTGGTCCAAGTGTTGCTCTACCTGGCCACTCTCCTCCAGACTGTGCAATGGGACTTTCCCGATGCTGATCCCTACAAGAGCCACTGCACAATTCCCCAAATAGCAGAGCTATTCCTAAGTGGCTGCTTAGGAACCGTCCGGTGGCTGTCAAACAAAACGAGGGCAGCCTCTCCCTCCTTAGTGGAAGCACCTAAACTGGACAGCCTCTCGCTTCTGGTGGTAACAAATGCTGGTTCCCTATTTATTCTCATTTAAAACGCCTTCAAAAATGCACCACTTTCCTCTTAACAGCTCTTATTGCCACTAGCAAATTAAAGGTTTTGTGAAGAAGCAGAGAGGCAGGCAGGCATTCAGTACAGAAAATGGCAAATGCTGCTAAAGTGATGGGTGGACATGAATTCCTATATGCATCTTCACTTTGGCACCCACAAATCTCGATAAAGATGAAGCCGACCCTCCTTGTTCAGAACAAAAGAACTGAATTTTTCTCTGTCTCCAGCAGCCCCAGAATCCAGCAATGCAAACCATTCCTGGTGACGTCTTTAAAAAGTGCACGTTGCTATAGAAACACTTCATTATGTTCGTATTCCACATCTTCCAAATATGCTTTGAGAACAGGAAGGAAAATAACAATAACAACCCTAAAGCAAACGTGGGAGGGTGTGTGTGTGTCTGTGGCACAAGCAACACCTCTTGCTGTGTTGAAAGGGGGGCCAGGAGAATCGAGGGCAGTCAGGTCCCCTCAGCAAAGGAGGCAACCTCTGTCCGCCCCAGGACCTTCTGGAGAAGCCAGGCAGTTCCTCAGAGGAAGCGGGCCAAGGACCAGGCTGAAATGCCAAATGGAGTCGCTTCGCCCACCCACTTATGCCAGGGCAGGCAGGAGTCTGCAGCGGGCAGAGCTTGCTCAGAGGCTGCCTTCGTGGCCTGTGTCCTCTGAGATTCTGTGCCCCAGGCGGATTCGGTGGGAGGCCTCCCCTCTTCTCCTAAGCAGGAGAGACTTGGGGGGGGGCAGGCATTCTCCCTTCACCTCCCCACCGTTTTCCTCCCTATCTCTAGGCGGCGGGAGGGGGGGGAGGCCACCTGGCTGGGGAGGGGCAGCTCCAACTTAGCCGCTGAAACTTCCTCTGCAGAAATTGGGGGGGTGGAGAGGGGACCCCAACGGTAACTGACAGAAGGCAGGGCCACCTTTTCTAGCATTGCCAGTCCTTCCCTGACCCGACAAGAGCGCTGATCGCCGACGGCCACCCCCGTGTGCTCCTGGCCTCGTTTGGCTGGACGGCTCGACGGGGCCCCTGCTGCAAGAGGGCCTGGGCTGCGCTCTGCTACAGCTGCCAGTGGCGGAGAGTTCCACCGGCGCGTTTAGCCGCCCACTCCTTGCGGGTTGCGGGTTCGCGCCGGAGGGACAACCGAGGAGGCCGGGCCGGGGAGGAGGCGCTCGAGGGGTCATTCCCGTGCGCCTGGGCTGGGAAGTGGCTGAGACGGGCCGCCCCCGACCCGGCCCGAGCTATAAGAGGCGCGAGGACGCGCTGCGGTCGGACAAGCCAGGATGAGGCTGAGGCTGGTGGCGCTCCTGGTGGGCGTTGTGGCCGCCCTCCTCCTCCTCCTGCCGCCGCCGCCGCCGCCGCCGCTCTTGCTGCTGCTGCTGCTGCTGCCGCCGCCCCTGCTGCTGGTGGCCGCGGCCGGCGGCGGCTTGGCTTGGCTGGCGCTGCGGCCCAAGCGGCTGATTCGCTCGCTTGACCAGGTGGGCTACCTGACGGAGCCCGGCTGGAGCCGCGCGCAGAGCGCCGGCCGGACGCGCAAGAACCGGAGCGCCGGCCAGCTGCTGCCCTCTTACCCCAATGGCTGGTTCCGGCTCCTGGGCTCAGCCGAGCTGGCCCGCGGGGAAGTGCGCAACGTGGCCGCGCTGGGTGAGTCGCTGGGCGCTCCGGCGGCGCTCGGAAGCGGGAGGGAGGGAGGGAGGCGGGCGGGCAGGCGCGGACCGGCACGCGGTGGAGCGAGCGCCCCGCGAGTAGCCCAAACGGCAGGGGAAACCCTTTCCCGCCCAGCTGAAACGGGGGACTGGAGCCGGTGGGGTCTCGGAGCAGACGCAGAGCTCCCGACTGTCCGGCTAGGGTAGCTCCGAGGATTGGGGAGCTGCACCCCTTAACGGGCAAGACTGACTCCCCCCGTCCGCCCCGCTTGCTCTCCCTGTCGGCCTTCCTGCCTTGGTCCAGCTGGGCTTTTTAAACCGGGGGGGGGGGACTCCAGAAGTGCCAGCAGGGGTGCGGGAGGGAAGGTGCTGGCCTAGAGATCAGCAGATGGGGAGAAAGTCGGCAAGCGACCGGCCACTGGGCTCTCTCGGCCCGACTTGTCTCAGAGTTGGGGTTTTTTTTGGGGGGGGAAGGGAAATCGAGGGCAGGGAGATTCAGTATATTTGCCACCTAATAATATTCTTAGGAAGGAACCAATAAGTGAATAAAAATACTGAATCCAGGCTAAACATCAGACTCATTGTGCAACAAGCCAAAATGGTAATAAATTGGGCGTAGCTGACGAATTGAGAAATCACTAATGTTCTGCGGATTTGGAAAAATTATTTTTGTCCTTGAGCTATATTTTTCAGCCTCTAGGGTGGCTGCGGCTGTACTCGGAACGCGTGGGTCCATGGACGTGAATGCTTAGCTGGTTGGTGGGGTGCCGCTGAATGTGTGCCAACCCCCTAGATGGAGTTTCTCTGGGATCAGTTGTCCTCATCCTGGTTCTTCACTGTTTTAATTCAGATGGAGATGGAATGTGCCCGTTTGGGAGTTCACTCAAGATGTGGGATTGTGGATGAAGAGTTTCTGCGTACACAAGTTTGCATTCTTTCCCAAGCCCAAATTAATAATAACCACGGTTTATATTCATTTTAAAAAAAGTTAGATCTTTTATCAGGTAACACCAAACTTGGGGTAGATCCTAATCACTACCTTCTGTACATGTGCTTACTTGAGCGGAGTGAGCCTGGGCGGTGTACATGGCTGCTGCCATAAACGTCACCCCTCCCCTTTTTAACGTGCTCTCCCCTTTGGGCTTCTGTCGGGAGGCGGTTCAGTTATTTTGTGCTCCTTCATAAAGGTGGCTACGCCCTTTGCACCAGAGTACAGGTGGTCCTTGACTTACAACAGTTCATTTAGTGACCGTTCAGGGTTACAATGGCACTGAAAAAAGTGATTTATGACTGTTTTTCAGTTACGACCTTAGAAGCTTCCCCAAGGCCATGTGATCAAAATTCAAACGCTCGGCAACTGGTTCATGCTTACGGCCGTTGCTGTGTCCCAGGATCACGTAATCCCCTTTTGCGACCTTCTAACAAGCAAAGTCAATGGGGAAGCGAGATTCACTTAAGAACCGGGTTACTAATGTTCAACTGCAGTGATTGACTTAACAACTGTAGCAAGGAAGGTCATAAAATGGGGAAAAACTCACTTAACAAATGTCTCGCTTAACAACAGAAATTTTGGGCTCAGTTGAGATTGTAAATTAGAAGAATTCCACACAGCCCCCCCCCCCAAGTGTATTTCCAAGGCTGAAGATAGGGCAAGTGACAGAGAGGAAGCTTCTAGATGTGGAGAGGTTGAGCCAGTTCAAGCCAGGCTAAATCTTTTAATCACCCACCAATATCTCTCCAACTTGCTTTAACCTGCCCGTCAGAGGAGGGGAAACTCTCTCGTGCCTGAGGCCGGTTTAACACCTGCCTAATAACATCCCTCTTGGCACCAGGCGGGCTCTGAGAGATATTGTAATATTTTAATTTACTTCTTTTGAGTAAGAGCTTATCTTACATGTAAGATTAATAATAATATATCCTGCCTTTGCAAATAATCCAAGGTGGCAAATACCTAATACTCCTTCCTCCCACAAAACAACCCTTTGAGGTGGTCTGGCTGAGAGAGAGGCTCATGGGCTCATGGTCACCCAGCCGGCTTTCGTGGCTAAGGCAGCACTAGACCTCACCATCTCCTGCTTCCGTTCCTGCACCACAACGAACCTCTCTGCAATAGCTCAAATTTTCCTGCAGGTTTTCTCTCTTAGCACAGTAAAGTCATCCAGAAATCTATTGTTTCCTGATCCATCGCTTTACATGCTCTCAAATGTAATCCCCAAACTGATTTGTCTAGGCAGAACCCAACATTGTTAAAGATGCTTTGGGACTCAGACAAGGCCAGTTGGTAGACTTCATGTGATTTTGGAAATTAATCAGCCATGTTTGCAAACAGTACTTAGAATTCTTGATCTTCCACCTCCTCTGGTTGGTAAAAAAGAAGGCCAGAGGCAAAGGAGCTGACAGGTTCTCAGGGTGATTTTTTTTTATTCTGCCCTTTGTTCTTTTTCATATACAACTCAAAGTGGTGAATACAGGAGCGCTTCTTCCCCCTCCTGTTTTGCCCACAGAAACAGCCCTGTGAGCTGAGTTGAGCCAAGAGAGAATGGCTGGCTCAAAGTCGCCCAGCCGGCTCTCCTGCCTAAGGCAGGCCTCACAGTGGTTTCCAGGCTGGCACCTTCCCTAGGACACCGAACTGGTGTAGCGACCTCTTGTGTCCCTTTCTCCAATCCCCCCTCCCCCCCCCCCCCCCCCCCGTGGAGCAGAGCAAGAAAAGCAGGTTGGAGGCCAAACAGAACAAAGGGCCTCTCCGCTTATTCTTGTTGTTGCGTTTTGCCTAAAACTGGGCCCTACAGTAGTAGGTGTTTCCTTAGGTAGGGCAACCTGGGCTAAATGTGCTGGAACTGTCACACCCTTCCCACTTTGTATCAGGTTGCCAGCCTCTTTGGGACTCCCGGACAGCTGAGCTTGCTCTGGCTGAAGAGTCTCTTTGAGAATCTCGCTCATTGTCAAGAGCACAAGAACTCCCAAAGCAGATGGGTGGGCCCACAGCCAGAATTTCTCAGCTCTGTGCCACACACCTTGCAGTGTCAACTCCAATCTGGGCAGGGGGCATTGCCAACCTTTTCTGCAGTAATTGGGACCCCTGGATCTTCTTCTAATAAGTGAGTCGTGCCGTCTTTTTTCAACTCCGTGAAGGAGTCGGGAGGCCTGTTCATGCTCCTAAGCAAGTGTACCACCCAGTTTCACACTCTGCAATTGAAACTGACCCTGGGTCAGGCAAAGAGAAGGTTCCTCTCTTCCTCCTGTCCCTCTTGAGGCTCTGGAGAGCCACTGCTTGCTGTCAAAAGTGGCCTTCCATGCATCAGCAGCAAATGCCTTTCCAATCTGCCTGTGAGCTCAGCCTCCCACCCATGGATTACGGTGCCCAGGCTTCCTTTCCACCACCATCTCTAAGCTGGTACCTACTGTGAATTTTGTAAAGGATGTGCAGGCCCATCTCAGTGATTAGTAAAACAGGTGTGATCCTAACCCGCTTTGTGGAATAGATGCTGTGTTCTTCCTAGCAAAGAGAGAAAAGCTTAATTTTATCATTCTCTTCACACACACAGGGGAACAGTTTGCTGTGTTTCGAGGTTTGGATGGGAACGTGTATGTTCTGGACGCTTACTGCCCACACCTCGGGGCCAACCTCGCAATCGGTGGCCGTGTGGTGGGCAACTGCATCGAGTGCCCCTTCCATGGCTGGATGTTCTCTGGGAAGGATGGGAGCTGCACCAAGATCCCATATGCCAAAAAAGGTGAGGGGGTGGCCTTTTCTGTGTGGGGTGAGCGGTTTAGGCTAGACATGGCTGACTTAGCGTTTCCCTGGTGTTGCAACTGAGTTTTCCTGAACATCAGGGAGGGCCTTTGTCTGCTTTGGGGGGAGGGGGGCGTAGGCAGCGTACAGCTTCTCATTTTGACTTTCCAGGGGAGAAATTAGTTTGTATGCATCGATAATGGGAAATCTGACAGTCCATAAGCAGGCCCCCATCCCTGTCTTACTTTCTCGGGCTCTATATCTCCTAGTGCCTGAATTTGCAACAACCAAAGTTTGGCCATCGTGTGAAGTGAACAACATGATCCTGGTGTGGTATCATTGTGATAGCACAAGCCCAGCATGGCAAGTCAGCGAGCAGGAAGAGGCATCATCGCCCAACTGGGCCTTCCGGGCTGGAACCGAGCACTTTGTCAGCGTGCACATCGAGGTGGTTTGCACCGCTGAGGAAGGGCAGCGGTGGTGCCTTTTCAAACCGAACCTGGGGATTGGGGATTCAGGATAGGGAGAGTGGGAGAAGTGGCGGAATGCAGAGAGGCTCACACAGCAACTGGCTGGAAATAACAGCCGGCTGTAAATGGGCCTTCTCATTTGGTTCTCAGCTAGAATCGGCCATCGCTTTGCAGTCTGAGTGCCTCTTTTGGTACTTGGGGAAAGACGTGCTTCTGCTTTGTCTCTTGCCAAGCAGGGCCCAGGCTTGGTAGGCAAATGTTTCTTTTCCCTCCCGGGCAGGAAATTCCAGAGAATGCCGCCGATGCAGCCCACCTTTCCTTTCTCCATAGTCCCTCGGTCATGAGTGGAAATGACCTGCGCTTCACAAACAACCACCGCTGGGCATTTTTCAGGCACACCTGGGAGGTAAGGCACCCCTGCGGGAGTAGATTTGCCTGGGGCAGCTTCAGAAATGCCATCCGCCACGAGGTCAGCAGCCGGCAACTGGTCCCAATCTTGGTGGGCTGGTTCCCTCTGTGAAAGTCATGGAGGCTGCGCTGCAACTTAAACATCAACACAAGGGAGGATTGGGTAAAGCTGCGCCCGTTCCTATGTTTGGAAGGCCAGCGTTAAACACGTGCAAAAAGCCTTAGCTACTAAGCGAAGGAGGACAGGTGTGGAGACCCCCTCCTCTGTCCTATTGGAAGAGATTCGGTGGTGGGTAGCACTAGATCAGGCCTTCATTGTCAACAGAGGCCGCAGGAGTGAAAAAGCTCCTCTTGGCAACCCCCTCCGCCCCACCCAGACTGTTTGCAACACGTATGGGGAGGGGAAGTTTATTTTGGTTCCTTTTGGGTGCTCGAAGTGTCCATTTCCTCCTGCTGTAAACGTGCATAAGGCTGGTTAAAGAAAGGCGGGGGGGGGGCTGCCCATTTGGGCTGCTTCTAAGCAGGGCTGGCAGAGGCTTTGGCGCCAAAGCAGGAGCGTTTCCACTCAATGAAGTGCTTGTTTCCCAGGCAGAGTGGCAGCCCGAGCCAGAGCCCAATGGACACTGTTCGGTCATGATTCTGACCCACCACGTGCTGCTCTTTGGCAAGCCCATCACCTCCCTAGATCTGCATGTTTCAGCCAGGCAGGTACGAGCTCCTCTCCTTCCAGCGTTTGCCCCAAGTCAAGGACTGCATTGATTACTGTGATTCTGAGTTGGTTGCCTCTCGCCAAGAAAGTGAGAAAGGCAGCATAATAATCACTTTGGGTTTGTTGGGTTTTTTGCTTAATCTGTATCTGGTCTGAAATCAATTTGAAGGGAAAAAATGGACTCTTACTGGGATGGTTGTGTCTTCTGCTGTTCAGGTTGGTCCTGGGTTGGTCATCATGGCCCTCAGTCACGCTTTCCTGGGCAAGGGGATGATCATTCAGACTGTCACACCTCTAGAGCCGCTTCTTCAGCATGTGGTCCACCAGATCTACTACCCGCGCAACATACCATCCTTCCTTGCCAAGCTGGTGCTATGGGCTGAGGGGGTCCAGGTGAGAGGAGCTGCAGGCGGTGGTCCTGGGGGAAACTCAGTCCATGTGACCTCCTGGCCCCTCAGGGCTGCTGAGTGAGGGACAGGGGAGTGCAGCTGTTGGGGGGGGTGTGTGTGACAAGGATCTAGGTAATTCTGCACCCCAAAATAATTGGGCTTCCAACATCCCTTTGCAGAGCAGAGACTGAATGTATTTCATATTTCTACAGCTACATTTTAGAGCAGAAATGTGGATTTGAACCTTTTGCAAAACATGGGGGAGGGGCCCAAGTTGCTGCAGATTACCTTGTGACTGGGACACTGCCTGTTTATTAACTCAGTAAATAAAATAGATGAAATGGCTTAAAGCAGCAATCGCAAAATTACAGCCTTTGTGGTGAAAGATTCAAAGATTCACCCTCTCCTTGCCCAAGGGTTGAACAAAAACACAGCGGGTATCTTATATTTTATGGTTTTTCTTATATTGTTCCATGGATTAGGCAAAAGGTTTTGTTCTTTTGCTGCCTCCTGACCCTTTGTCTTCCTGTCTTCCTCCTGAACCAGTTTGAGCGGGACATGATGATCTGGAATAACAAGAGGTTCCTCTCCAAGCCGCTGTTGGTGAAGGAAGATGCCGCCATCCTGAGGCACCGGCGCTGGTTCTCCCAGTTCTACAGCCAGAACAGCTGGAAACCCAAAGCCCAGAAGGGCCAGCTGGATTGGTGATGACCCCGCTAGCCTTAGGGACCCCCAATACTACTTCTTCCACTTGCAGGGTCCATGAACTCTGCCGTGTGGGAGTGAAGGGTGACTCCTACTTTGGGGAGCCAAGGAGGTTCCTGGGCCAGAGGAGAGATGGGTGCGAATTTGGCTCAGATAATACTCTGGAATCAGAGGCGACGGCCTGCTGAACCATTTCGACTGGTGCCCCCCCCCCCCCAAGGACTCCAGCAGCTGTTTTTGATGATTCTCAAGAGGGCAATCGGCTCCTTTTTGCCTCTTGTCAACATTGCAAATATAAATTGTACCTTAGGCCTTGCTTTTTAGCCGCAAGCGCCTATGCTAGCTTAAGGATATTTTGCTCCACAACTGGAGTGGGGACTGCAAATGCAAGGCCAGCAGGAAGAACTGTCTGAAAAGAGATTTGGTGATGGGAGGCAGCATCCGGAAGTCAGCAAGGCAGGATTTTCTAAACTTTCGTCCTTTTTATGTGAATGGAAGAGGAACAAACTGGAAGAACTTTTCTTTCTCTGCCCATTTTTTATCATAACAAAATAGACAAAAATAAAATGCCCAGAAATAAAATTTCTCCTGCTCAGCAGAGCATAAATCAGTCAAGAGAGAAAGCAGTTCTGCAAATATGACTTTTAATTAAACCCCATTCAACTAAATGCTGAAGAAATACACATTGAGGGTGTGGAGAAAATCCGACTCTCTTTAAGCCAAAATCAGCATCACCAGCAGCGCAAGGAGAGATAAGCAGCGCTCCTCTCCCCCAGAGCCTCTGCATGCCAGTCGTTCCTTCCACCTGGTGAGGGGAGGCAGGCAGGAGTGTCCCTGAGGTACCCCCAGAACCAGCTGACCCATTTTCAGCATACAAGAAGACAGTTGTGTTTCCTTCCATTGGCTTTCTCCCTTCACTGCCGCCCCCTCCCCCCCCCACAACTCAGCTCTCCCTTTCTTCCTCTTCATTTTGCCGCTGCTCTTCCTCCTCCTCCTCCTCCACCTCATTTTGCTGCTGCGTTTCCTCCTCCTCTTCCTCCTCCATCCTCTCTCCCTCCTCATTTTCTTCTTCTCGATGCTTGTCAGGGTCTTCAGCATCTTCCTTCTTCTCTCTGTCTTTTTTCTTGAGCTCTGATGTTCCCCTTTTGCCCTTCTGCTCATTCCTGTAAACTAGAAGACCAACCAAAACACACAGCGTTAAAAACCGTTGTATGCCAAAGCAGGAGATGGATGGGTGCTGTGTTGGAGCACTTAAGCTTTAGTTAAAGAAGCAAATGAAGGGAAGGGAGGAGAGTCAGGTGGAGAGTGCTGAAGGCCGAAGAGGGCCACAGATGAAAAGGCAACCAGGCGCACTTGCCTTCTAAGGATTCCCTTAGCGGTCCCACAAATCGCTGGAATTCCATTTCTTCCATAGCAGAAATAACATCTCCGGCATTCAGCGTCTTCCTCTTCCCCTTCCTTGCGAAGTTGTTGGCGCTAATTTAAAAAGACAAAAGCAGATAAACATCCCCCGTTATACGTGAAAGTTTTCCACCTGTTTTGGTAAACTAGATGAAGGGAAATCGGACAAGCCGAACTAGGCGGTTCCCACGCTTTCAGACCCAGCTGGAAATCTCCATTGCACAGAATTAACAGACGATCGAAGAAGCGGTCCTCGCAAACCAAAGTGCTTCCAGCAAGTCTCCTTACAGGAGCGCCTCCCTCTTCACTGTGCGGCAAACGCGCGACGGCTCCCCGGGAAGGAGGAGGAGGAGGAGGCGGCGGCACCCGACGAAGGGGGGTCCCGAAGGGCCACGGGGCTTCGTCCGCCCGCCCTGCCCTGCCCTGCCCGGCCGGCCCGAGGCCTCGGACTCACCACGAGGTGGCGTACAGCACGAAGACGCTGGCGGCGCGGGAGATGGCGCTGCGCGCTTCTTTGGAGACGTTCACGCCGTCCGGGAGCTGAGCGGCGGGAGCGGGGAGGAAACCGGGCCGGGTGAAAGGCCGGCCAGCCCCGCCAGGCAGAGGCGCGCCGGCCTCCCCCCTCCCCCTCCCCGGGCCCCCCTCACTCACCGCCTCCTTGATGATCCGCGTGACGACCGCGTTGGGCAGGTTCAGGTCCTCCGGCCGCTCAGCCATCCTGCGCGCCTGGAGGGAGCGAGGGCGGCCGGTGAAAATTGCGGCCTCTCCCCGTTTCCCCTCGGCACCCGCCCCGCACCCCCCCTCTCCCCGGGCAGCCCTCCGCGGGCCAGGATCGGGGGGGGGCATCTGAAGCGGAAGGCCGAGCGGCCCGCCTCCCCCCCGGCCCGGCCCGGCCCGCCGCTCACCGCCGGGGAGCTCGAAAGTCGCGCGGAGCCAGAGCGGTGGCCGGCGCCCCCTCGCCCAGCATGCACCGCGCTCGGAGGGAGGGAGGAACCATTTGCGGGGCTGGGTTGGCTTGCCCTCCCCCCCCCACAATGGCTCTGCAGTAGGAAAGGAACCGGACGGGCGAGACGCCATTTGCGGGGCCATCGAAGCGCAAGGCGTCGCTCTCTCTCTCTCTTTCTCTCTCTCTCTCTGAGCCCTCTTTCCGGCGCAGTGCACCCTGGGAAATGAAAGCAGCTTCGCGTTGCCTAACGACGGCGCCTAGTTTACCGTAAGCAGGTGAGCCGGCAGGTGGGCTGGCGTCGCGGGAAGGGTCCCCACGCCTGCCTTTTGGGCAGAGGGTCGGCTCGGAGGGCCTAGGCCTCGAACTCCCTTATTTTCTTCAGTCGCGTCCCGACCTCGGAGACGGCCCGAGCACGTCCCTGAGGGTTTCTTGGCCAGGTTTTTCGGAATTGGTTGCCCTTGCCGCCTTCCTGGGGCTGAGGGAGTGACTGGGCCAAGATTCCCAGGCTGGTTTTGTCCCGGAGGCGAAAGGATAACTCAGCCTTCCCGGTTTGTAGCCTGGTCCTCCACTTGGACCATGGCCACAACAATAATAATTGTGATAATTATCACTAAGAAGGAGGCTTTTTCCAAGAAGCTAAAGGGGAAGCGTGTCCCCCCCCCATGTGTGCTTAGACAACATGTGCAATAATTTAGGTCAGGATCTAAAGTTACCGCGGCTCTTCATATCCTGGTGCTGCCTTTCCTATCACAGTTTAAAAGGCACCCGCTACAAGGGTCATCCAAGAGGTCCGATCAAAATAAAGATAAGATACCTTTTATTGTCATTTTTTTACTGTGAGCACAATGGCACACATCAAAAATGAAATTTAGTTGCCTGCTCTCAAAGTGAAAACCCTTTTTTGCTGCCTGTGCAGTAACCTTGCAGAGAGAGATGCCAGCTGAGCATCTTCAAAGCACAAAATGAACTTTGTGAGCAGTCAGTCAACACTGGATTATATTTGGAAGGGAAGAGCAACTGTGGTGGTTTTCAGAAAGATATTGGAATTTCTGAACACTAATCTCATAATCTGCCACTTCGCAGCAGTTGTTTCACTTTGTTTTGTCCTTCTTTGCACCACATTGCAGAAGGTTGCTGACAGCAATGGGGACAATCAATATAGGTGGTCAATGGGATGAAACCATTTGCAATATGATCGCTTGTCAGCATCCACCCTGCTGGGAGTCTATGCGGAGAATTGAAAGTGGACATCCTCACATTTTGCTGAAGAACATAATCATTCCTGGAAAAGATTCCCCAGCATTTGAAGGTAAGAAGCGCTCTGTAGAAATCAGGTGCCAGGCCACTAAAGTTGACTGATAGACATTTGGTTCCATTCCTGGCCATGGAAGAAGAAAGAGCTATATAAAAGGTAAGCATAAATATACCTGTGGGTGATGTGGCTGGCATTTTTTCCACAGGTCTGGCATTTCTCTTTAGGCAAATTTGTTTGACATGAGGTTTTGAGGAACATAACCCTAACATAAACGAAAAGTTTGTACAAAAATATGTTGCAGCGCATGCTTTATCATGTGTCCAACCTACTAGAAATTTGCTGATCCAGCTGTCAGACCATTGTTGCTCTCCTAAATCTAGCTCTGGCCATAGTAGCGCACTAGGTTTCATAGCTAGTGTTGACTAAAAACCATTCCAAAAAAGCTTAATTGGAACAAGCAGGATGTTAACAGTTTGAAATACAGATTGACCGCTGCCCAAAAGAAAATTAATATTTTCATTTGGGCAGTGGTCAATCTGTATTTCAAACATTTTGGGGAGATTTTCTTAAGATGGATACTCTTAATGTAAGGTGTTCCTATCATCATCTTTTGATATATTAAATAATATACTTTAAGATATGTGAATGGAAAAGATTAAGAATGAAATGGAAATCTCATTTCTCTTTATTGTTATATCATTAAGCAAATGTGGCATTGGATTCATTGTTGTTATGCTGACAGTAGATCAGCCAATGCCATGAAAGAAAACCCCCACTGTGTTTGGTTTTTTTTTTTTTTCAAAGTCTTCCTAGCTTTCTCCTTGTTTCAGGCAAACTGCCAACCCTGAAGATTGTTGACCTTCCCCTCCATTATCCCCAGAGAGAAAGGGTTAAATGTGTTGGAAGTTTTGGTTCCAGCTCCAAGACAATTTCCAGTAGCAAAGAAGCTAAAAATTGCTTTTCAAATTCTACTCTGAATGATGGTTGGATACCCCCCATTTCGGTATTGAGGTCAGCAAGTTTGGTTTTCCTCTACATGTGTTTCTGGGATGATAGGCATAGAGCAGCATTATGTAAGAAAGCTACCACCACCTCCCTCTCCCTCTCCCCCCCCCCAGCCTATGTGAGATTTTCTTTCACAGCACCCATCTAGTCAATAGAACAGGACAGCTGTTTCTGCACACATCTGCAACTACGGAGAAACAAGGCAGAATTCTTGTGCAGGCTCCGTGCCTTTTGCATGGCTTCCATTGTGTGTCTCCTTCGTGTGCATTTCAGTTCAGAAAGGAATCCTTTCCCAGGTCTGAACTCCAGAATGGCATCTCAGACTCTCCACTTCCCACCAATAAGTTTCACCTGCTTGAGGCAGCCTGAGAAGGTGAGTGAATTCAATGGATTGTTTGGAAGGGGGGAAGCAAGGGGAGGGATATGCTTTCTTGGGCCTTGAAGAAGGCTCCACCCAGACCATACTCAGTGCCCAACTGCTTCAAGTTTCTTGCATCCTGTGTTCAGTATTGCAGCTAAATGCTCTATGTCCTGCAATGAAATTAGAGGAAACCTTGCCAATTGTGGCCCCTCAGGGAGTCCTGTTCATTAAGGTGAGGGTTGATAGCAACAGCACCATCCCATATAGCCCTCTCTGGGTGGTTGACAGAGTCAGCCTATCACCCCCAACCATCTGGGTCCTCGGAAGAATGGAAGGCTGGTTCAGCCTCGAGCCCGTCAGGGTCAAACTCCAGGCTGTGGGCAGAGTTTGCCTGCAATGCTGCGTTCTGATGCATATTTTGCCCTTCTGCGCTGCTGGAACTGCCAGAACTGCCATTTTAAATTGGCATAGTCATGTGATGATGGACCTTATGATAGCATCATTTAGAAGTGGAGTTGCGAGTGCCAGTTATTGTAATTGAGCAAGGACTACTTGTAGTAAATAAATATTTTCCTCATGTGTCTATAGCGGTTTGTAAAGAAGAGCTTATTATCTCGGAAATCTTCTAAATCATTAATGAAACAATGTAGACAAGTAGCAAAACCTTATTTTCACTGTTGATTAACAGTCTCTTGGGGCACTCAGCTAACCAGTTAGCCTAGAGAGCAACCAAAGGCAGAATCCTGTGTGCCTTCCGGAACTACAGCTGATCTTGGAACTGTTAACCCTTGAACAATCAAGCATTTGTTCCTGTTGGGATCCTCGGCTCTTCTTTTGCCAAGCAGTAAAGTGTTGTTCCTTTTCCCATGGCCGTGGTAGATGCAGGTGACCGATCTCGCTGAGTTTGTGGTGCACAGACTGGGTTCCCAGCCAGCCTGTGGAAACACGATTGTCCGGTGGGTTCCAGACATGCGACCCAGATTCCTGCAGTCTGAAAACGGGAGAGTGTAAGTGATGTCATAAATATAACTTAGCCGTCTTGCATTGGGGATTGGGTGTGAACAGTGGCTGCGCTCTGCAGGACCTCCCTCTGCTCGCTCATCTTGGCCGCTGCATATCTGGTTCATTCTGTTCTTGCCTTGCAAAACATTTGGTAATAATTCCAAAGTATTCTTACGGGAAGGAGAGGTGCTTGCTAGCGAAGAGCCCAGCTTTAATTAAGGCAGCCTAGTAATTTGTCTGCTGCTCTTTCCTTCCTTAGAGAGAATTAGGAGGCAGCAGAGGTGGTTTTGTATTCAGTATTGCAATAGTTCTCTTTTAAACTGGTGTTGAATCACTGTATAAGAAGTCAACTGGGCCTTTTTTTCTTTTTTAGAAAGGCGCCCCCAGAAAGAGTATGTGTGAAGGACCTTGCTTTGGAAAGCCTCCTCTCCCTCCAGGATCATCTGGGGACTGTGAGTGGCCCCTAGAGGGGGGCTGCTTTTTGTTGGCTTGATTGACTGCTCCTCCCGCATTATTTTACCCCTGGCCTGAAGGAGAGAAATCTAGCAGGGGGAGGCATTCCTGGCATTCCTGGGCTGAAGCCTGGAAGCTTTTGGGGGCTGCTGGTAAAGGCGGAGGAGATACAGGGAAGAGATCCTCCTTCCAGAAATGTCTTGACAAGGGAGATTAGCAAACACGGAGTAGAATGGCAGAGCTGAAAGAGAATACGCAGCCTGGCCCTTCAGGGTGCCTCTTCTGTGGCGTCCCTCTCAGCCGATTCCTGGATCCCAGGAGAGGCAAGCGCAGAGCTCTGGGTGGGATTCAGGTGTGTTTGGGGTACTTTTTTTTTTTTTTTGCTTTCTGATTTGAATGGTCTCTTTTTGCAGAAAAGAAAAAAGTCAAATACAGTTCCTACAGGGGGTCAGCCTTACTTTCGTCATTTAAGGCGGAATCAAAAGTCTAACAATAAATCAAGGTCAGTTTTAAAAAGCAACCTTTATTTTTTTAAAAAAATTTATTTAATACCAGTAGAAAACGTTTGGTGTTGTGATTCAGGTGCTGGCACGAAACCAGGAGACAGGGAGTTCTAGTCCCTCCTTGGGCATGAAAGCCGGCTGGGTGGCCAGTCACTCTCTTAATTAATTACTGTTATATTAAACATTACTACAATTCATTTTTAAACAACAAATTAAACTATTATCATGTGAAATCAGGGTACAGTTTTTCCGTTATGCTGATAACCAGTGTAGTAATACTTGAACGAAAATGATATTGAAAATAAGAGTCATACCTACCTGAATAGGAAAAAATCATATATGAACTGGATAAAAAACTGAGTATAAAAAAGAAAAACAGAGAAAGCGTTCCCTTTTAAAGGTTTAACTTAAACATTTTAAAATGCTATTTCCACGGGACTCCCCAAGTGCTAATCCTCTTACCCAACAAGAATTCTAGCTGGGTTGAGGAAGTGGCCTAAAACGGTATCTGTTGAAGAAGGTGGGCTGCACCCTTTCCACCTTGCTCCAAGCTCTAAGAAAAAGACAGGTGCATCTTGGGTGCAAGGAGGAAAAAATGGCCTCACTTCTGTTAACTGGGTTTTTCTGGGAACATTTGGGAATGAGGGGAGCTGAACTTACGCTCTGCCGTAGTTCTGTAGGCCATCAAAGAAATGCAGATGACAGCCTCCTCAGGACAAGGCAACACCCGGTGCCCACTCTGCGTCTGTTGCTACAAAATGAGGAAGGTGTGACTCGGGAGCGCAAAAGAGGAAAGGCACTGCTGGAGACCAAGGAGACATTGGCAGCCCCCTTTATTGTGCAGAAGGCGCCCAGTTTTGACCCACCTGAAGCTAAGGTAAGCAAGACCCAGCGGTGCGCTGGCAATCGTATGTTTTCACTGCCTGGCCCGAATCTGATTTTTAAACGCTCACATACTGAGCCTGGGAGAGGAACCGGGTCTTTCATGGTGCTTTGGGGGCCTCTTGCTGGGTGTGATCAGTGACTGCCTTTGCTCTCTTAGTTTGCCCACTTGTGGCTCTGCCTCGATCGTGTACTTGCTTTGTTTGGGGGCTGGAGTCCAGTGAAATCCTGGAGAGAGAGAAGGCAAGCCCTTCTGACTGGTTCTCCTGGATTGTTTCCTGCTGCAGTCTTTCCCTCCTTCCCTTTCCACCCCCTCTCTTCTAGATCCCCGTGAAAGACAAAGACTCTGGAAGAAGACTAGGCCGCCGGCCCACGACCATCTCAGGAGGTTTGCCTGTTTCCATTCTGGCCTTAGGGCTACCTGAATGTAACTAGGACTGATTTGCCTCTTCTGACCGGCCACAGGCTCGCTGGTCCTGAGGCGCCTGATGGTGGAGCAGCTGGGGGATGCTGGTAACCCTCAAGACGAGAAAGGAGGGGGCCTCCTTGAGCACAGCCAGATGCCCCCAGAACCTGTAAGTGCTGCTGACCCTCCAGTGCAGAGTCACCAATTTCCCCCTCTCCACCCCTCGCCTGCCCAGGTGGGGCTCCCGCATCCTTGACTGAGAGGGAGAAGGAAGGCCTAGGCAGAGGCTGAGTGGAGGGAGAAGCCGGCCGGGCTCTGGGGCTTTGGGAAATGCTGGGAACAGCAAGAATTGGTTGCCTGAAGCCCCACGGACAGGCGGTGGGGCCTGCCATGGAGACTAGCGGTGGCCTCTTCGGGGGTGGCTGATTGTGCAGGATTGAATCCCACAGTCTCGGGAGGAAAGTGCTGCAATGAAGGGAAGCAGAGGGCACTCCGGAAGGAATCCCTCCCCCTTCCATTATCTCAGCACGGGCGGGCGTGTTTCCTCTGGAGGTAGCCAGTCCTGGCCCAGGGGGACCTAGGGGGTCTTTTCTCCCTCTCCCGCTCTCCGCAGGAGACTCAGGTCGTTTAACTGTTGAGCTGTTTCTTTCTTGATTCTTTTATTCTTTTCTGTTGTTGCTTTTGGTGGGCCCCAAAAATTTTAGGAGTGATTTTGGGAAAATACCCTGTTTAATTTTGTGCGTGTTTTTCCTTCAGGCTGCAGGGAATTGCAAGCTGCAGACGTCTCCAAGAATTTTTGCTAAGAGAAAATCTTGCGTGAAATTTATGGAATATAAGAGCAATACGGCAAGGCTGGGCATGGAGGGTGAGTGTGGTGGACTTTTATTCCAGGGGTCTGCCTTATGGTGTAGTTGAAGCCTAAGGAGCCAAGGCGATGGGAAGAGTCAGCATTTACTTTTCTGTCAGCTCCCCTTTGCTCACCCCCAGCAGAAGCCCCCATGCTGCTCTCCTTGCGTGTCCCCATCTCCCCCCCCCCCCGCCTTGAGCCAGCAAGCGCTCCCACCAGCTTATTGGTGGGAGAGTCCCACATGCTGGCATGTTTCCTCCTCCTCCTCCTCCTCCTCCTGCTCCTGGACAAGGTAAAGAACGCTGGGGGTAAGAGGGCTGCGGGGCTGATCTTGAGAGTAGCCCGAAAGGAGTGGCGGAATGGTTGCAGGGGGTTGTGTTCTTCCCTTCGATTCAGGGGGAGAAGGGGAAGCCTTGGAGGCTGCAGGAGGAGGACGACCTCCTACTCTTCTCTGCTTCCCATGGAACAGCAGCAGAGCCAAATAACGCAACGTTTCTCTGTTTGGTGTATGAAGACGATCAGGAGAAAAGGCCGTTGCTGGGAAGGGCCTTCGCTTGGCCTTTTCCATTTGACTTGGTGAAAAGATGGCTCTGGAGCTGGCATGTTTTATGTACTAAGTAACCGCAGTAAAAATGGCCTGATAGCTCCTAAAGGGACAAAATAAATGCCCCAAATGGTGGCCAGGTGCAGAAGAAAGGGAGCCGGTGATCCCAAAGGTTTAAAAAGGGCACAGTAAGCCTTTTAACCAGCATCCAGCGTACAACCAAAGATCACGTTGCAAGCAGGGCTGGAGCCCGTTGGTGTGGCTTCGCAGATAAATTCCCCGTCTCCCTGGAGGCTCGGTGCAATGCAGCGAGTGCCTCGGCTTTTCTGTCCTCGTCTCGCTCCTTCTCGGGGGCCCTGAGATACGCAGGGACCGTCCTTGTTTCAAGCGTGCCTGTCGTGACAAGGCAGCCGGGCTAGCGGCCCTTCTCTGCCTTGAGTGGTTGGGCTTTGCACCAGAGCTTTGCAGTGAGTTCTGGCCTGCAGATGCTTCCTCTTCTTCTTCTTCTTCAGGGAAGGTCTTACGTGACCATAGACTCTCAGAGGTAACTTGGCTAGCTTGGCTTCTTTATTGCAGACAAGAAGGAAGTCATACACAGCCAGTAGAGCAAAGGAGCAAAATCTTTATTTCTTTTCCTCTCGCCTCTCTGAAGGTGGGAGTCATGGGGTGCCTTTTGTAAAACTTCTCTTTCCTGACGTTGCCCTGTTTTGGCTTGGTTTTACTCAGGCTGCGATCCCTTTGCTTCCTGCCTGCCGAAAGCCGAGTTCAGGTACAGGCAATATTGCAAGCATCTGGCAAGTCGGAAGGAGGCCAGGCTGCCGCCGGCTGAGAGGGATGCTTCAGACATCAGCAGGGAGGCTTGGCCCGAAGAAGACTCTCGGGGAGCCTCCGAGACCTTAGCTCCACTGCGGCCCCCGGGCCCCCCTCCCCCCTCCCCCCTGCTCTTTGAGAACAGCCCCAATTCCCCTCCGGGCTTCTCTTGAATCCAGAAGGGGTGGGGAGGGAGGCGGGGACTGGGTAATCTGTAGCCAACTCCAGGGAGGGTTCCTGCTATTTTAAAAAGGGGGAGCACACTCTTGAGGTTACGACCATTAAAATTCCTGCTTCCCCACTTTGTGCCTCTCTGAGCCTTGTCTCCAAAGAACAGCTCTTCCTAATGACCCAAAGGCGGGACACTGGACGGCCGGAAGGACAACGTGGGCTGCAAGTGGGCATATGCAGCGCATGGATTCGGACGCACTGGAAGACAGCTCGGTGCTGTGCTTTGAAACGGAAGGTAGTTCAAAGGCCACAGGCTTCCTGTTTGCTAGAGGACGGCTAAAGGAGCAGACGGGGATGTGAAAAGGAAGAGGGCTCGGCCATTTTGTGGATACACGCTCTCCTGGGAGGCTGGATTCCCTCTCCACACCCGTCTTCCTGGGCAACGGTCCTCCCAGAGAAGCCAGAGGCTGCCTCAGAAGCGAGTCTGTGGCAGATACAAACGCTTTGTCTGCCTTCCCAACATTGCCTCCGAGTCACACAAAAGCCCCGGAAGAAAAGCAGTGCTCCTCGGCTGCGAAAATGAGCAGAACCAGGTCGCGTCCAGGCTCCAGGGGGCCTTCCAAAGGCAGCAGAGATGGCCACCGTGCATTCCTTTCCCCTTCCGTGAGCAGTGAGGTTCTTTTGCGAGGAAGATGAAAGGGTTTTTTTAAAAAAATAATTAGTTTACTTTGAAATGAATAGATCTTGGAAATTAATATTCAGAGCTCCCTGAGCTTCAGATTCATGAACTAAATAATTTAGTGTCCCTTATAAATAGGAGCACCCCTAATAAATAGGACTTCTTGGGAGAAAATAGAGCCCAGTGATTCTGCCCCACGCCCTCCCCCCCCCCCCAAAGGCGTTGGCCTTGCGTGCAAAAGGCAGCCTCCTGGCTGGTGCCTGAGCTTCTCCTCAACAGCCTTCAAATAACAAAGCCCTGCTTCTCCTCAATCCTCTGCTTTGGGTTACCTGTTGTAAATAAAACTCAGGTTGGTTCTTTCTTAATTTTCCTTCTTGGTTCATTGTGGTTCAGAGGTCTAGATAATTTTAGACAATGTTTTTTTGTCAGTGAGTACATCTAAAGAAACCCCCGACTCTTGCTATGTGGAGACAAGATCCCCCGTGTTTCTGGCTTCGATCGTCCCCCTGGATGAAACAATGGCTATTCTGCCCCAAAGGCGGCGTTTGTGGCCTCGCCAGGGAGATCTTGCGCGGAGAAGGCGGTGAGGGTGAGAGACTGACAGTCCAGAATTGTCTACCCAGGAGAAGTAATTAACCACAGCAGAGTGGATTTCTGTTGCTACACTGGCTCTTTGGGGCAAAGTTTGTTGTTGCTTGTGGAGTTCTCTTGGCAACCCTCTACTTTGAAGGAAAAGAGAGTGTGGCTCCTCCCTCTGGAGGTTAACCTTCCTTGTGTTCTTCCCCCCTGCCCAGCTTTCCTCCACAGCAGCTCCACTGGGCCTCCATAAGCAGTTTTCTCCAGACCTCCCTGAAGGTGGGTGCTCGGCTGTTCCTTTATACAATCTTTGCCTTGTTTTCAAGTTACATTCTGGGGAGAAGGACCAGGTCAGCACTGAAATCAATTTGCTTACTTGTCTTTTTAAAAATGGGGCCAAGAAAAGTTGTAAAGATCCAATTCATGTTTTTATATGGTAACATGGTTAATTACATCTATGAAATAGCCAAGTTTAGTTTTCCCCAACATTTTAAGTAAAATGTGCACAATTTCTCCCAAGTCTTTGGGCACAAAGTTGTCAGGAGAGCCCCGTCTTTTCCTCTTTTCCTTTACAGTCCCAGCTTGTTGCGTGGTTCTCCTGGGACATCTTCAGAAAAAGAAGGAAGAACAGTTTGGGAATATTTAAATCTCTCTCTAGGTGTTATTCTGCAGTGTGAACAACCCACGTGATACTGGGAAATGAAAAGAATTCCAGGCTGTTCATTTAGGAGATACATAAGATCCAGGGTAGGATTTGGGCAAAGATGTTCCATTTATCAGGATTGAGCTTTAACAACTGGTGCATTTTTTTCTTTGTGGGCTGTAACAATTTGAATAAATAATTGTCTGCAGCTCTGGATTCGCTCTCTTGCACTAGATTGATAGTGCTGGGCTTTCTGGTGAGAAAGTCAGAAGTTCTGTGCGTAGGGGTGCTGTCTCTCGCCCCAGGCAGGAGAAGACTGAACAAAATACAGGCCAGGGATGGGACAGGGAGGGAGTTTGGTGCTTCAGTGTGTGTCTCTTGACTCTTCAGAAGCTTGGTTTATTCACGCTCACTGAAAGCATCTGATATTCTAGAACAGTGAGGTTGTTCAGACCCTTGATGCAGCTTCCTCTTGTGGCTTCTGAATGTGAACAGTATTTCTTCTATAAAACTATGCCGGAATGGCACTTCACAATAAATCTAGCTTTCTGTTCATCTCCAGTGCTGCTGGCAGCATTGTTCAAGTTAGACAGAGGAAAGCTTCTCCAGCCGTGTGCCAAAGCAGCAATGGCCACAGCTTCAGTGGATTTTGAAAGGGACGAGGCCTGTGAGCTGAGTGAGGGAGCCTGAGCACCTCCCCCCCCCCCCGCCCCCGTGGTGTTCAGAGACCACATCTGGATATGCCACTTCCTGAATTTTGGGGCAGCCGTACCTCGGGGGGCTCCCAGAGATGGTAAGGGGGCAGGCTTTGTTCCAGTGGAAATACGGCTGGGAAAAATGCCTTGCCGCCAAATTTTTGTAGAGGATAAGTTACTCATTAAATTACTGTAAGCTCTTTTGCAAGATAAGCCTTGTGGCAACTGATTAACTTTGGCAGAGCCAGAGGGAAGGTTTGGTTCTGTATCCTTTTGAACGGAGAGTCTTTCAAATGGAGCGGCCTCACTTTGGTCGTGCTTTTTGTGGGGTATGGTTGGAAAGGGTTTCCCTCTCACTTTATTTACCTAACATTTATTTATATTAGCTGCCCATCTCAGCCTATGACTCCGAGCAGCAAAAAGCAATTCAAAGCAATATAAAAATGTGTTTTAAAAATAGTAGTGAATCGTCCGAATCAGTTGCCGCAGTCATACTTTTCCCATGCCCGAGGAATTGCTGCACCCTGGCCTTTGAAGTACAGGATTAGGCCAGCGTGAATTTTTCCATCTGAATCAACTTCAAACCATTTTGCCTCTTCATTAGAAGTGCTGTAAGTTCAAAAGGGGCTGGAGTGACATTCCTCCTTGGACCCGACCCCAGTCTGGGATAGACCCAGGGCTTGATAGGCACCCATCTGCTTCCAGCTAGCAGATTTTTGGGGATTTCCTTTTTGTTGCAGGCATGGAATTCGGGGTCAGTGTCAAAGGCTGTGCTCCTGGGCGATTTCTGAGTGGGAACCCATCCCCAGTACAGACTTCTCCAAAAAAGCTGCCGGCATTCTTCCTAAAACGACGCAGGAAGATCAGCCAGACTTGTGTTAAAAACAGGGGTAAGTGCAGAGATGCTACATTAAGCATTCTCTCTTGGTCAAGGAAAGTAAGGTAGCTCTCTGAATAAGTCATCTCCAGATGCAGAGACACGAGGAGGGGAGGCAGTGCTAGCATAGAGGGAAAAACAATCTGACGTCAAATCTTCTGAGTCAGGCTGAGCTTCTGCATGTTTTGAATTACTAGTTTTAGCTTTAGGGTTTAGCAAACAGGCCTTAAGGTCGGATTATGTGCCAAGCCTAAGCTTACTTCTACTGTATGCAGTACATGGATGCGTGGAGGCAAATGTCCCTCTGCGGCATCCAGGCGGAGAAAGATCTGCAGAAGGGCACTTTCCAGCCTGGGGGGAGAGCAGCCAGTCAGCCCGGCCAGGAGAGCCTCGTGAGTGAAGTTGTTCAGGGAGGGTAGCTGGAGACAACCAGGCGTGTTGGGTCTGAGCCAAGGAACGTCGTTGTTGTCGTCAGGTGCAGATCTACTTTTCAAATCCACCAATGGGCTTCCAGGGCTTTAGTCCTATTCAAATAGTGGCGGTTAGAGGGCCAGGCCAGCAGCCTGGAGGAAAAACTGTTGTTGGAAGCTGCCTCTGTTGGGCTCTGGTCTCCCTGCCAGTTAAGTTGCTGAGGGAACCATGGAGCCCAGGCATTCCCACCGAGGCTCTCTCTGTGCCAATCGTTGGCAGTTTCCTTGCTGTCTGGCAACATTTGGTGAGTCTCCAAGGGGTGAGGTGGGCGAGGCAGTGGTTGTGATTTAGCCCCTGTTTCGTGGTGCAGTATTGCAAGAGCACAAGAAAGCATTTCTATCTGTCCCTCGAAATTGTGTCCTTCTCTCCCTCCACTCCTGGAGGTGGAGGCATGGGGTTCTTCTTCGCGCCTTCCTCATGTGCAACAGAGCCACAAGCAGTCGTGGCAGTTCGCCCTGCCCTCGTTAGCCTTTCAGAAAACCCTGATAATCTGGTTCTCCCAGCAACCCGGTGGAGATCCAGTTTGAAGGACCAATCTTGCTTACCGTTGGTTCTGTCGCAACTTTGAATGGTTGCTGAACAAGTGTTTGCTAAGTTAGCTAAGCTAAGTTTGCTATCAGCTGCTTAGGGCCACAAGTTGGCGGGAACAACCAAAGACGTTTAAAGTAAATAAGCGAGAGGAGAGTGTCACGGGGGAGAGGAAGAGACCCAGCTCCATTTCACAGATGGAGGAGGGAAATATTGAGAGAGACTGTGCCAAAGTGGGTCACCAAGCAACTCTGCGATTGCCTTTCTTGTCTGCTCCAGGACAGCTGAAGCTCTCCATCCATGTGCGGGGCAGACGGCTTAAACTTTACGGTAAGTCAATGGGGTGAGTGTTTTGGACAGAAGTAATAAACCTTTGCCTGAGAGAGGCCCTTAGATATGACATCGACTACCCACAGTCTGCTGGGGATTTGTGGGTAGGGGGCAGTCTGGCCCACCATTATGCTTCTGATTTGGCCAAAGGCCAGACAGGGCCTTGAGCTGCCCTTTATTAGTCAGAAGCCGGCGGTGCACCTTCCAAGGCTCTGTGGTGCTTCAGATACCATCTCTACATGGCAGCAGAGGCCGTCACGTCCCAAGTCGGAAAAACAGGGCTGCCGATGCTTCTTTCCTGTGGAAGATGCCTAAGAAGAAACGTTTAATGCCCTGGCAGAAGGACAGGACTTCCAGCTTTCCTAGAAAATACAAGGTTTGGGGGAAGCCACCTTGCCTCGTTACCCATTTTCTTCTTCCACCCTGGTGGCTATAAGGGCAGCCGAGACCAGATTCTGTAATCCAGAATGGTAGATGCAGACTTAAACATTGTGCATTTGGGAAGTATAGTGGGATACACTAAGCGCCTGGTTTTTGCCCAAGCTCATGTCAATTGTTTTCATATATTGGGCAGTGAGAGTTGCATTAGGATGCCGGAACTGAACGGGTGAGACAGGCAGAAAGTACTAATACGGAAGAGGTGTGTGTTACGACCACTGTGACTTTTGAGAAGTTTCCTGTCGCGGTCAGTAAATAGAATTCTTTCCATTCATTCCTGTTAAAATGCAATTTCTTCTTTTCTTTCTCCACCCACTCAGTCGTGGAAGCCAAAGGCCTAATGGGAAAACAGTATCGGATGTGTGACTCCTTTGTCAAGGTATGCCCGTTGTCATCTAGGAAGAGGACTGTGTTGGGGAGGGGGGGTCACTTAGGAGGAGGAGTCAAGTGTCATTAATGTTCTCCACTGACTTTGCTTGTGGGTGGGTCGCAAATGGCGACCTCGTGACCCAGGCAACGATCACATGATCATGGGGGTGGGTGTGACAGCTGGAACTGCAGGTCCCAAGTGCTACACTTTTGGTGCCATCACAACTTTGAACCAATGCTGAACGAGTGGTCAGTAAGTGAGGACTACCTGTAATGACTTTCTGTGCCTCCTATGGGCACCTTTTATGCTTGAATCCACAGGATCACCCACCCACTTGATGCAACTCTGTTGGTTTGGGCAGGGTGGGTGATCTGTCCAAAAGAGGACTGACAGCATTTTTTTTCTTCCTCTCCTCACAAAGGTGTCCATTGTGCCAGATACATCACGGAAATGCAGGCAAAAATCCAAGACTGTTCTGGGCAGTAAAAACCCCATCTTTCACGAGCAATTTATCTTGTGAGTCCGGGGTGGGCTATCGGCTGCTGCCTCCCAAGCCCCACAGCTTTGGGCCCTCCGCAGGGAAGTCGTCGGAGCATCTCCCAGGCGGGTGCTTGTAGCAGCTCCAGGCTTCCTCTCCGTGGAGCATCTTCATTGGGTTGCTTCAGAAGAGAACGCCCTTTCCTTCCTTCTCCCCGTGGGGGTGGAATCGAGGGAGGGGAAGGTCTTCCCTGCAGCTGGAGCAAGGGGGTTCTTCAGTAGCCAGAGTGCTGAGGCGGGCGTTTAATCCGCCGGGGCAGCGTTGCGGATGAGCAGATGTGCCATCCCCTTTTTGAGAGCGAATGGCAACTCCTGCACCTGGCCTCCGTTGAAAGAGGCCTCCCTCGGAGGTACCTGTGCAGGTGCAAGGCTGCCTGAAGGCACAGGGTCTCAGGGTTTCTGCCAGTGGCAAGAGAGTGCGAGGCAGCCCCGGCCGAGCCCTCAGTCACCACCAGGCTCACTTTCTCTCTGCCGCATTCCAGCTGCTTGCAGGAGGAAGATGAGCAAAAGCGCCTCCTTGTCACCGTCTGGGACCGACCACCGGATTCTTCTAGGTAAAGAGAGCAGAGCAGTCGAGGAGATGACACGGTCGCAGCCTGCTTTCAGACGTGCAGCTTGGCCAGGGCTGAGTGGCCTTTGCCCTCCAGGGCCCAGGATGAGTGTCAGTAAGGGTTAGGGTGAGAGGGCAGAGCAGGGCAGGAGCAAGGTGACGGGGAGAGGGGCTCTTTCCCTTGTCCCCCACCCCCACCCCCACCCTGGGCTCCTTTCTGCCCTGTCTCTTACCTTTCCCCTGTTCCCTGCCCAGGCAGAGCAGACTCCTTGGCTGCATGAGCTTCGGCGTGAAGACCCTGCTGGCTCCAGGCAAGGTAGGGATGGTGCCTGGGGCTGAGAGTGGTGGGGACCCAGCCAGAACCGGTTGCCTTGTGGAGAAAGGAACGGCTCTGCTCCGAAGACGCAGCTCCGTCTGCCGGAAATGCTCAGTAGAGACTTACTTTTCAGAGGGCTTCGTATTATCGTGTTAGGGAGGCCTTGAGAGCAATATTATGATCCCTGTAGGACGGGTGAGAACATGGGGTGGGGCCTCTCTACCTTCCGGGCAGGGCTGGATTCAAGCTGTGGTCCCTTGCAGCGTCCAGAAGATGACACCCCTGTTGGTAAAAATGAAGCCACTGACTTAACAGCCATTTACAAGTTGATCTTTTAAGTTAAAGAAGACTGTGTTCTCCTTTAAAATTTTCAAGGCTAACACCAGTCTTAATAGAGATATTTTTTAAAAAAGAATTCTAGATAGAAATCTTCAGAGAAGCAAATGGGATTTGTTTGAGGCACTTTAATTTTCTTTCCTGTTTGCTTACAGTATAATTACTGTATAATTTAGAGGAAATGAGGCTGGTAGACAAATGCTGCCCTCTGCTGCTGTTTGGAAAGCAAGCCTGTAAAAGGTGTAAGCAAGATGGGTAGAATTTTGGTGGCCAGAGCCCCCATGCAAGGTCATCCATGGGGATTTCTGTTTTTAGTAGCACATTAACAGCAAACAGGAGGGAGTGTAAATCCTACAGCTGTTGTGCCTTTTCATTTTCCTTCCTTCCTTCAGAAGATTTGTGGCTGGTATTACTTGCTGGCAGAAGACCTGGGCAGAACGAAGCACCTGAAAGTGGGCACACGGCAGCTCAAGCAAGGCCAAGGTGGGCCTGTCCAGAAGAGACGACTTGGAGAGCTGTCTCTTTCTCCAGAGATGTTCTGAGACCTGCCTGTCTTGGGCCAGACAGGACACAGGCAGTTTCAGCCCTCGCGTGGGGGGCAGTCTCTCTTATGTGGGGTTGGACCATTCTCCCCCCCCCCACCGCCTCCCCGTCTGGTAGTTCACATCTAGGAAAGACCTTAAGAACGTGCTCTGCTATACTTCCTAGTTTTTCATGAGATTAAAGAAGAGAGAGAGCGAGGGGAGAGAACCTTTATTGGTGGCCCAGACAACCTGAAAGTCTGCCTTGGGCCCTTCCTCTGTTTCAAGGCAGAAATCAGAAGGCTGTCAGGGAAAAAACAGTAAAACATTGCTGTAAACTATATGGGGATTAACTGATTTGCATAAGATGTAAACCTGATTTTAAGAGCATAGTATAACCATTTAGTTTTGTTGCTTAATCCGTTTTAGTATTAGCATTATTCTTCTGATTTCTGTTGTAAGGGATGCTTTTAGATTGGTAAGCCATGAACAGGTGCATGGCTCACGGGGCAGCAGCGGGACAGAGAGAAGGCCCTCAGGCACCCCTCCCCTGTCCTTCCTTCGTGCCCTTCCCTTTCTCTTTTTCTTCCAGAGATGACGTTAGCCACGCCGGCTGCCTTATTGGGGACGCAGCAGCAGATCCAGGTGTGTGGAGGCTGGCTGGCTGGCTGGAGGAGCCGAGCCGAGCCCCGTCCTGGCTCGTGGGCGCCAGTTTCTTTAGCCAAATTGCAGACTGCGCCTCCAGCCGCCCAGGAGGGCCAAGGAAGGAGGCAGACGGGCAGGAGGCCCATTTCCTGGGGGGGGGACGAGCCCTAGGGGCACAGGAGCTGCCCAACTGAAACGCCGGTAAACTCAGCGTGTCGGAGGGATTTGGAGGGGACCCTCGGCCAGCGCCCAAAAGAGGGTCCTCCGTGGTGCTGCTGCTGCTGCTGCTTCAGGGGCAACGATCTCCCCCACTCCTCTTGGTTGAGGTGGCCTGACCTACCTTGGACCGGAGAAGGACCCAGCAGCGCTGGCAGCTCTAAACTCTTCTCGCCCCCAAAATCAGCTTTGCATCACAACGGCAGGTTGTGGCTCTTCAGTTCCCAGACGAAAGGAAGGCAGCCCCGGGGAAGGTTTCAGCGGCCATGAAAAGTAGAGGGAGACAGGCTGGCTTCCCCCCTCGGTGCCACCCAAAGAAAGGGAGGCACCCGTGCCTCAGCCACACTGATGGGATGAGGTGTGTCAGGGAGGCCTTTGCATTTTTATTGAACAAGGCGCCCAAGAGGCAGAGAGGAGTCGATGTGAAATTGTGCGTCTTCGTTATTTCCAGTCCTTTTCCTTCCTCACGAATGAATGTGGAAGTGTGCCCCCCCTCCCCACCCCTGGTGCTGGGAAAGGCCTGCTGGTGCTTCTCCAAGGACTGGTGTGTGGCAGGGACAGAACGGGGGGCTGCTGGCAGGAATCTGACTCTGAACTCTCTCGCCTTCCTTCTCCCTCCGAGTTCTCAGGAAACCTCTGGGCTTATCACAAAGCCGCACATGGCTGCAGCTGCCTGGGAGGTGAGGGGTGGCTTCCTGCCATTCTTCTGTGAGCTCCCGAGTTCCCAGGGCAGCCGTGGGGCTACAGAGGCTGGGTCCTCCTCTCGCTGGTCAGGCAGAGGAGGAAATCTCTCTGCCTTGATGGGCTGGTCATAAGCCCCGAGGCGTCGGACATGAGCCGTTTCCACGGACTGTGCAGAGGGTGCTCGGAGCGGCGCTACCAGCAGGTCGGTTGCAACCGGGCACCAGGCCCCCTTCTCTGGGCTCTGCCGAGGCTTCAGAAGTCTGGAGAGCATTTCTGGGGGAGGAAACCAGCGGACCTGATTCCCCTTGGGCCTCTACGGCCGGCAGAGTTTCCACCCCCCTGCGAGGTGGGAGCAGCTTACTCTCCTTGCTCTAAAGAGCAGCTCGCCTGCGATCCGTAAGAGCCCACTTCTGATTTCTACGAGGAAATCGGGCCCAAGCGATGATCCAGGCAGCCTTCCACCGTTAGGTCGGCTTTGCGGCGCTGGTGCAGCTACACCCCTGCAACCCTTCCCGTCCTCCGCCTGGTCTCCTCTCTCTGTCCCCAGCGGAAGCAGGCAGCGCTCTCTTCATCTCCTCTCCTGGAAATGCCTGCCCACCCTCTGGCCCCGTTCCCTTCTCAGGAGCTGGTCTCCAGGACAGGGCTCCTTGGGGGCCCCTCTGCGCGCCTGGCTGGAGGGCGCACGCTCCCTGCGGAGAGGGCCAGCCTTAGGCAGGCGCTGATCTGCCTGGTCTTCCCGACGCTGTCGCTGTCCATTAAGAAGGCGGCTGTCTGTGCAGGGTGTCTGGTTTTTTCTGCTTCCGTGGTCTCGGTGAGAGGGACACTCGAGCCACTGGCTTTTCGGGGGCTGAAGGAGGAGCTCAGTGCCAGAGGTGGGCTGCGGGCTTAGCTGTGGAGGTGCAGGGTGTGTGTGTGTGTGTGTGTGTGTGTGTGTGTGTGTGTGTGTAAACCAGAAAGAAAAAGAGACACAACGTACAGTACACACCTAAATAAAATCTGTTGCGTTTAGCCAGACTAAACACAAGTAAATGTTTAGTAAATGTACATAGGATTGCAACATTTATCCAGCTACAGATTTCTAATTGTTCATAGTTCACTGGCTGTATTTACACAGGCGAGTATCCTCTTAATTTGTGCATTAGTAGATAATGAGTCCGTTGAATCTGTCAGGCCTCTACCCTGGTCCATAAAAACTACAGCCCGGAAGGTGGGAGGCGCCGTGCTTGTTTCTTCCTCAGGAAAGGCCTTCCTGGAAGCACCGCGGGGATCCTCCTTCAGGCTGCCTTTCTCCGACATCCGGAAGGGCCGGTCAAACAGGAAGCCCAGAGGGTGTCTCTGGAGTCAGGAGGGCCTGGCACAGAATATACTCCTGGGTTGGTTCTGTGGGAAAAGACAAAGGCCTCGGGGTTTGTTCGATGGAGAGTCACCTAGCGTTTCTTCCCTTCCTGCTGGCAATCCGAGCAAACACTGTGATTTTTTTCGTTAAATCAGTTTTACATTCCTTTTTGAAATAGAAGATACCTAGCTACCAATAAAATATGAGTCTAATTCATACAGCTTGAAAATTTAATCTTTAATAATGTTTTTATACCAGTTTGCCTAGAACAAATAAAGATACCTAGGCTCTTAATGATTTCGTGGTCCATTTCCTTTTTTTAAAAAAAATGCTGTTACCTCTGCTGCCTATCATTGTCCTTTGGTAATAGTTTTAAAGAGGGTGTTACGATTTTGTTAGAAGATCAGTGATGTCCTGTGGCCCTAGTATAGTTTTGTTATTTTCAACCCTACTGTGAGATTCAGAAGTAATAATTATTTTAATAATATTGATTTGAGTTTTAAAAAGTTACAGTTAACATTCTTAATAGACATAACATATTGATACGTAAAGGTTTTATGTAAAGTGGGTAAGCATATATTATTTTTGTAGAAAAGATAATATACTTCAGAAAAAACCCACCTAACTAATAATATAAAGTTTCCTTAAAAACAGGAAAAAGTCATGTACTATCCACTAAAATTAAAAAAGGGGGAGCAAAATCCTAAAAAAGGATTTTAAATAGCATTGAAAAAATAGCAATCGTATACCTGAATAAAACTTAGAAAAACAGGGAAAAAAGGAAAAGAAAGATCATTAATAAAAAGGTCAAGCTATTCAAATACTGAAATTTTTATATTTTTGAATTTTCATTGTTATGATTCGCTTTTAATCACTTTTTTAAAGCGTGTAAATCTTTACTTTGTCTCAGATTTCAATCCCACGTGGGAAGAATGGGTTCGGCTTCACCATCTGCTGTGACTCCCCTGTTCGGGTCCAAGCTGTCGATTCTGGTAAGGCTTCATTTGCAGAGGAGGCTGGCTGGCTTCCTTCTGCTCTAATTCCCATCAGTTACTGGTTTGTGTTCGTACAAGATGGCCATCCAGACAACACGTAGATCCGAAACCAGGGGGGCTCCATCCACCTTACCCCGAGACCTGGGAGAAGAGCCAGGTTTTCTGGCCTTCCTGAATACCCTTAAGGTGGAAATCATCCAGTTCTCGGGGGGGGGGGAAGAGCACTATGACAGAAGGCACACTTCCTGGGTCTCGATTGACCAGCCCATTTGGGGACCTGGACCGTGGCTATTCTGTCAGAGCATCCTAGCCCCACAGAAACCAGGAGAGATGGATCACCCCTCAAATAACTGGGCCCATGCCATGCCTGTAACTTATATCAGTGTTTTTGCCTGGGAAAGACAAGATTAAGCTCAAAGGCATTGGGGTGTGTGTGTGTGTGTGTGTGTGTGTCAGAGAGAGAGAGAGGGAGAGATCTCGCCCTCTTGTGTTTCCATAAGGTGTCCAGGCTAATTGCCGGCTTTGGACAGTTGCTGTCCTGCACCTGCCATGGAGAAGGAGGCGATGGGTGCTTGCTCCTCGGGGGGGGGGGCAGATCTCCTTTTCCACGTCTTCTGATCCTGGGAAAAGCCGTTAGCTCCCTCTCCTCTCTTTCCAGGCGGCCCAGCAGATAAAGCTGGCTTGCAGCAACTGGATACGGTCCTTCGGCTCAATCAGCAGCCTGTCGAAGCCTGGAAATGCGTAGAATTGGCTCATGAGATTCGGTGACTATGAATTGTGTGCGGAGAAGGGATGGCAGGGATGAAGGGTCCAAGTCAGGCCGTGGGGTTTGTTTTGTATTGCTGCCCATGCATTTCCCCCTGCTGGCTGCCTTCAAGCAGTCACTTCAGAAAAGAGCGGGGATAGTAGCTCAACCCCCTTGTTGCCTTCGCTTCTAGGAACTGTCCTCAGGAAATCATCCTGCTTGTTTGGCGCATTGTGCCGCAGGTTAAACCCAGCCCGCCAGGGGTCACCCGCCACCCTTCTTGCAAATCCACGTATGATTTGCAGTCTCCGTCCACCTGGCGGGAGAAGAGCAGCACCGGGCGATCACGGCCCCCCGAGCAACGGCAGAGCTGTCATGTCTTGTACGATGGGAACCACGAGTTTGCGCTCAACGGCTGGGAGCGATACACTGAGCTTGGCAAGGCTCCCCAGCAGCACACCATGCCTTCGCCTTCCCGACCTCCTTCCTCCAGTGGTACAGACAAGAATTACATCATCCTTACCCCACTTAATGCAGGGGGCCAGGTATGGGCATTTGGAAAGCGGGAGATTGGTAGTTCACCGGCCACAGCAGTTTTTCTACTCGTGATAGGCCCGTTTCTCTCACACGTTGGCACTTATGGAAAAGAGCGAGAGTTGAAATTCAGCTGACTCTTAAGAGCCATGTTTATCCTTCGAACTGCCTTAGGGGCATCAAAACGAGAACCCCCTCCCTCTAAGGAAAAGCTCAGCAATGAAGAAGACTCTTCCTGGAAAGGCTCAGCCCAGACTGAACGTCTCCAGTGAGATTGCAGGCAGAAAACTAGCGACAGGGGGGAAAAATCTAGCTCAGTCATCTCCCCGACTGGCTGGGCATAGAAGGCAGTCATTCTGTGTCATAAAAGCTGGAACGGCAGAGGGGGTGAAATGGCTCTGTGCTTGTGTCTTCCAGCTTCTGAGGCGAGTCTGCCAGGAGAATAAAGCTGCCAGAGGTGAGTGGCCTTCCGTGTTCCTGCTTGGTCTTTGTGGACCAGCCAGAGGGAGGCAGACAGGGCTGAGCAGAAGCTGGCAAAGTTTGCTCTGGTGTCTTTGTCACGATGGGTGTATGATAGGAAACAGGGTTTTGCACTGAACGCACGAAGCTCACACAATAATTGCAGCTGGTTTATTTCTGTATGAGTAGTGTGTTGTGTTTTTAACTCGTCTTTCTTTTACAACATGGAGAGTAGCACGCGTGGCTCTGTTTCCCCATTCTGTTCTGCTAGCCAGAGAGCGGGCAGGTACTTCGTGAACTGGGCTACTCCCAGGCAGGCTGAACGTACCTGGCGTTACCAGGAAGGGGCCGTCCCGGAGAGGCAGGGCAGCAAGAGACCAAGGCTGGCACGGATTAAGGCTGAATTATGGGCCGTGAGGTGGGCATCTGGATTGTGGCCTCGAGCCCCAGCAGCAGCCTGGAGGAAGAGTCCGGTGGATGGCTCATAAGCGCCGGTCTGCGTTGCTGCAGGAACCTCGGTGGGAAGTGCCTTTGAACCTTGAGCTGTTCTGCCACTGGCCGAGGGAGCCTCTGGGGCAGACCCAGCAGTGGGCAAGGGAGCTCTTCCTGACAGCCACGTTTTCGGCTTGGGATAGAAATGCCCGGCTGTCTGCTCCAGTTCCAAGGCCTAAAGCTCTCCTGCTCCCTTGGCACATTCCAGTGCCTTGACGTGAATTTTCTCTACTGGCAGAGAAGCCAAATGCTTTCATGAACTCGGCCTTTGATCTCAGCTGCCATCTCAGCAGATTGATTGATGGGAAGGAGGTAGAAACATACAACGCTATTCTAGAAGATCTGGGACGAAGATCTGTCCGGTGTGCAGGGTCAATTGGCATGGCATTTCTTGTCCTCCTAGTTGGGACTGGAAACGGCCACTGATTCCTGGCAGGCCAAACAAGCCTTCTCTTGTGGTCCCGTGTCCTGACTGTGGCTGCCGTGTCTTATAGCCTGAAAGAAGCAAAGGGACCAAAGCGATGGTGTTTGCACTCTTGTTCTGTCAAGGCAAGCACGAAAACAGTGAGCAGTGGAAACAGTGCCAGCCGTGCCCTGTGGCTCTGTGGCTTCCCTGGGGCGAGAATGTCTGCGAAGGGAATTCACTACAGCAGGACCGACTCAATGCTTCCATTAGGCATCACTTCCTCTGCCGCAGTCGCTAGGAAAAACCTTGTCCTGCAGCCACGCAAAGGGATAAATAAATTAATACCTCCTTGATAATTGTGCACACAGCTGCTCTGAAATATTTCACAGTCTATTTTGCAGATTTTCCCTCTGCTTAATGGGGTAAGCGATTAAGGAACCGCTGCGTTCTTTATCCTGGAAGCTTCGGTGCTTCTTGGAAACCCTTGCCTCTAGCAGGGCCTACTGAAAACAGATCCACGCCAGCAGACCCGCTTCTGGGGAATGCTGTACGGGAACGCCCCTCCCTCTCAAGGCAGTTGCAACGAGCCAAGGGCCGTCCTGATCCATCAGTTCTTCTCAGTGTTTTATGTATCCAACCTGAAGGAGAAACCTAATGACTCTGTGACGGCTAGGACCAAACTGAACTGATATGGGTTGGGCTTTCAGATGTCTTTTATTTCATAAAATGCCACATAGGATCTGGCTCCATTCGAGTGTGTCCTAACGAGACTGCTAGTCTTGAGAGCACAATTGCCACAGAATTGCTCCCCCTTTTTTGTTCCTGACATCCAGGCAATGTGTGCAAAGGAGAATCTTGTGGGAAGAAATCCCGGCTCATGAAGACGGTGCAGACCATCAAGAGCCACGGAAGCAGCGCCCGGAGCTGCCCTCTGATGGGGTCCCACATCCCACCCTCCAGTTACGGCACATACGTGACACTCGCTCCCAAAGTGCTGGTGTTCCCCATCTTCGTGCAGGTGAGTTTCAGAAGGCTCCGTACCTGGGAAGTTACTCTTCTCTGAGATGGGCATTTCCCTCTGGCCCAGCTGTCCTCGGTCAGGGCTCGCTTGCCTTCAGTCCCCTGTCACCCTTCTAGACCTCTGATTCAGAGTCCAGGTCTCCTACAGGATCTGCTTGCCTGAGGACTGCGAGATGCAAAGAGCCATTTCCTGGGAGCAGCAAGGATCGTGGTACTTCATGTCCCTGGAAAGACAGGGCACAAAGCATTATGGAGGAGGAGGGCCTGGGCAGGGCAGCGCAAGGCAAGCAGTCACGGCCTACCTAGCCAAGTCTTCTCTTTCCTCTAATGCCCTCCCGCGTGCCCCAGGAAACTCACCAGCTGGGCTTTGAAAGCAGGATTCTCGCTGGTTTTTCATTCTCCAGTGGGAACCCTACTTCGTACGTGCTGCGATGCATGCAGCAAAAAAAGTAGTGAATAGACCTAGCCGTGGGGCAGCCTCCAGTAGCTGGTATTCAGTGGCATGCAGACTCTGGATGTACCATGTAATTACCATGGTTAATGCCAGTTGATTGGGCCTTGCCAAAGCAGCAGAGTTTGCACATGGGAGTAGAAACAGCCAGGGAGAGCCAGGTGAGAGTTAAACGCTGAAGAGAAACACCGTGGCAGAAGGTAGCTGAGAAAATTTGATACGCAGAGCAACCTATATTGCTTCTGTGAACGGACGCTGCTCCTGCCTCTTTCAGAAACCTTTGGGAAGAGGCTGGACTCTCTTCCATGCCACAAGAGTCCTGGTCAGTTCAGTTCCATTGTAGCTCTCCCGGGCAGCTTCCCCTTGGAGCTGGGCCCTGAGGGTGGCCTTGGTGGAGCTACGGCAGGGAGAAGAAGGCTGCGTTGGGGTCTCTGGGCAGATGGAGTGCCCTTGCCTCAGACAGAGAAGCCAGTCAGGTATGTAAGCTCTGTGCCTCCCTTCTCCTGCCGCCTTGCCAACGTTTGCTACTCAGCCACACACCAGGATGGTTGAAACCGCTCCTTGCGCTCAATGTGTACTGAATATTTTGTCAAAGAGCAAAACAGTTATAATTCTTTTCATCGTTATTGTGCGACCTGCCGGCTCTCCCCCTCGTTTTGTGTTTGATTTCCTGGACTCTGGACTTTCCATTGGTTATCAGGGGCTTGCAGCTGTGAAGGAAGAGATTGATGGAACCCTCCAGATAGTTTTCCCTTCATCAGAGTCTCTGAATTGTGTGTCTGTGTGTGTTTCTCTTTCTCCATTAGCCTCTGGACCTTTGCAGCCCAGCTCGGACACTGCTTTTATCCGAAGAGCTGCTTCTTCACGAGACTCGAAACAAACCAACTGAGGTGAGCCTCCAGGTGCATCCCAGGAAATGATATTTATTCACCCTGGCGAGGAAGAAGAATCCAACAGTCATGATCTCAGAGGGCAGAAGGTGTTCAGGATTGCTAGGGGAATCCTGTGAGATGTTCACAATTGCTATTCACAAGACTTTTATTCAAAGTTACGAGGTTGAGATGAGGGGAGGCATAGAAACCTTTTAATTTAGCCAAATAATGTATTTAATTTACAGATAAACATGTATTTAAATAAATAACATGCTTTATGCCTGGCTTCCCTTGAGGCCTTTCTTGGCCGTAGAGACTAGGCTGCCCTAACCCTAGCACCCCTCCCCCCCCCCCGTGGCGCTGCCCCTCTGGTCATGCTGCTCCTGCGCTGGGCAGGCCTGGCCTTCCTTTGCAAGCACTGCTGCTGCTGCTGCTGCTACTGCTGGGGAAGGGGAGTTTTCCTTTTGACCGGCTAACTAGTATGTTGAGGTGCTGTTTGCATTGCTGCCTCACTGCATGATTGCGGTGGCAAGGGGTGCCCTGACTCAGCCGGGGCTTGCTGCCCCAGGCGGCCCCCTGCCCACACCTCTCCCTCTGAAGTCAGCTCTTCTTTTTAAGCCGTGTGGGACCTTTGGAGGCATGCATGGATCTGCTCACCAGCTCCCTTTGCCTTAAGGCCGCCGCCAATGGCTGCCTCACCTCCCCATAGATTCTGGTGGGGCTTTTTCTTGGGGAGAAGATCCAAGCGGGCACCCTGTCTCCACCCGCAAACGGGATCAGTGCCAGAAGAGGCTAGAGTGCCACAGAGTCCGACCCCGAGACCTGGGCTGAGGGAACAAGTTCAGATGCCTCAAGGAGGTCTGGCCGCCTGAAGTAACTTTAGGATTTGGAATGGGAACTTTTCTTTTCTCCTCATTTTTAAGAGCCTGCTTGGACACTTTCCCCCTTTTCCCTCTAACAATGGCTTGTCTTTTTTGTCTCGGCTGGTATTGCTGAAACAAAAATGATAGTTCTTTTGCTGCTACTGTAATTCCTGAATTTGGCTGAAACGAGTCTGCACGGTTGTCTAGTGTTATTGTGTTGCAGGTTGTAGGGAAGCTGCTTCCAGAATTTTGCTCAGAATTTTGATAACATCATACTTTGTTTTCGTTAAAAGGAGGGGGCAGTTGGCTGTGCACTGTATGGCGCTCTGCCAGAAATGTCCATTCCCTAAACCATATACTAGTTTCAGTCACATCCTGTCTAGACTTGATTTTTCTTCCCACAGTGATAGTCTTTGAAACTCGGAAGTTTTTGGAGCTCTGCTGCAAGGGGACGTCTAGGCCCACCAGCTCCGAAATGGGATGCAAAGGGGCGACGCCAGAAGCTCCCTGCAGGGGAACGCCAGTCCCCGACAGGACAAGGAGCAAAAGAGATTTGAAATGATGGCTTGTACACTAAACCAAATGTAGTCAATTGCAGAAACAGTTTTTAATTTGCTTCATGGTTCGATTCTTGGTCCTCGTGAGATGCTTTTTCTTTTTCCTTCCGCCTTGTCCAGGTGACCCTCTTCGTTTACTCAGACTTACTGCTCTTCACCCGGGAAGAGGAGCCGGGGCAATGTAGTGTCTTTCGCAACCCGCTTTATCTGAAGGATGTTTGGCTGCAAGAGGGTGAGTCCAGAGCACGTGTGAAAGAAGGACACCCCCACCGAGCCAGCCCGTCCTGGCGCCAGCAGGAAGTGATGGGCCTTTACTGGTTGCAGCATCCCTTCCCTCCCTTCTTTGTCCCAGGAGCTGAAGGGCAGACCAGGCCGCCTCTTCTCCACCCCATCGAATTGTTTCAGTGCTCCTGAACCCCCAGGAGGGGCAGCCGTGGCTGCCTACAAGGCCACATGCCCTGACTTGTCCTCTTCTGAAGGACAGTCCTCTAAGGGGCCACGGCAGGTTCTCTGGTGACGATTCTCAGAGGCCTTCTACCTGCCAAGGGAGGGGAATCTCACGGGATCGGACCTCTCTTTTCTCAACCAGAGGCATAAAGTGCTTAAGGGCCCAGATGCTCCCTGCCTTCCTTTCCCTCAAGGTGGCCGTGCTCAACAGTGATTTTGGCGTCCCTTGTTAATTCATCTCGTCATAGGAACCGACTGCTGTCTGTGGGACTAATGAGCCAGGGGGAGTGGGATGGGAGAGCGCTTTGTTTAAGACCACCTGGCCAGACGAGGAGTTTCTGTCAAGTAGTTTATGTGTCTCACGTCCCTCTGATCAATAGAGGAGTGTTTTTATCCAAGAGCTGGTCCTGGGTGCGTCTCTGGCCAGCAAGCGCCGGGATCGCTGGGCTAGGGCGGCTCAGCAGACTCACCACTTGCCTAGAGCGGCTTTGGGGGCTCCTGTCTGGAGCTTCTTAAGTTCAGAAACACCGTGTTTGCCCGCTTTTCCTTTGCTATGGAAGCAACTGCAGCATTCTGAGCACTTGCTCAAAAAATATTTTCCATTTGTCAAGTCAGAGAAGCTTAAATGACCCCTTTAATCTACTTTTCTTGCAGATTCCTCTGAAGATCTGAAATTCTGCATTCTTTATCTGGCAGAGGTGAGTGTTACCTGCAAATTAGCTTCCAGCTGCAATTAATGCATCCGTCAGCCTCTTCCTGTAGCTGGCAGAATAAATAGGACTAGAAATCACTCAATCAGGAGAGTCACAGAGCTGTGGCCGACTGAATTCTACCCGGAAGAAAGCCTCTCAAAACATTGCAGCAGTAAATAAGGAAGAGAGTTTTTTGGGCCGTTGCCCTTGTGGCGCTTGTAGTTAGCGCCAGTGAGGCAATAAGCTTCTTTCCTTGAAGACATCAGCTTAGGGCTCTGAATATGAATAACACGGTTCAAGTAAAGGGGGGGGGGGAAATGGAGCAGTCACATTCCTGGGTTGAGCCAAAATCTTCACGTTGAAACTCTGAAGCCCTGATTCAAGATCACACAACTCACAACTCGTTACTACTTCCCCTCTACTAGACTAGATGATCAGAGGCAACCTGCAGGCCAGGTTTATCCTAGCCCTTGTTCCAGAATATCTCTGGGATTGGTGGATGAACATTGTGAGACATTTGAGTAAAAGGTGTCCTTTGTGTGTGAAGGGGGGGGGGGGAGAAGGAGAGGGAAGGAGAAGGCACCACTTGCAAAGCATTGTCTCCGCTTTGCCAGCAGTCAATCTGCAGAGCTTTGCTCCTGGCGGGCCTAATTGAATTGATGCAAGCCCTTAATTCCATTATCCAAGGTGGGGGGGGGGTGGGGAAGGGCTCCGGGACAGGCGTTTGGATTGCCTGTGATGGGGAGCGCTTGGGAAGCTCTCCACCAGCCTCTTGGGGACAGTTAAATGCTGTATTATCTGCATCTGTAGCTTTGTTGGGCTTATCTGTAGGTTCCACAAACCTGTATCCATTTCTTTAAATCATCCCTTTTAATTGCTCCAAGCTAGGAAGGTGCTGAGGCTACAGGCTACTAATAACACACACGTGTGCACCGGAGGGTGTGCGGTGTCTGTTTCTCAATTGGAGTCCTTTTGGAGGGGAGCTGTACCCCTTGCTCAGGGCTGCCCTCCGTGGCTTCCATCACAGATACAGGAGAGGGGATCTGCGTTGGCAACTCTGCCGCCACCTCTGGAAGGGTAAGGAGGACCCTGGCTCTGCAAAGGACAGGCAGACTAACAGGCTTGACTAAAAGCCCACCGTGACTCTTTCCTGGTATTCAGCAAAAGAAGTTGTGCATGCAGCTAGTTTTGTTGTAAAGGGCGCCTTACAGCTGGTATCCCAGGCGGGCAGCCAACCCAGAGAGAAAAGCTGCCGCTGAGGAAGCCCAGCCCGTGGATCCAGGCTATGCTGGAAGGTGGGCCTTCCTCTCCTAGACCTCTCCCGGCCTCTGTGCCCCTGTGTGCTAGGAGCTGGAGTGTGTGCTCAGCCTGCAGGCTCGCTCCCACGAGCAGAAGACCAGGGTGTGCTGGTGTCTGATGGATAACATCGTGAAGCAGCAGCCAAGAACGACTCCGACAGCCCCTCCGGCAGAAAGCAAGGTAAGAAGGGGCAGCGAGAGGAAGGGCTGCAGTCAGTTAGTGCAGGGGGTCCTTGCTCAGCTGGTCAGGGAGGACCCTCCTCAGCGCATGAACCACGTGGCCCATTAGGGACCACAAGAAGAGCCCTGCTCTGGTCCGGGCCAAGTCAGGATCGGCAGCCCCCTCCCTCCCTGTCCTTCCCGGCAGAGCGTCCATCTGCAAGGCCTCCCAGCTGGCTTTGGCTCTTGTGCTGCCGGACTCTGTGGAGGTTTCTTCACCAGGGCTGCCTCGCCGTCTCCTTGGCAAGTTCCAGATGCTGCCACGGCCACCGGCCAGGCAGGGACTCGCCCTATTCGGGATGTTCAGCACAGAGAGTAGAAGCGACAAGGCCTCCTCACCGACTCCCTCTCGGCCTGCGGAGCTTTCGATCCAGGGCCACAAAGCCTGGCTGTGCAAGAGAGATGGCGCCTCTGGCTTGTTTTCCTGTTGCGGCCTCAGGGTCACTGGGCCCTTGCCTGGCCTCTGAGGGGGGTGGGAGTGGCAGAGAGGAGCCAAAGTGCATATTGGGGCCTTGGGCAACATGCAGACTTTGTTTCCTTGTGCCTGGCTGATGCTGAAGGCTCCCCTTTGTTCCCAGGAAGGGTGGGAGCGAGCAGTGCCTGCCTCTGTCCAGCCGATGTTAATTCTGCCTCCGGTGTTTTAGGAGAATAATCGGAATTGGCTGCTTTTTGGCAGAGTTCCTGGCTGCACTTAATCCAATGACGATGTGACTCGTCAATAAAATCCTCGGCAGGCGCCCACACAAGAGGGCCGGCAGAGCTGGTGAGCAGCAGCCAGAGCCACCTCTCTGGAAGGCGGCCCCTATTTGGGGGAGCCCTCCCCTCTGCCTGGGCCTTCTAGGTAGCGGCTGCCTCCTGTCCTGCGTTCCTGCTCGCCCTGGATGAGACTAATCTGGGGAATCTCGAGAGTGGCTGCGCCCCTCCCCAAAGGCTGGGCTCGGGGTGCCCCTTTCTTCCCCTGCCCCGTGAATTGGAAGGGGCTGCAGGACATCTCTTGCAGAGGTAGGCGATAAACACCCAGGCTTCTTAGATGTTTCATATTGTGTAGATGTTGCATTGTGATTAGGGATTGCTTCTCTTTCTTATAGGTTTGTACTATGCCCCCCCACCCCACCCCGCCATTCTGAAGACATTAAACAGTGTTGCAGATCCCTACTAAGGCTAAAGGGGGGGGGGCTGTGTTTTGTACTTAGTTTTGGGCAAGAATATTTAGTGGTTGTGAGGAGAAAACAAGGTATGTGTGAGTCCTCTCTGAAGTCACACTTTGTGGAAGGAGGACAGGGGGCTTAGCCCATGTGCCATGACACTAAATGAGCAGGGTAGGTTTTTGTGGGTTTCGCCCTTCCTTGGGCATGAAACTGCTCCTGGCACCAAAATAAATGAAAAGCAACTTTTTCAGCTTGCTTGATCTACATGCTAGGAAAGATAATTTATCTGCGCAGACAATGGCTGAAGGCAACGGGAGCAGGGCTGGCGACCCAAGCAGGCCCCGGGGGATGTCAAAGGGGGGGCCATCTCAGGAAGGTGGTGGGGAGCAGGTGGCCAAGGGACTGGTGGCAGCTGGAGGAGGAGGAGGATGGGATGGCTTAAGGGGGGGGGGCAGGAACATGGAAAGGTTTTGTTCTGCCAGTAGGTTAGCTGGGGCAGGTGACTTCAGCCCTGACTCCTCTCTCCCCCCCACCCCCACACACCATGAAGGTGAGCTTCCACAGCTGAGGCAGACATGGGGCTTTTCGGTTGTGCTGTCCTTGTGTAACCTCTGGAGGAGGTAGGAGCACATCTGGCCACACACCAAATGCCCCCCCCCCCTTCATCATTACAGTAAGCATTCGAAGGCCAAACCCAAGCAAGAGAACTTGGCTTTACTTTTCCTTAATTTGGCTTAGGGCTGTAGGGGCAATTTTTGTCTCTTAAAACTTTGATCTGGTTGATCACCCCATTAAGTTCACTTCCCTCTTTGCTAGAAACGCTGAAGATGCTCTGTGTCGTGGCTGTGCTGGACCAGAGTTCAGCTTTCTGGCCTGAAAACCCGTGGATGGGAGTCCTTTATCCAAACCAAGAGTTCTAGAAGATATTTACATATTTACCACCAGCATTAGTCATTGGTGGCCATTGCTACATTTCTGGGGATAATGGAAGCATAAATTTGGACTCTTGGATTTCTCAGATTTTATTCTCTTTCCTCGTCTCTCCTGTAAAGCAGGCAAATTTTAACTCCACGTGTCCTGATAAATTGGGGAGAATATGAAGTGTTTAAAATCCACCTCCTGTGGCATCTGCCTTCTCCAAAGGCCAACCCGATCAGTCACTGTTCCATTGCCTGCCTGGCTCAGCTCAGTGGAAAAACGGGATGTGTTGTGTGTGATCCCATGATGTGGCACAAGGCCTGCTTGAGCAACAGGGTGTTTACATCCCTCTCCTATGTCTCCTGCCCCCCCCCCCAAGGAATATCTTTTGTAATTTGCTCCCGCTGAGCAAAGGAGACAGGTTGGAACCTGACCAGCTCTGTTTGTTTCCTGAACTAAAGCCTTATTTACATCCGGACTTCAGTTGTCCAATTAAGCATTTCGGCTAGTCTGGGACAGGGAGCGCTAGCAGACTGTCAGATCAGGTGTGGGTAAATACCTGGGCAGCAGATCTCAATTAGCTTTGGGCCCCTGAAAGTCAGATAGCTCATTTGGACAAGGACGTGTGCGTCAAGGGGTTTGTAGAGAAATTAGTGGGGCTTAGGTAATCACTCCCTCACATGGCGTTACCTGCAAACCGCTCACCCAGAAATAGCAGCCGGAAGCAACTACGATCTGTTGCAAGCTGGTCACTCACCACCCTGAGGTTGCTGAAGCCAGGCATCCCAGCATCTACGCCAGGGATTTAAGACCAACCCTTAATCTCTTCGAAGGAACTTTGATAGGAACTTTCCTATCCCAGCTTCTTTGCCAGTGGTTTCTAGGTTTCTTATGGGGCAATTGATCAGAAAGTGGAGGGGGGAGCTTCTTCCTGATGGGCTTTTGATAGTGATTTTCAGAATATAATTTGGAAGTGGGAGGGTCTTTCACACACAATTTAGGAGCAAGTACTACATCAGAAGATCATTGCTTGTGGTCAGAACAGATACTAGTGGCCTCAGTCTGAGTAACCCCCTAGGTGGAAAGTGTAATATATGCTGGCCTATATGCTAGTTCATGTTAATGCTCTGTGCCACACTACTGTGGTTCCAAAATATAGGACCGGTGGGGGGAGCGTTTTATGCAGAGACTGGGATGGGAGGTGAGCGCATCTGAAGAAGTAACCTTTGTGGTTTCAACAACTGTGTCCTTTATTTGAAGGAAATGCACCTGATGTATTTGAGAAAGGCCATCCACATGTGTCCTTAAGCGCTGTGGCTGTTCAGAGACATCAGACTCTGCTTGAAGTTTCCAGGATGACTGAGGACGCTGGAAACTTTTTATCCCATCTCCAACCCTGCAGTGGGCCCATTTCCCTTCCTCTTTGTTTCCCCCCAGATGCTTGAGCCAGGAGCTGAGAAATTAGGGGCAGTGCCATCTGTGGGGCAGGATGACAGCCGCCGCCTTGCCTGTCCTGGGAGAGACAGCTCCATAGAGGGGGTGACAGATGAAGCTGTGGCAGACGTCCAGGGCATCGGGATGGAACAGGGGAAGCAGACCTGCCACCTTGAGCGGAAGGAAGAGGAAGCGCTCGGCAGTGGCTCTGCGGCCTTTGCAATCCCACAGTTGCAGGTGGACGGGGCATTTAGCCAAGACCTGACCTGCCTCACCAGCCTCAAGCTCAGCGGTCCAGGGGAATTGGCGGAAGAGGAGGAAGAGGACAGCGGTGAGGCCCGTCTGGCCAGGGGCGATCGAAAACGCTGCAGCTTGTTCGAACCGTCAGTGTGCAGCCTGAGTGTGCAGAACTCTCTGCGGCGTCGGACTCACAGCGAAGGCAGCCTGCTTGAGGAGCCCCGAGCGGGCCACTGCTTCACCTCTGACACCAGCCTGAATTACACCGAGATGCAAGGATCCACCCCCAGCTGGACGCTGCCATCTCCGCAGAGCCTCAAGAAACACCTTACGAAGAACGGGGGCTCCATCCACCAACTCACTCTGCTCTTCGTTGGGAATCGGAAGGTAGGTGAGCCTGTGTGTGTGTGTGTGTAAGAATGGGGGCCCTGGAGAGCACTTTTGGAGCAGTTGTGCCAGAAAAAGTCAGAGGAAGTTCAGGGCAGGAATTATCTGGAAAGTGGATCCCATGCCACAGTCTCTGCTGCCTGCTGGGTCTGCCAGGGCCTTGCGCAGCGCATCCTTTCCGGGATCCAGGTCTCAGAGGGCAAGGCTGGATGCGGCCTTTCGACTCCAAGCGAGTTTATTTAGAGAGCTGGTTTGAAAAATATATTCCTAGTCTTCTGAGTGGTGATGCCAGATTTGCTGGCCCTTCTGAGCTGGAGGTCCTTTTCCATAGGAGATGCAGCCTTCTTTCCTTGCTCCTAGTGAAAGGCTATAGAATTTTAGATCCACTATGTTGCATTCCATGTGTGTTTTCCAGATAGTGCGAATACAGCAGCGCCCCCCTTGGCTAAAGACACAGCCGGCCCCTCTGGCTCTCGTAGGGCAGGGAGGGCAGCCGTTCATCTCTCTGCATGATGCAGTGGATGCATCTGCATGAAACCCGGCCTTGGCCCCCAGCTTCTCTGTATCTAACCCAATGGTGCCTCTGACCTCCAGGGCAGGCAGGAGGCTGGGCAGGAGCTTGGAGATAGAATTCACTTCCTGTTCCTCTCCACGGAACCGGTCCCTGGTGCCGAAAAGGTTGGGGACCTGTGCTCTAGGATATCGGATGTGGCCTGAATGTTGCGTTTTCAGTTGGACAACTTTTTGTTGTTGTTCACATATTTAGAGCACAAATGGCCCGGGGAACCTGTTTGGTGCCAGGTTATGCTTTTCAGTGTCCTTACAGGACCTTCACAGCTGATGCCACAACATTGTGCCGGGCGCCATGGGAAGAGAAGCAGGCATTTGCAAGCCCAGAATGCTGGCCAGAGTCTGGTCTGGCTAATTGTAGGTTTGTGGGACAGGCTCAGAAGCAGCAGGGCAGATTCTTATGGCATCTTCGGAAAGCAAGCTCCATGGTTGACCGGGTCCAGGTGGGCATGATCAGGGCTTGACTGGGACTGCCAGGATAACCCACCACCAGCACAGCCGTTTCCCTCTGCAGCCAGCTGCCTCGTGGGGGGGGGGGCTCCGAGATGCTGGCGGCTGAGCACTTTGAACGCAAGATAAATGGGCAGCTTCTGTTTTCAGCCTGGCCATGTCCTTGCTAAGAGCAGCTGCTGTGAAAATAAGGGTAGGGGAGCAGCAGGACCCGAAGTCTCTGTGATGCAGCAGTGTGCGGGACTCTGGAGGAAGGGACGGCCCCTTTGCAAAACTCCTGGCCTGCCTGGCTGCTGGCTCTTCCCCCCCCTCCCCCCCTCTGTGAGCGAGGGAGGCCTTCCTTGGTGTCCATCTTCCTCACCCCTGGTTTGCACACACAATGTGTGCTGGCTGCCCCCTAGGGGATGTGCCTGAAATGACTGGCCATTCCAAAGAGATGCAGGGAAGGGGCTTTTTCTAAGAATGATTGTTGGGCCTTTCATGTCTCCAGCAGGGTTTGCTCTGAAATGCCCAGAGATGCTTGCTTGGCTTCCGGAGGGGGGTTCAGCAGCCATGTGTGGCGGCTCCCTGCCAAAGCAGAAGAGAATTGGCAGCCTTTTCCAAAGCGGGGAGAGGCGGAGAGGCAGGGACAGAGAGGAAGAGCAGCGCTTCCAGTGGGGCCTTTCCCATTACCTACTGTATGGCAGGCAGGTCCCTGGCATTAGGCTCTGGGCCTTTTCCTTAACTGGATTGGTCAGAGGCTCAGTGTCGAAAGAGGAAGGAAACTGCCCGGTCCCTCTTCACAAGGACCCCGGTCCTGCTAGCTTACATTCAGCAGGGAAGCCAGCCCACTTCCCCAGAGCCGAGGCCCACTTCCAGTCCTCTTCCTCTCACCCACCCTCAGATGGGTTGTGAGCAGAATCATCCCACGGGCCGAGCAGAATGGTCTGCCTTCCACGGTGGCTGTCTGCTGCTGGAAGAGGCCAGCCCTGGCCAGTTCCTGCTTGGGAGTGGAGAACCCCCCCTCTCAACAATGAGAGGAAACGTGCTTGAGCCCATCTGGCGCACCCAAAAGGCCCAGGAATGTCCTGGCCAGGCGGAAAGAGCGCTGGGCCTGATAAGACCCGGAAGCCTCGGAGAGCTGGGCTGGTGGCGCTTGACCAAGACGCGGTTTCCCACGGTTTGCCCGGGTTCCGGGTGGCAGGGGAGACCCAGCAAAGAGATTCCCAAGCAAGTTCCTCTGTGCGCAGTTCGGTCCGGCAAATAAGCGCTGCTCTTGAAGGATGGTCCGTTGGTTTGTTTTACAGTGTTTGTAAGCTGCCCCAATCCGTTCCGACTCTTGGCAGTGAACAGTAAAGGAAGAATAAGCCAAAGAGAGCAGTAACCAAATGATTGAAAATAGTTAACTCCTTCCTGTCTCCCTCAGTTGAATTTACCTAGTTTCTATTCCCCCCCCCCGTCCCTCTTCCCATTGCGGTGATGGTGGCGACAGCAACAGCAGGTGCTGGACTCTGAAGGAGTTTGTGACTCAGGAGCAGCCCACAAGATGAACAAGGCAATGTAAGTGTGGCTGTGCTTTGGCCAAGGTGTGGGTCCTTTTCCTAAATAGCCTGAGTGGGTGGAGGCATCTCTCTCGACCATCCGTTTTTGGGGCTCGGAACACGAGGCTGTGAATCGGAAGCCAGTTTCCATTTGTTCAGACTCCCGTTAATGCTGCAGGGGCTGGTTGCCTCTGGAGAGAGAGTTTCTCCACCCCTGAAGGAAAAGCAGTCGGTGGAGGTTCGGAAATCCACCGCTTACGTGACAGGGCCCATGCTGTCTGTCTTCCGTACCCTCCCTGCCCCCTAGTCCGTCTAGAGGGATGTAGGGTTCATCCCTCCTCTTCCTAGGCATACCTCCAAGCCCTCCTGGCACAGCGTCTCATCGCTGGCCTGCAAGCAAGGGGCAGAATTTGGTATTTATCTGAGCTGATGTTAACCCACGTTCTTCTAGCACAAGCTTTGCTGGGTGCGTGATTGGTGGCAATGGAGGCAATGCACCCAAATGGTTTGAGACACACTTTCTGGAGGCCACAGCTCCCACGACTGTGAGCCAGTGAGTGTGTGTGTGTGTGTTGCCTCTGCTTTGACTGGCTGCGTTCAGAAGGGCTGTGACCGCTGCGGCATTGGAAGAGAGGCGCTGCCCCGGCAGGTCTTCTCCAGCCCTCCACGGCTGGGCTTGGGTACTCACCCGCCCTCCTGGCTTCCTCGCCTTGCAGGGCCAAAGACGTCAAGAACCGACTGGGGCTCTTTCGGAAGCGGCATGAAGCCCTGGGCGGCCAGCCTGAGAACAAGGCCGACAAAGGGATGAAGCCTGTGCGGTAAGGAGGGGCGGCGGCGCTGACAAGGTCTGAGACTGAGATGATTTGGGAGACTTGGAAGTTTGTGGTAAGGAAGCAATCCCTGAAGACAGAAACTTCCTTTGTCTAGGGGAAAACCTGACTGAGGTGTGGATGAGCTTGCCAGCCTCAGTTGTGTCTATGTCACACTGGCTGCCAGTGGGAAAGACGGGGCGGGGGGGCACCTTTTGACCAATAAGCCATAAGCCCAGCCAAAGCCTGTTCTGGGATCGCTTGACTGGAGACCACACACGTTCAGGACCCTGTGGGTGAAGTGGTGGGCAGAGGTGGTGGAAGCCACGAAGGCAGCAAGGACAGAAATGAATGGGGGGGGGGAACGGGATTGTGGTAAACTGTATTTGGCTCTGATTCCAGTGTTTTGTTTTTTTTATCTTGTCCCTTTGGACTACTATTTCTTACTCCTTTGTTCTCTGCATAATGTCACTAAACTGCAGAAGAGTAGGATAGGCAGGTTAAATAAAGTACCTAATTTCGAGTTAGTTTGGTCAAAGTATTTATTTTTGTTCTAGAATTATTCCATTTCTAAAGAGGAGACATTTTAATAAGCCCCTTCGGTGGGGAGTTTTTTTTCTTCTTCCCGCAGTGGTTCCATCTTTCACCTGGCTATTATACAATGTGATTAAAGTAATCTCCTTCTTGCCCATCCCTTGCCTCCCGCCAGGCCACCTCCTGAAGAAGCTCTCAAGTGGGGAGACTCACTGGAAAAGCTGCTGCAACATAAATGTAAGGAGCCTTTTCTAGTGTTGAGTTTCAAAAATCAGATTGCTGTAAGAGTTTGAATTAAAATGGTCAAAGGCCAGTCAGCATTTTTTTTTCCTTTTCCCTTTCCTTCTTCAGAGCTTTTGAGCAAACCCTCACCCATTAATTCCGAACTCAGATCTTGAACATTCAAGGATGGAAACGGAGCAAAGCTTTAGGGTAGCGGTCACTTTCCTTTCCCTGATCTCTCCTGTTCCTGCCTTGGCTTATGGGACCTCGGTCCTTGTTTGGGCCAGAGGATAACTTTCTTAAGTAGATGATTTTTGCTAAGAATAATATTGCCAAGCACCTGGACGACTTGAAAGTCAGAGAGCAGCCAGGTGTTGCACGCTGTGACTAGGCGCAGGACTTCGAAAGCACCTTTTCCCATCACTGCCCCCACAAGGCCCATCTAACCAGAGGTGCAACTTGGTCTGGGGGCTTTTGCATACCAGGTGATTAAGCTGTAAGCTTTGTGCACATACACAAAGACGATCCTCCAAAATGACAGATGTGTAACATCTCTGTTGGAGAGACTTGATGTAAACAAATTTCTGTGAGCTTTGGAGCAGCCTCCTCTCATGCCCAGAGATACTGAATCGAAACAAGTTCAGATAAGAAGATCTGAAGCACTCAAAGAAAAGTCCCCTTAATCCAACTTCTCCTCTGGATACAAAGCCCGTAACATCTTCTTCAGAGAGAACCTGCTTCCTGACATAAAAGATGCCTAGCTGTGTCCTTCGTGAAGGAGCAGAAGTACCCTCCCCCCCTTTTTTATCTATTTTATCCTGTAAGGTGGCTGTGTGCCAGAGAAGCCTGGGTGCCTTGTAGCATAAGCACCTCTCACAAAAGCCACTGCATCCTCTCATCCCTGCTCAGATGGGGTGGCTGCCTTCCGTTCTTTCCTGCACACCGAGTTCAGTGAGGAGAACTTGGAGTTCTGGCTGGCGTGTGAGGAATACAGGAACATCAAGTCTCAGGCCAAGATGATAGCTACGGCCAGGAAGATCTTCACCGAATACATTGCTGTCCAATCGTGCAAAGAGGTAAGTAGCAGAAGGGATATTGGGTATCTCCAGGCGCCTGAATGTTGGGGCCAGCCTGGTTGGGAACCAGACAAATTGTAGAACGTTTGCTCGGCACAAGTGTGGAATAGAAAGAACTTTGCCGAAATTTAAGCACATTTTCAAAACTGCTGAACGGAAACCCCTTTGCTACCACCTGCCCCGATTCCATCAGAGAAACAAGGCCGAGGACCCTTTTGGAGAAGAGATGCTCTTAAGTTGGTTCCACGTTTGTAAGGCAGCTTTACCCCGTGAAATCTTGAAAGGCCCTGCTGGAGGCATCAAGTTCCTCCCTCGCTTCTTCTTTTGCCTTCCGGTCACTGTAAGCTCGGAATAGGCTTGGCAGGTTTTTGGAGCATACTTCATGACTAGATAACACTCCAGCAGACATTTATGCCACCTATCGAAAACTGCATTATCTCTAGCTTAACGCAGAACACAATGAGCTGCAATTATTTGTCCAAGTATTTGTTCATCTGTCCCTCTGATGTCACCCTTCCGAATAAGCGGCAGCCTGACAGTGACCAGTGTCTGTCCGTCCTGCTCTAGGTCAATTTGGACTCCTACACACGGGAACACACCCAAGAGAGCTTGCAAAACATCAGCCGGGGCTGCTTTGATCTTGCCCAGAGGCGGATTTACGGCTTGATGGAGAAGGACTCCTACCCCCGCTTCCTGCGCTCGGAGCTGTACTTGGACCTCATTAACCCGAGGAAACCTAGCTCTTCCCTGTAGAAAAGAGGCTAGGTCTTCCTCCAGGAAACTTTAGGGGAGCAGTTATGTTTACAAATAATTACATTTTTGGCTAAGGGATTATCTGGATAAATAAATCTGTCTTCCCACCCAAAGGGGCCTGGTGTTACAGAACTAAGCAGCTTTACTATTCCTTCTTCCCAAGAACCTGCTTTTCCCTCTGGTACGATGAAGTCATAGCACCCAACGCTGCAAAGGAGAAGGTCTTCCCTTGGACGGCCGTGAGGTCCAGAGACTTTTCTTCCACCCTTCCGCTGTGCTGGGGGTGGCTGTGCTGCGGTGAGCTCCTCCTGCACACACAGCCGTCTTGGGACATCCGTGGCTTTCATGAACGGGCCACATCCTCACAAGAACCAGACGGAGGGAGAGGGTCACCCGCAGACTTTTCCTTTTGAATCTTGGCGTGTCTCCTCTCGGCAGAGCGCCCCTTCTTAACTGTCCTGTCCTGCTTTTCTTCAGCCGTCTGAGAGGCGTAACCCTGGCTAAGTTTATTTATTGAAGCCTTCTAGTGGGATACTGTGTCTGTGAGAATGTCTCCCTGTTGAGTTTCCTTTTAAATTTTAAGTGCAATATTTTTTATTACCTTATAGCCATGATTTCTCTCCTGGTTTTATCCCTGATTCTTGGAGTGTGTGGCAGAATGTCAGTCAGTTCTCGGTCAGTCTTGTTCCTATTTTTTGGCCTTTGACATCTGCTCCAGCAGCAGATGTGTAAAAAGCTTACAGCATCTTGTTGCAACAGCAGTGTACTTTGTAGAGACGGAAAAACATCTGTATGTTTCTGTGCTGTGTCATAAAAGAATGTGTGAGACAACAGTGTGTCTGGATTTGTATTCATATCCAGGTGACTGTTCATGTTTGGGTCCAGAGAAATTAAATCTCCTCCAACAAATCTTTTGACCAAGTGCCTGGTTTACTACTCAGGCCTATCTCTGCACTCTAAAATATTTTTGTCGGTTTGTTTTTTACTACATCACGTCTATTTAGGATAAATAAAGAGACATGTTAAGCCGTCTTTCCTCTTTTTCCTGTTTCTTCGCAGCTACATTAATTTGTGAGGCAGCTTGGTTGGTTTATCGGGCAACAAACGAGCAGCTATTCATTAAACAAAGATTGTTTAAAAACGAACACTCACACGTGCTCTAAAATGAGGGATGTAATGCAGAGGTTGGGCCAGATGACCTCTAAGGCCTCTTCCATCTCCCCAGGGAAGGAGAAAGCCGCCAGGAGGACCTTCAGCAAGGCCTCCTTTTCAGGCCCTGGGGACTGCTGGGCGGGGGGCAGAGCGGGCACCTGGCACATGCGGCTTTCCCCGCCCGGCCCAGTCCACCAAGGGTGCTCCTTGAAGGGAAGGGTGTGCTACGGCAGGCTCCGGTGAGCACCAGTGGAGCCCATGTCGGGCAGGGGGTGGGACGGGGGGGGGGCTCGGGTGATGGTGGTGGGATTCATGGCCACGTGGGCTTGTCCGGGGCTACCCACGGAAGCCGGCCCTCCTCCCAAATACTCGAATTCCAGGCACTGCCCTTTCACGTTGCCCTCCCCTCCCAGGAACCAGGCATCGGTTAGGAAGCCCCTCCGTCTTTCCTCAGAACGTGGGTCTCCTGGTGGGGGAGGCAAGGAGTCCTTCTTCGTATCATCTGGACTGCCTCAAGCTGTCTAAAATAAAGTTGGGCTACAAGTCATCCCCATCATGGCGGCCATTCACAATTCAGGAAAAGTAAAGAAATAGAAGGTCATGGAATTAGTTGGAGAATTTCACACATAAAGTTAAACATTAATATAACAAAGTTGCAAGCTAGGTTTACAGCTCCAAAGGATATCATGCAGGGAGGCCAGAGACGTTGTTGAGTCAAAGATGAATGCCGCTTCTTTCTTACATTTCATTGTCTTTTGAGTCTACAAATGGGAGATGGAAATTACTTCAAAGAGGGCCTCAGCAACCGCATCTTCTTCCTAGGCTCCCTTTTTCGAAGCATTAACAAATTTGCCCCAGCTAAATAGAATTTGCCGCTGGGTGATGCTCTGCATTGTAGAAGACTTCTGTGACCGGGAGAGGGCAGTGTTCCCGCTGTGTCGCTCAGCAGAGTCTAGGCTTTAAAAAAACACACACACACACAGGTGCACACCCAAAAGAAGCTGACTTTTAGCCATGCAAGCAATAAACAAATTGGCACAGAAAGGCACAAACTGCCCTGCTAGATGCCAATTGCCCAAGCAACATCCAGTGAAAAGTAAGCAAGGCGAGTTATGTTGCCATCTCTTACCCTCCACCTTACCTCCACGGTTCCAGCTCTGTATAATTTTGATGGGTCCTCTGGATCTATTGTTTTTCCTCTGCACTGACTCAGGCGTGCAAGCACTGTACATAAAATGAGGGGTTTGGGTAGGGCTACGCAGCACTTTTAAATAGTAGTAGTCTCTGCCTTCATCTATAAACCATCCTGGTATGTTCTATATATGCATTTGGGGCGATAGTAGCATCTGAAAGCCATTAAGTGTAGTCATTAAGGCATCAGGATAGAAACTGGGAAAATGTGAGTTCTAGTTCTGCTTTGGGCACAGAGCCTGCTGGGTAGGTAACCTTGGGCCGGTCACTTTCTCTCAACCTAGAAAGGACGCAATGGTGAACCAGGTCTGAAAACCCTTGGCAAGAAAACTTCAGGGACTTGCACGGGAACCTCTGAGAACTGGGCACCATGGAATGAAAGGGGAAAAAGGCAGCAACTGTTCAATGCTGGGGAGCAGCATTGGGGAGGCTGACTGGGGAGCCCCCCCCGTGAGAAGAGGCTTCTTGCCTAGACCTCAAGGCTGCCCCACAGCTGCCAGGGCAGGAGAAGTCCAGAAGCACCCCCTGGCCTCTGTCCTGGGATGTGGGGTGGGAGGGGAGATGGGCAGTCCCGGAGCAGGACAACCATTGCCTCAGCAGTTGCCAGGGGAGGCTTTCTTGCTTGTTTGCAGGGTAAATTTGTATATGTGTTGTGTGAACTAAGGAAGAGAGAAGTTGCCAGGGAAGCTGCCAGTCAGGAGGATTGTAGTCCTTGATGTAAACTGTGGCTCAGGATACAAAATCTTGGTGGCCAAAAGCCCAGATTTTGCACTATGAACTTGTTCCCTAATGTGGTATGTTTGTAATTAATAATCCTAACTTAGATGATATTTGCCTGAATATTTTCCAGTTATGTGATTCATTAAAGAAATCTATATTAAGGATGGGTCAAGATACAATGGAATTGCCTTCTGTGGGAAATAAAGCTTATATTTTGGTGTGTGCTAGAGCAAATCTTCTGGTTTTGTTTCATTGCAGCATTAATGAAGTGGATGTTGTGACAGATTTTTCCAGAGAATACAGTATCCACAGTTTGCTGCTGCCTTCTTTAAATAGAGAGTTTTAGTATTCTGGGGAAATACTTCCTCCTGCCATCTAATTTTTAACATGTTACTATTTTAAATAATAAAAAATGATTTGTTTATAATGTAAGGTGATCTTAAAATAAATACAATATAGTCAGCATTGTTTCCAAGCCAAGACAATGAATTGAAATTGTATTTCATGCTTAAAATGAAGAAGATTTGATACTGTGGTCGGTACCAGAGGAAACTCAGTGGATTTTGGTTGTCCTTTTATTTTATTTCATATTGTGCTCATGAAAAAAGTTTAGACTTATTCACTGTGGAGAAGGAATGCTAAGGTGTGAAAAAATTCAGCTACAGGCTGCATTTAAAGTTCAAAATATGTCAGTGAAATTAGAATTTATTCTGATTAGAAATTAAGAAATAAATCAAGAATGCAATCGTTCCCCCTCCCTCCCCTTTCAGACAAAGGTAGGTTTGGTTGAGGTCAGAGGCAGGTACAGAACGAAGAACTACTGGACAAGTCCAGACAGGCTGTGGACTGGTTCCACAACCCAGGCAGCGTGGCTTTGCAGAGGAAGGAAGTGCCAACTTTCTAGTTCTCTGTTGTTAGCCAAAGACTTGCTGGGAAATTGAGCCAGCAGGCTGGAATCTTGTTGGTTACTTTTTGGTGCAAATCAATCGCTGTTCCTTTTTAGGGAACAGTGGCCCCCACCTTTTGGGCGACCAGAGACCTGTTCCGTGGAGAGAGGTTTTTCCACGGACCGAAGGGGGCGTGCTTTGTGTACTGCCTACATCCTGCGGATGGGGCTTTGTTTTTTGGGGCAGCTCAGTTTCTGGCATGCCGCGGACCCATTTTAGGGGTACTTAGAGAGGTGCATCAATACCAATTTCCAAATCTGCTGAGCAATTGATTTTTAGCACCACCATCCCATTTAATGCTACTATAGTTGTTTTCCTGAGCAGACTTGTCCTATGCAGCTACCTCTAATTGTTTTTTAACTGAAATTAAATTGTAGGTGAAGAATTCATCTTTCTTTCAGTTCCACCAGAACCAAGGCCAGCACATGGTCTGTCAGATCCTTGCAATCTGCCTTTGTGTAATGCTGGTATTCAGCATGGATCCCAGCAGGCAGCTCAGCAGCCTTGGCTGTGGCATTGATCACTATTTGTTCATTTTGCTTGCAGAACATCTCCAAACACCTTTATTTAATTATATTTAAAATATTTGTATTTTAAAATGACATATTTAAAAAATTGAAAATTAATTAGCCTCATTATCGGGCAGCTGCATCATCCATATCGGGCAACAGGAGGAAGGCATCAGGGTCTCAGATGAGGACCTTCTCGTGCCTTGCATTTCCTTCACAGAAGCCGCAACGTTTCCCAGAGGTAGCGTTTGCCTTTTGGCTAACATCACACTAGTATGAAAGGCTTGCTTACAATCAGACAGATGCTTTACTGATTTATTGTTGAAGATGGTTTAAAACAAGAAACTAAAATGTTGGGCGTGCCCACTCTCCACCATTTTTAAATCTTGTTGCATCAATGATTTTGTTGTCCCACTGGATGTTATTACAATAATAAGGGAATATCTATTTCCTTTATTCCACACAGAATTGTTAATATATTTCTGTGGTGTCCCACTCAAGTGGGATGTAGAACCACCATTACACCTTCCAGTCTGCCAAGATGACGCAAAACACTGTCGACCTCTTTGCAATTCACCTACTTGCTTGGCTGTGAAGCCCCCATTTCTTAGCTGCTGCTGAAAGGGTGAGGAGGCCTAGATAGGCTTAGTATTGCTCTCACTTCATTGCACAAAGGCAGGTGATATTTAAACGGTGCCACAGACCACTTGGCAGCAAGTCCACTGGGCTGTGAGGAGAGGTTATAAAGTGAATCAAATGTGTGGTTGCACCTATCCCAAATAATTTTTAAGGGGCTGGGAGCAGAATGCCCCATGATTCTTGCCGGATGCTGATTGCAATCCTGTGCTCTTGCCATAAACGGGTCAGGCTGCTACAAATCTTGCTGCTTGGCCAGGTTAGTGGACTGAATCAGTCACTTAATATGTTTTTCGTATGGTTCTGTTTTAGTGGTTTAAAATTTTGAAAGTTGGCTTCCTACGGCCCCTCGGACGGCCCAGGTGGAGCCTGGCCTTCCTGCTTGAAGTTGCCTCTCCTCATCCCATCCTGCTCCATGCCTGAAGCTGGAAGGGCTTCGCTTGGGTTGGAGCCCGCTTTAGGGGGGTGGCCCAGCCCTTCACGTTGTTTTGTACAAAGTTGCACTGTCTGTCCTATTAGTCAATATTGTGACATTCTTTCCCAGCCATGGATATATTGTATCCACGAAGAGTTCCGCTCCCGGAGAACGTCCGGGCTGCTTCTCCTGCTCTGGCTGGGCTGGCTTGGCTGCTTTTGAGTCTCCCTTTGGGGACCGGGGACTGTGCCCTCCCTGGCTCTCCGTGGTCCTAGGGAGCCTGGCCGGCTCCATCCAGGACGGAGAAAAGGACACCGTGCAGGTGCGCTGGAATATCGTGGGCTGGGCCGGGGCGGGCTGCTTGCTCCAGATCCGAGCATTGGAGAGCGCGGCTGGAAGGAGGAGGGCCCGGGGGAACCGCGTCGGCCCGGAGGGGAGCGAGGCCCTGGCGCTCGGCAGCTCGATCCTGCGGAGGGCCTCCGCGGCAGGTGCACGACCCGCGCCCGCATTCCCGGGAAGCGCCCTGGCTGGCCTTCCTTTGGGCGCCCCGCGGGCGAGCTCTGCAACCGGAACCGGCCCGCTCTGGACGGGCTCCCGGGCAGAGGCGCCTCGGTGCGCGCCGGAGGAGGAACCGCAGCAACCGCGCGCGGCCAAAGCGACGAGGGAGGCCGGGCGAGAGGCGGCGGCGGCGGCGGCGCGCTCGAGAGGCGGCGCGCTCTGGGCGCAGCGCGGTGCGGCGTGCAGGCCGGCAGGCTCAGCCGAGTGCTCGCCGCCGCCGCCGCCGCCGCCGCCGCTTCCCTCCGCCCTTCCGCCGGGGCCGCCTCCGCCTCCGCCTCCGCCTGCGATGGCGGCGCGCTCCCCGCCCCGGCCGAGCTCGGCCCGGCAGCGCTGAAGCGGCGGCCTGGGGAGCGGCTGGCGCGGCCCATGTCCTCCCAGGGGGCGGAGGAGCCCGAGCCGCCCACCCGCGCTGCTGCTGCTGCTGCTGCGGCGGCGGCCAGGGAGGCGGCTCCGGCGGCGGGCGCTCCGCATTGTGCGCCGCGCGGCAGCGGCGGGAGCAGCAGCCTGGCGAGCGAGAGCGGCGGCCCGGCCCGACCGGAGCCGCCTTTGCCGCCCCTCGCCCGCCAGCCCAGCCCCATGAAGGAGCCGGGCGGCCCCGGGGCAGCGGGCGGCGGCGGGGAGGGAGCCGCCGCCGCCGCCGCCTCTTCTTCGGAAGGCCAGGAGGCCGCAGGAGGGGCCGTCGCCCCCGTCGCCGCGGCGCAGGTAAGCGCGATCGCCCGGGGGGCGGCCCCGGCCGCGGGTACTCGGCTGCCGCGCCGTCCCCTCTCTCCGCCCGGCTTCCCCGAGCAGCCGTGTCTGCATCGCCCTCCGAGCCGTGTGGCCTCGGCCCCGGGGCCCCCTCGGCGCCCCCGCCCGCCTTTGGGCCGGGGCTGGAGGGCTTTCCGCTGGCTCTGGCTGGGGTGTGTGTGTGTGTGTGTGTGTGGGTTTTTTTTTTTCTTCTCTCCGATTTTCTCCAAACGAGTTTTCTCTGATTAAAACGACGCCACCTAGGGGAGACTATTCTAAAAATAGGGGGAAAAATTAAATTTGAAGAAAAAATATTTTTTTCTTTTTGTTGTTTTCGAAGGGAAAGTTTAAATCGTTGGTTGTTTTTGAGATATCTTTTTCCTTCTGGAATTTTCTTAATCTGAGAAATGCTGGAAACAGCGGAGCATCCCCTGCTTCTCTTGGATGTCCGCAATTTTTTGTTTTAAACTGGAGTCTTTAATATGCAAATTAAGGTTGAATTTGGTGAAATCGACGTTCCTTTCCCCATCTTTTTAAATGAAAAATAAGCTGTTTTACAGGCGGTATCGGGAAATAAAATCAAGGAGAAAAAGAACAATTTGAAAGAAATCAGTTTGGGTGAAGGTGGAAGAATTGTTGTAAAGCAATTAAGAATTGTACTTGCAAATTCGAATGCATTTCACAGTTAAGTAGTATTGGATTTATTTTCTCACGAAGTATAACTTAATCTTACAATTTTTAAATAAGTGTCTGCATAATACGAAAATTTCTGAGGACACACCCCAATTTTTTGTGGGGAAATGACTTTTAAGGTTTTATTCAAATCTGATTTGAAAAAGCTTTGTTTTTAAACATGAGCCAATCCTGCAACGTCAGAGAAGCTGAAGTTAAGATTACAGAAAAGCCTTTTGTTCTGAAACGACATATATTTTCTGAAAGCTTATGTTGTTGGCACAATTAAAACAATGATTCTAGCATTTAATTTATAATCCATGTAGAACTGGGGGGAGTGATTGTTTTGCCTCCACCCTAAAATAACACTAGATAACATCTCTTGTGAGTTCAATGTAACACTTTATGTATAAAGGCATCATTAGACTAATAATAGTATATGCAAAATACTACTGGTTGAGGACACTGCAGATGTGAAGTTGCAGATTTTAAAAAATAACAAAAATTTGCAAAATTAAATTAGGCTATCTTAAGAAATTTTTTAAAATTGTTTTTTTTTTTTTTTTGCCCTATAACCAAGTTGAAAATCTCACTAACAACTACTGATTAGTTTGTAATTAGCAATATACTTTTGAATTTCTCACATGGGGTTGTGAGTAGTAAAATTGCCTTTTGAGTTTTGGTCGTTGTGTCTGTCTCTTCCTTTTCTATTATGATTTGCATTTTATAAAGAATGAGTAACTAATTTACATAATTTTTTTACTTAAATCTCTGTGGAAAGTGACGTGCAGCTTCTGCATCTGAGGCAACAGGGTCAGAAAAACAGCAGCATTAAATCTGAAGGGGGAAAAAAGGAAATAAAAGGGCAAATCCTGCAGAGTCTCCACTTTAAAATGGGAACAAAATATCAAGATGGCCGACTCCACAGCTGCAGCAGACAACCTGAAAAGAGGCATTTCTGTGCTGGAACAGAACAGATTTCTGTAGCTTAAAATCTCCCCCCCCCCCATTACAAGAACCTCAGTGTAGAAAAATATGTTTTTGAAAATTTGAAAGTTTGTCTAAACTGATTTTTTAAAAAAAAAAAATTTTTAGAATTTCAAAAAAAATTCCCTGTGGGTAGAAGTTAGATTGTTAACTATATTTAATTGTAATCTAAACTGCAATTGAATATTGAATTAAAAATTCAGAGGATGTCATTCCTAAGGGAATGGGGGGGGGAGAGTGCAATTTGAGATTTCATCTCTAACCAATCCCATTTCCTTCCTCCCCCATCGAAAGGGGAGGAGATTGTTTGGATTTTTGGGAAGATTCTGGAACAATTAAAAAACGAGCAATTTTCCAAACAGCTCAGGTAGCATTAATTTTTGTAGTACTTAGGAATCATATTTTCTGCAGAATTTCTGTGCAGAAAGGAGGCTGACAGTTTAAGAATGTTTAATGGGGTTGCAATTAAATTTAACTGGTCACAGATTAACAGTTGATATGTTTACCCAAGCAAGCTTCGGCTGGCTGATTCTTATAGGAGATTCTCTGGATGGGCTACAATGTCAGAGTCATTTTATAATGCTAAGAAAGCAGGTCTCAAATTTCCAACTAGTTCCATTTAAAATAAAATTATATGTCACATGATCAGTTACTTTGTTAGTTGTGCTTGACTATCATTTAAAAGCCCTTGAAGGGAAGGGAAGGGAAGCTGCCCTTGCTTGGTTTGGAGAGATGGTGTTGGTTATTCTGGTCTCCAATGAATTGGGAAATCCCAAGAGGAGGAAACTGACAGGGATACTCTACACACAAGTCATTAAACCCTAGAAGGACAGGGGAATACTTGGGGGACCTTTGAGGGGCTTTGTGTTCTTCAAGTCGGGGGGGGGGGGAGGTTGTCCAGGGTCCCCCTGGCTTGTCATTGCCCTGTCCTCAAGGCAGGCTTTGGCAGAGCCAGTGGCCGCCACCTGCGCTGCATGCAGTGCCGTCCTGCAATTAATTCATTCTCCGTCTCGCCTGCAGTCATGTTTTTCTCCAGTCTTGATATTCGGCACCTCTGAACAGATTTTACTTTCAAGGCTTGACCTAGGTCCCCCTGTTGGTTTAAATTGTTCTCGTACTTTTAACTGAAGTATTACAAAGTCTCAGGGAAGGGGACCTCAGCCCTGGGGGGCTTGGCAGATAACTGGCCTACCTTACAGGTGTGTTGTACAGTTGCTAGGATACAATCCCCTTAAAATATTTTGAGTGTGTGATTGCTGCTTTTGGCTCTGTTAATGTGTTTATGATTACGGCTACTAATATTGCAAAGTATTATGAATCCATGTGTAAAACATGCCATTAATATTCATATTACAAATATTAACAATGTTTATATACTAATATGATAATCAAATATATTAAAAGGGCTATTGTTAATTTTTAATAGTAAAGAAGCAATTAACATTCTGAGTGGGATAATAGTTTATTTCAGTTCCATCAAGCGGAAGCAGAGAGCCCGATGCCTTACTCTACCCATCATTCCTCTGAAAAAGAATTAAGTGGTTCCCAGGCACATGTTGAACATAAAGCAGGGAAGCAGTGAGGGACCAATTTTCAATGTAGACCCACCGGGGTATGATTGGCCAAACTTAGTAGAGCAGAGACAGGGCCCTTGGCCACTAGGACTGTCTGCTGTCTGCTGGGCAGGGCTGTCGGGCTCAGTGGAGGAGGGATGGCTGCGTTGGTGCTTCCTGAAAGGTTGGACTTGTCTGCTCAGGTTATGGGGGTTACGGCAGGAGAAGGAACCTCCGTGTGCTCCTGAAGTCTTACGATGAGATTGTTGGGTGGATTTTACTCTTCTCTTCTTTCAAATCTCACCCATCTCCAAAGTGTTTAAGGCAACAGCCATACTTCTTCATCTTCATCTTCATTAGGATCAGGCAAAGCTGCCCCAGCTGCTGCTTCTTGGGCACTTCCAGATGGTGTCTGTTTTGATATTGCTACTCTTGGGGGAAGAATTGGCCATACAGTAATGTAAAAACTGATATTGACATTGTAGAGGTTCGACTTGCTTCACATTCACGTTTTGAATGTTAATTCAAAGCCTCACTCTTAAATACATTTTTGATTATACAGATTTGGGAGTCTCCTATGAGAGGTCTTGAAACAATACCTTTACAAATTTAAAAGTTCCATTTCTCTTTTGAGGATTTGAAACTATAACTTCATTCGTTCACACGTGCCAGGTTTCCTAGTGCTGTTTAATGGTTGAGTTTGCAAGATACGTTTAACTGAGTTAAAGACTTAGTACCTCTAATTGATATCAGCATATTTATTTTGGTTTATTTGAAACATTGGTTAGTTTTAATGCATAGTGTAAAGTAGCATATTTTGTTCGCTGTGTTGTGCAAACTGAACAAATGGTTTAAATTAATAATTTAAGGTTTTGCTTTGCTTGGGAGAACAAAATAATAAATGGGGATGCATCGCCTTTAGCTGAGTTTGCTTGAGCTGGCACTTTCAGGAGAATACTGGACCATAATTCAGTGATTTGGGGAAGGTTTATCATTCAGCTCATGAATGAGGACAGCCAGAATTTGTAAAATAGGTCCAGTCCAAAAACGCCTCTTGCCTGTTAGATGTGCTTTAGGGAAGCTGAAGATTCTGCAGTTATTATAGTTCCTTTGTCTTAACTCACGGCTGACCTCTCCTGCCCAGTTTTGAGATTTTTCCCTGCAGGTACATACAGTGCTATCTTGGTAGTCAACTGCTTTGAAACTCATCAGATTTGGTACTCAACATATTTTGATGTGAAAATTTTGTCCCACTGTCCATTGTTTATTTGGTAATCAAAGCACAAGAACCTGTCCATGTCAGCCGCCTTATGTGACTCACTACATTATTCCTTATGAGAAAAATTTGTTTGGTACTGATTGCTTTTGGTACTCATCGCACCTCCCGGAACTGATGAATGATTACTAAGGTTCCACCATACTCGGGACTACAATCTTGACATCTGTATCAGGAAAATCACCCAACCAGTTGGTCAGAATCTACTAAATGGCCATCGAACGGAAAAACCTTAACAGATGGCCAGGTCAAAGCTGCACCACTGCTAGATCTCTGTGGCCTGTAGCCTCTCTCTATGCTCCTGTGGAAGCCCCTTGAACTGAGGCTGTCTCTTCCAGTCATCTCCTCGTGGAAAACGCCAGATCAGCTCTGTGGACAGGAGGAAGGTGCACCTTCCCTTGTCTGTCTTCATTTCCTGTAGGAAGAAAATAGTCTTTCTCCAATATAGCCCTTTTCCTCTTGAAATCCGTCTTCGTGATGCTCTCTAT